AATCCTGAGGAGATAAACTCCTGACTCAACAATGCATGCAATGACTGCATTGGATGACAATGTCCCTAACCTTGACAAATTTGTGTGTCATTTTCAATTGGCTTTTGTAAAGAAAAGAGAATGAGCACAATGGAGAAATAAAGCGAGTTTAACATAAATGAATTTTTATGTAACTGAGCATTATTGTGGATTAATTATTATGAACTTGATACAAGTTATTATTATACCATATATATATTATATTATTATTATACCATACATAAAAACCGATTTAATAGCGCTCTACTTAGAAATCGAATTTCCAAAAATTGGAATTTGCTTTTTGGTGCGGAAGGAAATCATCCAAAATGTATGATGTTTTCATACTTTTAATAACCTTCTTAAATAGAGATGCGCAAGATTTGAGAATTCCTTGTAAGAAAAAGTAAAGACATTTAAAGAAATATTTAAAGATTAAATCAAAAGCTGAAAGACTGTGGAAGACTAATAAATACTGCTGGAATGATGAGATAAAAGAGAAGTGTTGACAAATGAGTCTGAGAACAGTCGTTTACATAATAATAATAATAATGCAGATCCTTATTGATCGAATGTTCAAAAATGATGAATGTTCGAATTAAGTAAAGTTCAAAAAGTATTAAAAATCCCGTATTGGCGTTCAGAAGTATTGAAAGCGATTCTTACCCATTGTCAGAATTTCTAGCTGTGGAGATAAGTGACATCTCTGGATGAGAAAGAACGTGAATAAGATTTTACACTTAAAATTAGTGCAGAAGCAAGACGGACTAAATTATCCGATATTATCAGACATATCATCATGATCTCAAGTTAATATCAATGTGTAAGGTAAATAGTTCGTTATTCTGTTTCTGTTGTTATCTGGTTTCAGGTAACCTACTAAAAACTAAGAACAAAATATAATGGGACTAAACCGAGCCTATCCTCTGCTGTCCCGTCCGTCCTATGTTCTCCTGTATTGTCCTATGTATATCCTACATCCTATGCATGAAATTCTGTATGAAACCCATGCTGAATACTCATAGCCTACTTTGCGGTATTATAACCACTAGGTATACCACTCTCCGTAACCCACGCTGGACCCCTGGTGAAATAAGAGACGATGATGAAAAGCAACGCAAAAGAAGAAAATAATAAACAAAAGCAGAAGAAGAAGGAATATTCCTGTATCTCTTTAACTTTAACTGGGTACTTTAACTTTCACAAACATAAGGAAGCGTGCACCCACACTGCAATAATTTTGTTTGGCGGAAATGATTATTCAAGAAGAATAAAAATGTTACGCTTATGTACCCAAATCTAATGATTAGAGTATAACTCAATTAAATGCTGCTGTCTTTGAGCGGTTCTTCCTGTACTTCGGAACTTAAACATTTGAGGTCTGATGTGAAAATCCTTGTGGAGGAAATCAACATCTTGGCAGAGGCACTTGATGACGTCATTCTTCAAAGTACCAATTTGTTCGAAAGAGCCCAAATGGCGGAAGCAGCTCTTTACAGAGTTAGAGATGATATTAGCAGCGTACAAGATGCATATCGACGATAAAAGACATCGTTAGTTCGTTGGTTATAAGGAACAGAAGCAAGCTTTCCTTAACTTAAAACAATCTCTTGCTAAACTTACGGCAGACCAACGAAGGCCCGAAGAAGAATAATGAAACATGAAATCTCAGAAGAACAACTGATCATGAATCCAGCCAAATTTGACGAAGAATTGACGGAGCTTACCAATCAAAATTACCTACCAATTGTGACATATGGCACTACACCAGAAGCGTCACTTGCAATACTGACGGTCTCTGTGTAAAGCAACATTGTAGAGTGCAACTCATATATACCCAACTAAATGGGTGAGCAATGTAACCAAAGCAATCGAAACAACGAGTGAGAATCAAGAACCCCTTTGCTTCAACAAGAATAATGAAGTGAGAGTAGTAATGTTATGTTTTAGACAGGAGCAGCTGATTGACTTCGCAAAACTTTGGAGAAAGCAACAACAATCATTCTGTCAATGCTTATAATCAGAAATCGATCATTCGTGCACTGTACTCTTTTTCCCTTGCCTATGTTTTTATCCAATGGTTTTTCATATGGTTACGGTTTTTAATGAGGCAGTGCTTCCCGTTGATAATGAGGTTCATAAAAAGAAAATAATCCCGAAGTTCGATTCAAAGTCTCATTTTACTTGAGGTATTGAGAAAAATACAGCAAATGATGCGTCCCAAATTCATTAAATTTTTATATTTCAACAGATGTTACGACAACTGGAATTTGTCTACTTTTTAATGGAATTTCAATTTGACCCTGAAGAACCTCCTTGCGTAACGGCAGCGCTCCTGACTCCTCTCGAAAGTGCCTGCAAGTTCCTGCAGACAAGAAGAATCACTACGACGTTTACCCTAGCGTCATGGCTTCAAAATCACAGCCAAAAGAAAAATTAGGATGCACCATTTTATACACTTAATTATGAAGGAAAACAAGAACTAATAAATTAAAGTTTAAAATTCGTTAATTATTAATACAAAATAATGTCATAATTAACATAATGCTAATGTCCTAATGTAATGTGTTCAATTGAGGAAACCTCAAGGGGGGGCCAAGAGCCCAAGATAGCATTTTAAGCCACTTCAGACATTTCGGATTTTTGAATTTTGAATTTTTTGAATTTTGATTTAAAACGCGTGATACCCAAAATCGAAGCTCAGATTCGGGTTTCTCGTAAAAAATCGATGCGATTTCATTTATCATACCCTGACACCGAATTTTGAAAAATCCATCGAACAGGAGCCGCAATGGCATTTTAGGCTACGTCCGTCATTTCTGATTTTTGAATTTAAAAAATTTGACTTAAAAGGCGTGTTACCCAAAATCGAAGCTCAGATTCGGATTCCTCGTAAAAAATCGATGCGATTTCATGTATCGTACCCTGACACCGAATTTCAGAAAAATCCATCGAACAGAAGCCGCAATGGCATTTTAGGCTACGTCCGTTATTTCTGATTTTTGAATTTAAAAAATTTGACTTAAAAGGCGTGATACCCAAAATCGAAGGTCAGATTCGGATTCCTCGTTAAAAATCGATGCAATTTCATATATCATACCCGAGCATAGCGTGAAGGAAAGAGACGTAACGTAGACATACTGATTCGAGCATATGAATGCAACGTGGCAACATGGGTAGTGCTCAGTGGGTCAGCGGAGGAGGAAGAATAAGAATTTATCGTGAGGAATTCAGGCGCCCCCCCGTTCAGTTTCACTCGGGCGACCCGCGCGGCGGCGTAGTTCAAACGGGTAGTATGACAGAATTCATACGCGTTGTTTAACCTCTTTCCTCAACGCTATGATAACATATGATACATGAAATCTCATCAATTTTTCACGAGAAATCCGAATCTGAGCTTAGATTTTGGATACTACGCGTTTTAATCTACTTAAAATCGTAGGAGGAATTACAGAATTGTCCTTGAAAATTGATCACACATTAGTGTTTTTTTACGTCATTAAACCTCTTTCCTTCACGCTATTCTAACACATGATATATGAAACCGCAGCAGTTTTTCACGGGGAATCCGAATCTGAGCTTAGATTTTGAATATTACGCGTTTTAATCTATTTAAAATCATAGGAGAAATTACAGAATTGTCCTTGAAGATTGTTCACACATTAGTGTTTTTTTACGTCATTAAACCTCTTTCCTTCACGCTATTCTAAAATATGATACATGAAATCGCATCAGTTTTTCACGGGAAATCCGAATCTGAGCTTAGATTCTGGATTTTACGCGTTTTAATCTATTTAAAATCATAGGAGAAATTACAGAATTGTCCTTGAAAATTGATCACACATTAGTGTTTTTTTACCCCGTTTTTCTTCCGCGTTACTAGAGGACGTCTGGTAAATTGCATCTTGTAGGTAATTTCATCTTAATTGCCACCTATCCACGATTTTCCTCCTAGAGGAACCCAACGGTCATTATGAAGAATCACCCTAAAGAATCATTCTAAACCAAAAAACTAAAAAAATTCACGGAAATGAAAGCAACATATATTGTTTGGGGGAAAACCTCGCATTCAATACAGTTATCGATTTTTGTATCGACTGCGAGGTTTTTTTCCAAACCAATATTCTGCTTTCATTTCTCTGAAGTTTTCCAATATTTCGGTTTAGAATAATTCTTTAGACTCATGCACAGGGGCTATCGTCCTCCTATTGGATAAAAATCCAAAATCTGCCGAGATTTTTTACATTATCGATGCGATATATCGCATGACAGTTTGACCACGTCTGAAACATTGACGAATCACCTCTTAAATGCTAAAGACTTTTTTATACGCTAGGTCCCATAAGTCTAGTCAAACTGACCAGTCATGAATTGCATCGACTATTTTATGAGGGACTGTGTTATTTAATACGCAAAACCGGAATTAGGGGTTCGAGACAGCCCCTAGAGGCTGTGGAGTCTGCTGCGGAGAGAGGGGGTGGTTAGGGCGAGACCGAGAATACGTGGCCAATCGGACGGATTGACTACCTAGAATCTCTAATTTGCCGAATTGCCGAAAGGCGCAAGCGCGACAGATGGCAGGAGATGCTTCGATACTTTCTATAAGTCGCTCTATTCATATTTATAAGCGCCAACATATTGGTGTTTTTAATACAATACCCTTCCTCAACGCTCTACAGCGCTTTGAAATGAAATGAGCACATGAGAGTTACGGGCCACTTGTACGCATGTATGATCTTTCGTATTCAACTTATTTGAAGGCGATTCAAAGCCTTCGGCTCTCTTAACGTTGATTGGCTGGTTGACGACCGAACGGCTAAACAATAACATAACCTCATTCCGTACCGAATCAAGCCTTCGAATCCCTTCACGCTTTCAGCTTCAGATCGTTACAATATAATTCTCTGTAATTTCGTTTTTGATAGGACATTGATCTGTGACTCCTTATATTTCATTTCAATACAGCGCACTCAGAAATTTACCATGGCACTTTGTAGATTTTTTGCCCAAGGTTATTGTCGTTTCGGAAACAACTGCAGATATGAGCATTCTAACTACGCCAGTTACTCTCAAGGCAATAATAGAAATTACAGAGGTAAGTCCCTATTTTGTCTATGAATTCCTCCGTAGATAATGCAGCTGATTTAGTCGGTGGATTAGAATTTGCATCCCAAATTATTTATTTTGTGGAAATCAATCACGTGTGTCTACATGTGTCTGTGCATCCATCACTCACATGAAGTAATTCGAGGTGCAAAATGCTAAAATATGTCGTGGATTGGACTTTTTCATGTAGCTAACATGAGATTCCTACGTTTTATTCTCGAAAATAAATTTTACTATTCTCAAAAGTACTTCAGAAGACTCTAGGCATTATGTAGTCTTCTTTATCGACCTACTTAAGTAACCATAATACTCATTTATGACTAGTTTTTTGTGCAGTTTGGGAATACCAAAACTCCATGCCATATGCTCTTGTCTAATTTATTCATTGAGTTATTAAATCTTGAAGTCAAATCATGCCCAAAATCTAGGCAGAAGTATTCCAAATTAATCCTGTTGATCGTGAAGTACATCATTTAGACACTGATTGAATCATACAATGTTACATCTGAACCTTGAAGTTTTTGCCCTGGTTGATCCCTAATCTGTGTGCTAACAATACTCACATCTATTTTTCAGATGGAGGAAATCGTGGAGACTATCGAAGAAATGACAACTACCACTGGCAAAAAGGAGGTAAAGGAGGAGGTGGAGGCAATACTGAAGTGGATCGCATTGCGTAAGTTCTATTTTAATATCTAATAGAACCACTAGCTAGAATGCAAATTTTGGCATTATGATAAATGTTCTCCCAAAAAATTTTCTTGTAAAAGATGATTTGTACAACAGAAATTACTGGAAGTAACTCTCAACAAACATGATGTACAATGAATAGAAAGTCAAACCTCCTGCATTTAATCTACTGGAGTCAAGTTGCTAAATTTTACCGTGACAGTCTTTACAGTTTTTAAATATGACAACCTCAATATCAGTGCTTCAGCTCAGTTATTGAATGTTGTTTCCACCGTGAACAACAAACAACATAGGGTGAAGAGAGAGCAATGCTTGATTATAAAGCCTGCCATTATTGTTGAAGTGCACGATTTGATTCAGGCGGACTCTGGTTTGTCATGTAAGTGGGAAGTTCAAATCATTTGGGGGGGGGAGGAGTTTCCTCGTTTCGTCCTGAGAGTTGTAAATGCGTGTAAAGAGACCCAAAACATTATGGATCTCTTGGCATGACCTTAGCTTGGTATTCCAGTACATCTGCCTAAACTGAACACTCTCCCCTTAGTCTTGAATTGATACTGATTAGAATTCAAATTTTTGAATCTAATGAAACTTTTTGGCCTTCCCTACAGAATAGTTTGGACCCAGTACTATTCTACCTCCCTCTCTATCAGCGAATTATTCATAAATAGCCAGGCAAACTAATTTACGATTAAATGTGGTCTGAGGAAAGAATATTCAGATCTTTATAGCACACATCGTCTCAGAAATACTGACAGTCAGTCCTGCTTACTAAGCTCCTGACTCAAATGGCTTTCTCATACTTCAAGTTATCAATAACATCCATCCAGTTTTGTGACAGAGCATTCATTTTGAATGTATTTTCAACGAATTTAGCAAATTAGGGGCTGATGAATTTTACCAAAAAAATTGGTCCTTGACAAAACTAAAAATCAAAGCATTGAAACAATCATCTTGTTTTGTTGCAGTCAAGCAATTCGTGAAGAAGTAATTGTAATCGAAAATGGAAATATGTGGCCATTCACATGCTACTCACCGCTTGCTCAGAATGGGAATTTCAAAGGTTGGGAGGACTATTCACCAGAAGAAATGCGTTATGAGATGTGGAAAGCATATCAAACCAATACTCAAGACACTTATGTAAGTATGAAATTTCTTCGGTTATAACAGTCAATGTTAGGGTTATTTGGACATTAGTGTAGAATAACTTTCTAGATGAACTATGAATTAAAGAACCAAATTGTATGAGGGTTGTGTGAGGGGGTTGTATAATGTCTCCTTTTATTTCTTAGAAACTACTGAAGCTAGAAAAGCTGCAATTATACTGTCAAAAAACTGCTACTCCTAGCTTTTCAGTGGTATAATTACGTTTGAATTCGAAGCTATAGATTGCCCACAGAATAGGTCTCACTAAGATTTTTGATCAAAGAACAATGATTTATTCAAGCGTTGAGCAATATTAGCAAATCTATACCCCCAATTTCAAGCACAAAAAAATGAGGAAGGGGGGGACTGTGCCTGGAACTTAACTAATAGATGTACCAAAATCAAGCTTTAAAAAAAAAAGGAAGAAAAAAAAATTCAAATGCATCAACCCAATGCAGTTGATGCGCTTTTATTTGTTTGGTTTCAAGTGTGTTTAGATTTTCATCAGCAAATCCCCCCTCCAAGAATTGTTATAATGGGGTTTTTTTTTTCGTGTATATTTTATCATTATTTTTACTAATTGCAGTCTTACAATTATTTTTTACTCCTTTTCCAGGACAAAGCTATTCGGACTTTACATGATTCTTTTAGAGAAAAACGGAGGAAGCTAAAAACAATCAATCAAGAAACGTTACTGGAAGTTGTAAGTATCTGTCAAATATAACTTTTTACAGGAACTATGCTTTGCATAAGTGCAAATCTAAAAGTCAATGTTCGGTAAGCCGAGTATAGGTCGACTCACCTTTTAATTCTGTATTAGAATGTGGCAGGTGAAAGAGTCAAGTTGGATTTTGGGCTCTGTCTTTGCGCAAGATCACTTTTGGAAGAAAATTTCATCAAACTTCTGTCAAGGATCAGTTTGTTAAGTGCAAGTGTTGCATGAAAATTTTAATGAGGGTAAATGATAATTTGTCATTAAATGGTTCTTATTATGTGTGTTTACAGAGGAACAACAAAGATGAAAAAAACGGGAAACAAGGCTAAAAATACACAATTATGAAACCCGAGACGTTTCGACTCAACACTGAGTCATTTTCAGTCGGAAACAATAAAAAATTTTAAAAGAAAAACGCTAAAAACCTGAGCTCTACATGGTGGGGCCGGGATCTGAGAGAAAAAAAGAACATATCTGTTGATTTTGCCCTTCAATGTGTGGAATTGAAATGGGAGGAAGTTGAAATGTTCTGTCCGTTACCTAAAGAACAGTTTTTTAGTACGTTAAAAGTGTGCCTCACCAATACCATCTGTCAGTATAATGATGCGTTTTATCAACAAATTTCGGGTTTGGCCATGGGAGGTAGCCTTTCGGCTGTCATGGCTAACATATCCATGGAGCGCATCGAAAGTACTGCTTTGAGTTTATCTCCCATCGAAATCCGCATGTACAAGCGGTATGTCGATGATATTTTTTCTTGTGTAAAAAAAGAAGATACGCATGCTATTCTTGAATTTTTCAACAGTTTAAATCCCGCCATAAAATTTACCCTTGAAATTGAGAATAACAACTGCCTCAATTTTTTGGATATGACTTTAATAAGGGTGAATAGCGAGATTAGATGTAAGTGGTATCAGAAACCAACGGCGTCTGGTCGTTATGTTAATTTTTTATCTGTTCAACCCATGAATGTAAAGAAAAACGTTGCATCTAATTTAGCACGGCGCATAATTGGTCTCTCTCATGTTTCATATCGGCATGAGATGATCCAGATTGGAAAGAATCTGTTGGTTGAAAATTGTTATCCACCCAATTTGATAGCAAAGATTTTCCGCCAGGTACTTAGTAGTTTTAATAAGAGAGGGGGGCAGGATAAAACTACCAAAGAACGGGATCTCGACAAAATTGTATGCCTTCCATACGTTCCCTTCCTTTCGGAAAATTTGTCATCGATTTTAAAATTGTTCGGGTACCATGTGGTTAACACCAAATACAACAATCTTGAGTTCCTGATGTCTAGGGTGAAGGCTAAAAATCCGATTCTGCAGGAATCGGGGTTGGTCTATAAAATTCCTTGTGGAAATTGCGACATCAGTTACATCGGTCAGACCAAGCAACTTCTAAGGAAGAGGCTTGGTGGTCATAAATATGACAATAGTGAGTTAACAGCACTCAAGAGGCACCAAACAGAATTTGGTCACCGGTTCAATTTTGATAAGGTGGTGATTTTGTGTAAGGAAGAGAAGTTGTTTCCCAGACTGGTCCTGGAAATGATCGAAATCCTCAAACATGGGGATTCTGTGTGTAATAACCGCACTGACATCAGCGGGCTTAGTGCAATATACCACTCACTTTTTAAAAAGTCAGGTTTAGGTTGACGCCCCAGCGGCACCTATTGGCTTTTCCTTGAACTTAATTGTTTCACTGGTTAGTGCTGCCATCTGTGTGTGGATCGTGAACTAGCGTATCGGTCATTTTCGGTTACTGGTGCTGGCATCGATGTGTCTTGTTTGTTATCAATTTTCTTTTTTTCTCTCAGATCCCGGCCCCACCATGTAGAGCTCAGGTTTTTAGCGTTTTTCTTTTAAAATTTTTTATTGTTTCCGACTGAAAATGACTCAGTGTTGAGTCGAAACGTCTCGGGTTTCATAATTGTGTATTTTTAGCCTTGTTTCCCGTTTTTTTCATCTTTGTTGTTCCACTGTTATCATCGTCTCGGGCTGCTCCTAAAAATTTGTATCTGTGTTTACAGAGGGATTACCTGAACTCTTCACCTGAATCTGGTTATGGCATTTTGAACAATGCAAGTTATATTTTCCAATCTTCAACTAGTGTCTTTGGAAACTCTGGCTCCAGCCAAAACTTCAGTTTTGCTTCTGCTTTTGGAAATACTGCATCTCAGCCTTCAACAGCAGCAAGTGATTTTTCTTTCAGTCAAGCATTCAGTAATCCGACAACAGGATCAATATTTGGTGGCCAAACCACTAATACTGGCTCAATATTTGGTGGACAGTTGCCACAATCTGGAGTGTTTGGTAATAGCCAAGCCTCTCAACAATCATCTGTTTTTGGTCAGAGTCAACTGCAGCAACAAACATCAATTTTTGCTCAAAATCCATCACAGGCAACCATATTTGCACAAAACCAGCCTGCTCAAAATCCATCACAGACAACCGTATTTGCACCAAACCAACCTGCTCCACAAGCATCAGTGTTTCAAAACACAGGTAGCATATTTGGTGGCTCCAACACTGCTGCCCCCTCACAAAGTGTTTTTGGAAATTCCTTTCCCAACTCTGCTCCTGCTGAAAATGCTTTTACGCAGCCCAATAATTTTTCCCAAAACGGTGCTTTTCAGTCTGAAGCAACGAGAAGTGGGTTTGGTCCAGCCAATCCTCAAAATAATAGCTCTTTCCCACAAGCTTTCCCCTCCAACTCTCAGCAATCACTGTTCAGCAATAATGCAGCTAATAATAACAGTGCCTTGACCCAAGTAAGCGCATTCCCAAGCATCCCTTCAGTGGGTACTAATTCATCAACATCTGTGTTCTCCCCAGTAGATAGTTTATCAGAAGACGAACTCCTAGCCTTTAAAGCGCAGACATTTTCATTTAAAAAAATTCCCTTGAGTGCCCCACCTGAAAGTTTATGCTATTAGTACCTAATGCTTAATCTTTACTTCCTCCTTTGTTATGGCTGTGACTCCTTTCAAGATGAGAATCTCTATTCTCTATCACAATTTCGTCCAAAGTCTTTATTTTTTCTAATTATTGAATTTTGAAGGTCTACTTTCGTGTTTAATTTTAAGTAGTCAATTTAAGCACTAGTTTTAATTTAGGTAAATAAGAATCATAACTTGTTATAAACTAGATTGTTCCCTTTTGGCTTTGATATTAAATAATAAGATTAATTTTTAAAATGCGTCAGTTTTTTTTTTTTTTTTTTCCTTTAAGATCCGGAAAAGCATTTATTTTGTCTCACCTTGACAATCTAGTGGAAGGAAAGAAAAAAATCATTAAAAATGAAGCATCATAACAAATGCTGCTATCTGCTGCCTAGATTCATGCTACAAAATTTTAATGCATTTCATATCAAAATATGATTCCGAAGAAAAATTTTCTACCCCTTTACTTATGATCCTTTCTGTAGTAAGTAAAGTATTGGCTAAAATGGAGGGTAAATAAAGTATTTAAATTTTAGCGTTCCAAGACTTTCAATGATTGGTCTATCGTTTTCACCCATTTTGACTTCCTTTTTTCCACTATCATTTTTGGATAGGACCTTAATCAAAATTGACCAATTTGAATCTTAGCCAGATTAGATAATCAGGAGAGAGAGGGTCAAAATTAAGACTGAACTTGGAAAGGTTGTATCACTTCAACAGTCTGTCATGCAGAGACAATCTCTAAGTACTTAAAAATTTAGAAGAGACTATTGATCCACAGTTTTGATTATAGAGAATGATCGATCTCCAAACTTCCTCTCATTGTTTCTGTATATCAAGCTTTCAATTTTGTCGCTTCATTTAGACCACAGAGAGAGAGAGAGATGGAATTACTGAAAGAGAACAACACTGAATGTATATGTAAGTTGAATGTCTGAGCTGAACCCTCTATGGCATTGTGTAACTTATTCGCAACAACACATGTTTTGGATTCGTTTGAAAAATTTAATTTTTCCAAGGTGGCAAAGTTTTGCAAATTTTCATTGGTGTTTTTTCTTTGGAAAAAACGATTACATACAAAAAATTTGGAATTTTGAGAAAAAATTTGGGACTCTAGCGTTTTTATACAAGCTACATCATAGATTTGTGTTCCCCAGAATGTAAAATCCAGAATTAATTCATGTCATAGAGGTTAAACAACGCGGTCAAGTTGATACTGTGTCGCCATAATTTGCATTGTTGATTATGTTACAGGCATTTGAAGTGAATGTCTCCTAAGACTGGCAACATGCGAACCAACACTAAAAATAGTTTCCTTGAATTCCCTCTTTTTATTGTCATACTCAGAATTGCTGCCTAAGGTCCAACTTTGTAATTTTTGGGTGTTCCTCAGGGAAAATGACACAGAATTGGTCCTGCTAAGCTACAATGTTAGTCACTTTGATTTTTTCTCTTCATCTCAAAGGACGCTCTTCCAGACCCCATCATAAGTGCAATGCATTTAATGATGGTTTGTAAGGTAGCTTGAATAGAATTGGTAAATATTTTAGCCACTTTGAATGAAATAACTTAAATTCCAATTAAAATAGTTCTTTCGGGAAATAAATCATTGGAACAGATTTGTTAGGCTATAGATACCTCTGACTGTTAAAAAAAAAAATTGTTCTTCAAACAATGGTCTGATTTTTTTTTTCTTTTCGTTCTGAAAATATTACAGATAACAAGGACTTGGGCTCAACGATTTTAGAAGAGTGAGTGATAAAAATCTCTTGATAGCATCAATTGTGCTTTTTTTCCATTTTAATACCTCAGATGAATTCAATCGCGTAGATTTAATCAGAATCATCCTGACTGACTCATTATGTTACCTAATTTCTTTGAATGTTTTATTTTTGTAAGAAAAACCATAACATTCAGTTAAAAAACAAACAATCTCTAAACTTTCTGTGAATTATTCTGGCATTAAAAAAAAGTTCTTGCACAATACCAAGCAAATATGTTGCTTGGGTTTAAATTTTTAAAGAAAATGAAAATATAGAAATAAAACAAGAGAAAAATTGGGTAACATTTGATGTACCTAGTTAGGCTGATTCTGATTTTATTTGTCCAATTTTAGAGATTTGTTCAATTCAAAATTGTAACAAAGGGTGGAGACTGGAGCAGGAGAATCTAATGACTTTTTCACCGAACGGTCAATTTTAAGGATTTTTAGACAAATGACCTCTCATACCTCTAGCTAGAGGGATGAAAAAATCTTTGATTTCTGACCCTCTTTTTCTAAAGTAATTTTAAAGATATGTTGCTTCTTTATCATGAGGTTGCATCTCCAGTCAATTTCAATATGTACTTTCCATTGAGAACTTTACAGGTCAAAGAAAAAGCAAGTTTATGGTGTAAACTCAAATAGGTATATTACATCCAGTAAAAAAATACAAAACAGCTTTTGATCAAATTAGTTAAGCGCGTGATTTTCATTGAGGTTGATAACTTTCAACAAAAAGGTGAGGACTGTCATGCAACATGATTGCAATTATTTAAGAATGAATTAAGAGTTCAAACCTAGAGTGAAGAAGAAAATGAGTACGAAAATAATCACATCAAGTGAAAATGTGTTAGTTGCAAGGCAATTGAAAAAAGTAAATACACAAACTGCTCTTTATGAAAGATAGATTGATTATTTAAAATAAGTTAACTTAGGAGGAAATACTCAAATTAATTGTGAAAAATTTCACACCTCTGAATCAACCGTCTAACTGTCCACTGGCATAGGCGTTGCCATAACCAGAACCTTCTTTCCTTTCGGGGTCTAATTTAATCATATCATCAATTCGTAGGATAGTAATGGCTGCCTCCGTGGCAAATTTAAGAGATTTTATCTTTGAGACAGCAGGTTCTAAAACACCAGCCTTCTTGTTATCCCTGACAGTTCCACTGAAGAGGTCTAGACCAATCCATTTAAATTCTTCATGACCTTTTTGGGTCTGGCTAGTATTGTGAAAAGCTCGCAGTTTAGCTACTAAATCTGTTGCATCTTGAGCAGCATTTACAGCCAAAGTTTTTGGAATAACCAAGAGAGATTTGGCAAACTCAGCGATGGCCAACTGTTCTCGAGATCCTAAGGATGTAGCAAAGTTTTCAAGATATATGGATAGGGCTGCCTCAACAGCACCACCTCCGACAACAACAGATTTAGATTCTAGGACACGCTTGACTACACAGAGGGCATCATGCACAGAACGTTCCATTTCATCAAGATAGAACTCATTAGGTCCACGAAGTATGATCGAGCTAGCTGTGCGAGCTTTGGGTCCTCTGATGATGATTAATTCGTCGTCACTTATTCTCTCTTGAACAACTTCTGCAGCATCACCGACAGAACTGGATTCGAAAGTTTCTTCGCCCTCCATGTTTGTCAAAGATGTTAAATACGCAGCACCTGTAGCTTTAGCCAACCTCTTCAAATCTGACTTCTTGACACGACGCACAGCCATTGCTCCAGCCTCAATAAAATACTTCAAACATAAATCATCAATGCCTCCTGTGCACAGGACAACATTAACACCAGTCGCTAAGATCTTCTGAATCCTTTCTTTAGTTATATCTAACTCTCGTTGGCGAATAGCATCAAGCTTTTCAGGGTCGGTGATGAGTACTTGAACTCCAAGCTTCATCTTTGCTTTCTGGAGGGAGAAGTCTAGGCAGGCTATTTTGGCATTCACTATTCTCTTTGGCATGGCTGAAACAGAAATAAGAGAAACTCAAATAAATAAACCATTTAATGATCTATTAATCTACAGTGGCCAGTTTACTACTTATTTTCAGAGACAGATTTTCGACGTCACCGCCTCAGCTTACCTTGCTGTTTTCCAGACATAAGTAATGAAATAGAAAAGAAGAAAAAAAAGTCATCACTTTTGAAATCTGCTGCTCATTTCCGTTATTTACTGCCTTACCCGGGAATGGAAAAAAAAGCTGCTAGAAGGTGCAACCCTACCAAAATCCAGCAATACTCATTATGGAAGAGAAAACAAAGAGCTGATACATTGTCGTTTTCAGCCTGGAAAGTTATTCAAGTCAAATGAACTTTCAAAAACTACTTGTAGAAATATATGCAGTGAATAATGAAATCAATAAAGGGATCAGATACTTAGTTGATGAAAAAATATGTACGTACTTCACTGAGATGAGAAGATCATAAGATCCATCTCTCAGTGTGATACTTTTTCTACCATAGAACCAATTTTGGGAAAAAAAGAGTGATTTTCTTGGAAAATAAGACAGTTACAAATAGAAATTCCTACTCAGCACTGCACCTACCATTTCAATGTATGAAAAAACTGAAAATGAATTCCAAATAAATTATTTAATTTTTGTATGAAAAAGTTCTGAAAACTTAAGGACTGTCTTGAAAGTATCCGAGAAGATTCAATCCAAACATTTATAACACTAAGGAGATAGAATTTGTCATGAGAAATAGCTAGGATTTGAGCACAAAGGTATTCTTGAGGTAAGAAACATATTGGTCCTTCAAAATTACTTGAAAGTATTTACCTTGTGATGCTACCGTACAATTTAGAGCGTAACCTTGAATCAAAAGACTTTCTCTTGCACTCTTGCCGTGCGACTTGAGGACGTTGACAGCATTGATAGGATACAATGAACCACCTTTTCCATCTGATATTTTGACAGCATTTGCGGCATCAACAACCATATTAGAAAAGAATTCATCGTCACTGAGTTTTTCATTAAGGAAAAGATGAGAAGGAATAGCTGCTGATAAAAACTACTTAAGATAATTTCTGTTTCGTAGCAAAGGCACTCATAAGCTATCTACTGCGTAGACTATGATAAAAAAGACCAAGATATCAGATATCTGAAAGACCCCTGGACAAGATCAATACTTGCTAAAATCTGAGTAAGAAATCAAACAATTTGGAACACCATCTAGGGAGAATCTAGACATTCTTCAACCATCAGGTTTTGAGATGGAGACAAAAATTGAATACTTGCTTACTCTTTATAAGAAGCAAAGGGGAAACTGCACAATCTTGGCAAACACTACACTTTCCCCTCAACTTAATTAATTCATTTCAAGAGTGGCAGTAGCCATTAGAATCTCACAAGGATTTCATGATGTCAGGCGTACCAACTGAACCTTAAAAGGTACTTAGGTTTAGTAGCTGATGAAAATGAGATTTTTAATTTTTATATAAGACATAACAAAGATGTTTTCATCAACTGAGGTATGCATTTGATATGGACTTTTATACACAAAGGTGCTTAAGTCAACTCTGCACATTTGTAACAACGCTTTCTTTCTCTTTCAGTGTTGGGTATAAATTAAAAAGCTGTAATACATTGATACTCAGTAAAGAAAACAAAACAATAAAGAATGGTAAGCAAAAGTCAAAAAAGGATACGCTCCAATCAACTTGCTGGACATTGATGTTTTTGCGGCATTCACCAAAGATTCTCTTCCAATTTCATCTATGTTCAGTGTTAGGTGGGCTTGAATATACTTGCAGGCTTCCCTGAAACATAGTAAATTGAATCATGAGAGGTAAATGAACCAAAAAAATTCAAGAAACCTGATAGAATGGGATGGTTCCAATAATAATTTTTACAGCATAAGTAGGTACAACCATTAACAGCCAAGTAATTTCCAACAAAGATAATTGCAAGAATAATTGCGCTGTGAACATCACAAGAATATAAGAAATCGGCCTCAGTAAAAGGGCAGATGCTGTGAAAACCAAAATATGACCGAAATTCAGGGCAAATTCAAACTTTTTAGAGTTAAATGATCTAAATCATTAAAGAAAAAGAAATTGACGTTTTCAGAATTTAAGACTTTTGTAATATCTCTTTAATCCCTCATGAATGATGAGAGTGATTTGACACCAAAGATACTTTAAATTGAAATTTTTCTCAAATTAGCTGAATTATTTCCTGTGTTCTATTTTTCTAGTAAACATCTTCATCAGGCATCATGAATGTTGCTTTTGAGATTATAGATTTCACAAATATCTACCTCAGAAAACTTGAACTACTCCTGACATGGAGAATGTTCTAACTGTATACGCAAGAGGTAACTGATGGTATTGCCTGAGATTGTGCTACCCTTTTCCTTACAATAAATCAACAGCAAAGCTTACCAGTAAATGAGATCGAAAGGATGATTTTCAAGTTTGGTTTTCATTTATTGGAGTTCCCAAACTGTTTAATTTTTCAAGTATTTCTCTTGAGATAAAAATAGGTTGAATAATCTTGGCGTCGTATAACATTCCAGTGATATAGCATCATACTTGGACAAAATAATCGATTTCAGACAAGAGTCTGATAAGAATTCGTGTATTTGAATTTGCAATAAGTTTTGCTGGTTGAACAAAACAAACAAAGGAATTTGCCAGTCAAACGAGAGCCAATTTTAATATAAATTAACACATCAGATCAGTATTGCATGTCTTTTTTATATTAAATATTCTTTTTGATTGAAAGGGACTGCTCTCACAATGATCGAGACAAACATGAACTAAATTAATTTTAAATGTTTTGACAATTTTACACATACTTGCAAGCCAATCGATATCCACTGATGATTGAGGTGGGATGAATTTTTTGCTTGACTAGGTCATCAGCACTTCTCAGTAATTCAGCTGCAATAATGACCTGAAAAAAGGTTGTTAATTAATTATAACAATTAACTGATTATACAAGTCAAAAATTTCATCNGGGGGGGGGGGGGGGGGGGAGAGGAACTGAGTTCTCCCACAGATGTTTAACTTCCTCTTGGATGTTATCATTTCAGGTTTTGAGATATTTTTTGACAGTGTGGTTTCGCTTTACTCGTCATTATTTAAATTATTATTTATTTTATTCTCTCTGAATTCGATTTCCCAGTTTCGTTATCGCCTACCAAAACATAAAATAATATTACTTTAACCATAAATATATTTTGATAGCCAACAAGCATAACCATGTATCTACATTGCCATGCTTCAAAATTTCCTCTGATATTTTACTTGTCCAAGAAAACAAAAACAGAGAAACAAGCCAAATTTATAGTTGAAGATATATACAGAATATTCTACTAATAGAGAAGAATAGTTAAAGAAAGGTTCAAAAAAATACTTTGATTTTAGACAGAAAACATGAAGTATAAAAGGACGTCTGCAACATTACAAACAGAGATACAAGGTTTCCCACTTTGACCATCCACTTAAAACTATGCTTTGTTCAATTTTGCTTATAAGTTTTCACTTAATCACTAAAATAAATCCTAGGCAAACAACACTTCTGTAGGGTTAAGTTTACTGTGGAGGCTTGTTTTCATACCTTTTTCCTTCTCTTTTTTACAAAACCAAAGGTATTTTATAGTCCATACATGCCTTTAACAGGGACAAAGAAGGATCACTTCATGAATACAAATTTGCAGCAGCTTCAGGCATGATTCGATCTAATTTTGATGAAACGAAGGCAAAAAAGGAGTGATACATACCACTGAAGTTGTTCCATCTCCAACTTCCTCATCTTGAAGCTGAGCAAGCTCTACCAGGACTTTTGTTGCTGGGTGTTCAACTTCTAATAGTTTTAAAATAGTTGCTCCATCGTTCGTTACCACAACATCCTGGAAAGAGAAAATGGCAAAATTAAGAACCAAGGACAATGAGGACAGAAGCACATGGGCGAAGTTCCAAATGTCAGATTCAGATTTATTTATTAATCAGGAAATACATCAGAAATACGGTGAATAAATGGACGCCACTACAACAATCTTGCCAAGAGGTCAAACTAAGTGTACCTTAATATATCTTATGTAACCAAATGTACCTTAATGAAAGGACCTGCAACTACTGTAACTTTGAAAAATAGGTGCTCAGCAGTTGAAGCACCTTCAACAAAGCGATGATCATCATGCAGTCTCTTGAACAGTTCTGGGCTTGGAACTTTTCCTTGCTTGGTGTCATAGTAAAAAAAACTCCTGAATTCAAAACCGGTTTCAGACACAAGGAGGAGGACATAAATCAATCTCATGGGCTAAAAAATTGTATGTGAAAAAGTTGAGGAGCTGCAACTCAGATAAGAAACACTTACTCCAATATCATCCACCAGCATTTTATCCAAACCCACAGGGCCTAGGGAACTTTTGACAATGTTGGCGATAGCACAAGCAGCCATAACTGAAACACAGAGAGGAAATTTTGATTAGAGCAAATGAATGAAGAACAGTACGTGAATAATACCTGAGAAGGTCTTATACAAGACTTAAGTTAAACTATACATCCCCATCTGAGAGGGAGAAATCTCATTGATCAACTGATCATATCGATTAATAGAATTTACTCTTTCAAGACTCTAGCCTTGGAAAAAGAGATAATTAACTTCAAGTTTTAATCAAATATTTTCAGGGCGTTAAATGACCTCTGAAGGATTCGCCTTCTTGTAAATAATCAAATTTCATACATAATTAGTCATGTGTCAAATTTGGGGCACTGTGCTCAACTAAAGACCTTTGGTCCACCTTAAGAAGAGCAGATTCAAGCTAAAGACTGATTTGGAGGCTACATCATGGTTAAATTGTGAACAAACACATGACATTGTCTCAGATTTGTGCCCATCTAGTCATGGTGGTAAGGTGCATTGAAAAGTTTCTTGAAATTGAAATTTATCTTGTCCTGACGTGATTAATTTATGACCTGTCAATGATTAAATAGTGATGAATTAACACAATTAACTCCCAAAGAATTTGTTCATGAGGATATGTTATTTGTTTTGGTTTGAACCACTGAGCTCTATATTATATTGAATGACGTAGTCATTTACTTACTCAGTCGATTGCTGTTGCACAAAATTTTTGTTTTACCTAGCACTGAGATAGAGCTCAGGCATCGTACCTCAAGACAAACGTCTAAGTATTGTCGACATCACCACTCATCGTAGTGCCATCTAACCGCATGTACTGACCTGTTGAGTGGTATTTATTCAGAGCTGATCAGAGATTGATGCTTGTCTCATAGAGTACAGAGAGTCGTAAGGTACATGGGAGAGCTGGTGCCACTTAAGTATAAGCATTTTCCAGGTCCCGAATTCTGAGACTTCTGTGTCAAGCCAGGTCACTTTCTCGATACATGATCGTTTGTTTTTGATACAGGGGTCCCCGGGCATCCGACGTAAACAAAGGTGATAAAAATTACCACATATTCCGCACTGCCATTTTTGATCAAACATGTATCGAAAAAGTGACCGAGGCTCAGCTCACACCTGACTTGGAACTCATCAAGCAGAACATGACGCCAGCTCTCCCATTTACATTACAACTCTAAGCACTCATCCGCTTGTCTCAACATACAATGCGCGAGCACTACACTCCAGAATAAACTGATTTTCAATAACCCTTTCACAAATTGACTCTTGGTGAGTTGTTTGACAAAAGTAGTGTAAAATTATCCTGAGGGGGAAAAAAGGCTAAATTAATGGAGCACAGCAATCGATATGCAGGGATAAAGTGTCATCAAAAAGTAGGGACATGTTCCCATTGCTCCCCATGAAAATTGTAGGCTCCAACATGCACATGTCCAGTAATACCCTGAATTCAAAGTAATAAAAGACCAAAAATTGACCGCATTGCAGTGGTGATCATAAGGCGATAAAAATCAGTGAAAAGTCACATTAGGTGAGGTTTTACGGTTCTAAAATCATGGTTTCCAATCAAAATTTCACAAAGGAATCACGCCGGACACATGGCTCGCCCAACGTAAATTAGGGGTTTGTTTACTTACCATTTTGAGTTCTTACGGGTGTCCCTGAGCTCCGAGAACCTGCTACAGTTAAAGCACTAGCGACGGTAGACATTTTCTTTATAATTTGTTTTACAATCACTCAATCTAAAAGATAAATATCATAATACAAAAAGTTCAAACAGTGACAGCGACACCCCGAAACTTTGTGAAAGATCAAGATGAAAGAAAATGATGCGCATAGAGAATGAAAGTAAAGGAGGACTGAAGCGACTGAAGCGGCGAGGCACCTATTGTTACTGAATCAATTGCTCAGAGAGAGCAGCACTATGAGATAAATTTTGCTTATGCTCACAAGAGAGCAGTGCTGTTTCATAAAGTCATACCTCAAATGATTCTCTGTGTGTTGTATACTCTAGTATACTCTATGCTGTGCCACAGTTTGTTTATAAACACTTTCCTCGCGTTATCAGTTCCTTTTTGCATTTTCCCGATGCTCGCGACTTCAGCGACTTCAGCTTTCAGTTTTCAGCATTTTTTACGGTGTTAAATCTTTGTGCTGTAATTTCAAGTGAAAATAAATATCCCTGGATATTATCTTAATCACGTACCGTGATATTGACGCCTACTTTCGTGCCACTCCGGTTGATATAAATGGTTAGAAGATGGTATTGGGTTAGACCAACTGCTTGGTTTTTTTCACAGAGACAAGGATTTGTTAAAATCTCATATCCTCCAATTGTCTTCGAAATACTACTTCAGTCGAAACTTAAGTTTTTGTTCCTCTTTCAGTCTTCTCTCATTACACTTGAACATCTATGCTCCTCTTTGCATACATATTTTCAATTTAAGATCAATCATTCTTGTCTTCTGCAGTGACGCGTAAATTAACGGATGTTATTCATTTACGTCTCGGTTCCATAAAATATAATACCCTTTTGTGGAGGTATGTTTCATGTGTTGGATGAGTGAGTCTCTTTTCAGAGCTCGGTGTTTAAGAGTAGACATGAAATGTTGTGCTGGCGTTGGAGAGGATCGCGGAAAGCATGGCTGCTTTTGTTAGCCATCACTCTTTCAGTCATGTTCATTGGTTTTTGGAATCTGGATGCCGATATCCCCACCTCTGCAAATTATAGAGATGATTGGGTCAATGTCAGGTCAGTAATTTTTCAAGATGTTTTTGAATTTACCTCTCAAGTTGCTCGGAGATGAAGGTAGAGCTCGCTCTTTGGATGTTGGGACTAAAGTCAAGTCTTGTTCGTATCACTATTCAACATTAGTGCCATCTAAGTGAATGAATTAATCTGATGAAGTGCCGATTTGGAGCTAACGTTCGTCACAACACACGAAACTCAGAGAAAATACAGGAGGTGTTGATTCATTGAGAAATGTACATTTCTACATCTTAGGAAGTCCAATCAGAGTACCCCTAAAGTTGTGAAACGTACAGCATATGCCTGTGCTTTACTTTAGCCTTATTTTCTGTGCCTGATGTGGGTATGTCATAGCTATTTCTGAAGGTGACTACCTCACCCCCACCTTCTGTATTTTCCCTATATGATGAGCCAGCAATGTCTACATTTCAAAACTTTATTTGTTTTATTCAATTCTTCACTGATGCATTGCACAAGAAATTCAAATTTGAGCAATTTGTAATTTATATGATCATTTACCAAGGGGCAAAATAATATATCCTATTCTTTACTTCAATCAAACATCCCGGGTTATAAGCACCTAGCAGTGCACAAGCATTTTTCCCTCAGCCGGGTTGTGTCGGTGCATTGTTAAGGAGTAAATAAAATGCCCATTTTATATGCCCCTCTCTCAGCCTATTTGTAGTAAGTGCAATCCGTAGTGGTGAAATAAGTCTCTTGATCAACAATTACAACCTTGAATTTCCTGAATGCATAACCCGAGTTCCAGTTTCTTGCCACTTTCGGGTGCAAAAGGTGATTTTGCTGCACTTTCTTGTTTGTAATTTTTTTTCTGAATCCGAAATTTTTTTATATCTACCTATGCTCGAAAAACCTCGCCAAATTCGCCGCCCCCTTAAATTTTCCGCCATGGGCTGGCCGGGGTCCGAGCCCCCCCTCCCCCTCTAAATCCGGCCCTGCTCTGCGGTGCTTCCTCCACCTTAAGAAAGAGAGAGAAATGAACATGCAAGTACTCTCAGTTCCTGTTTGATCATTACTGTAAAGGCTAAATTAAGGAGCTCAGGGTAACCGTGCCCCTGACGGCCTTTCGACGTTGAGATTTTATGCTGAGTATATTTTACCGCCACAACCAGAGGGCCCAAGAACTTGAAATCCAACCGGCATTCAATGTGAAGCGCTGTTGGAATTTCCTCCCCCTTCAAAAATGTATGAAACCCGAAAAGTATACACTTGTTTCTCTCTAATCTTTTCCACCGTCATTCTCATCATCTACAATGCAAAAACGCTCAGAGTATCTGAAAACACCGATTTTTTGCTAAACTTTGACGGATTAGATTTTTTGAAGTATGGTTTGTACCTATAATAATGTAATTAATTAATTAATCAATTATTTATAATTACAAATCATTTTACGCATGGGCTGCCTGTATTTGTCCGCGCCCTTCTCATTCGGTAAGTGGACGTGTCAGAGGGGGAGGGATGTATGAGACGCGTTTACTCGTGTTGGGCACATTTCTTGTGAAAGCCCTGTCAACACAAACAAAAGTTCACGGAACTTTACGCTAAAGTTAAATTCCGTAAATCCATCCCTGTTTGGACAAGGCCTCCCATTTATAACAAAAGAACGAAAAAATCATGAAAGAACGAACTTAAATATGGTCTAATAATTTTAACTTCCGCCGCTGCGCCGACCGCACTGTGTTTGGTGCAATGCGTGAAGTATTCATGCAGTCTTGTAGGCGCTATGCATTTTACGCCGACCGTTGCAGAGTGCAGACCGCACTGTTTGACGCAATGCGTGAAGTATTCATGCAGTCTTGTGGGCGCTATGCGTTTCAAGCCGACTGCGACTGCTGCTGACCGCAGTGTGTCTGACGCAATGCGTGAAGTATTCATGCAGTCTTGTAGGCGCCATGCGTTTCCTCGTATGGCTCCTCGTACTTTTTCTCCGCAGTTAATTCAGTCCTTTAGCCGACTAGGAATATAGGGCCAGAAGAGGTCTCACAGTTAATTTGACCATCCTCTCGAAAAATGTCTATGGCACCCGGACCAATATAGTTTATCAAATATAGAAATTGCAAATGAAAAAAAAGAAAAAACCAGTAAAACAGCTTAGTAAAAGTAAAGTAAATCGCGTTAAAGGCTGGCATTTTTCGTTCTTCTCGAGACAGTCAATTAATTCGTCGTCTCCCGGAGGAAGGAACGTATTTTCATTCCTGAGTCGCAAAATTGACTCGAACAATTCAATATTTTACAATAAAGCACTTGCGCCTTTTTGTCTAAAATTCCTCTGATTATTCATGAGATGTGAAGAATAATCAGTGAAATTTTCAGTCAGGAATGTCCGAGATTCTCCCGGCAAAAATGCAATTTGCGCGAGGGAAAATTTGGCAACATTGAAATGCAGTTACGTTCTTTCCTCCCCGAAGCGATATTTTTGCTGCGTGCGACTGTGATGCCGCATTCACACGCTGGATGTGGGAGCTGAATGTGGCTTGAATGTGGAAGTCATCGGCCCGATGCCTGAATTTTGCGCGTGACGCGCAAAATTCAACAACGATTCTCAGCGACCATCGGATAATGTCGGATTTATCTGAACTATTCGAATAGATTTGATACACATTCGGATGAAAATAACTCGAATTAGTGAAATTTCAGCTGTTGAGCGCTGACTGTTGACTGCCACATTCAGCTGCCAAATTCAGCGAGTGATTGCGGCATGAGGTAAAATTGACTTAAATATCACATCTGCTTAACTACCTAACACTCTCTTGATGCTAGCAACCTACACCTACGTGTATCAGTCAAAATTAAATACTCGCCCATCAAGATCCGACACCTTCATCTATCTCAACCCGTCCTCGTCGACATTCGTACACGCATGACCGGAAAATGATTGCCAATTAATTGAAAATTCTCGTGGACTCGGCGTTACAACTGGTAAGTCCTCTCTTCGGCGAAGTCAAAATATTGACGCGCGCAGCTCATCGGAAATGAAATTAATGACGGTATCAGACGAATGATTACTCGAAGCAGCCACCCGTGAAGCATAGTCGAGCCGCAGTGATGGAAAGATTCAAAGTAAATCGATGACAATAAGCCCGTGGCGACGTGTAAAAATGACGGCGTGACCGCTACTGCTCCCTCAGAGATGATAGAAGCAAGGGGTCCTGTGCTTAGAGCGGAGATACGTGCAATTTCCAGGAGCATCGGTGCTTCCTTTGAATATTTTCAGGAGACTCGGTGCTTCCTTTAAATATTTCCTGGATTTTTATTTCAGTCTCGAAAAAATAAACAACTGTCTCTTTTAGTCGACTTTTATTAGACGTCCTATTTAGTATTAAGGGCATCTACTATTACTTTGTAAGTCTTGCGACGCGACCAAGATTTCATTTTCACATATTATTTACAGGATATTAATTATCTTACAACCAAGTCATTTCAAAAAAAAAAAAATAAAAATAAAAAAAGAGACGCGGTAAAATATTATTTTAGAGCTTATTTTGAGAAAAATGATCAGTACAGCTTTTGGATAGGTCTGTATCCAAAAGGTAAGTTGTACAATCTTTACAACATTCCATGCCTCGAACGAAAATGTCCAGGATTAATTTTGGACGATGTTAGCGAAAGAGAAGACGCGACTAAAGGACGTGTAGAAAGTTTTAAATCTGAGGCTTACATTTTTAATACGGCAGAACATGTTATTGTTTCTCTACTTTTATGAAGAATGGCTCGAATTCGGGTGCGAAATTGAGGGCTCCTTCATTCCGACGTTTTTGCAATTTAAATCATTGTTTCTTTACTTTCGGATGTTGAGTTCTATCGCGAGGAGTGAGCCAACGGTTCTCGATTCGTGAATGTGTTGCGTAGAAAGTGAACTGTTTTTACATTAATGTGTTCGATATTTATTATAGTGTTAAATCGTGGTGCGCTGCACGGCTACGGGCTGTCGTGAGTACCTATTCGCTCCCTTAATTCATACTGTAACGTGTAAAGCTCCGTTTGTAATGAGAAACACGTTTCCGAGTCGGTGATCACTCTAACCGTTCTCGAGAGGCTAAGCTGATGCTGATAGACCAATGCAGCTATCTGTCCGTTCGTTGCTGTGTTGCCGTCTTTTCCTTTCCTTTTCCGAAACAACTTACGCGCTTTTGCGCGGCATTTGATAAACAGGCGAGGGAAAGTGACTCGACCGCCTGAAAATTGAACACCACACAAAATTAGACAAAGTGTAAGATCCTCCTCTTGGGTCTTTGCCCAATGGTTGAGTTTGGTATTATGATTTTATCAACTTTTAACAAAACGGCGTATATCCGTCTCATCGAGAAGTGTCATGACCTGAAGAGGAGCACTCCTTCTTCAGACTTATTTTTTCAGTCTATTTTGGGGGAGTTCTTCGAAAATTTTCCGAAGATCTGCTCTTTCTGAGTTCCAGTTCAAAACTCTTCCACTGATTCATGCAGTGGTGAAAATGATTTCTCATTGATACTCTGATCGCATTAAAAGGTGCGCGCACAGTAGGCTCAACTTGAGCGCGTCGCTGATACGAAAAAACGGCAACTTCAAAAATTCATAACTCAAAAACGGCTGGGCATTGGCACCCAAAAAAAATACGGCCTCTTATATTAACCGGTTCTACGTCTCTGTCAAATTTGAACCCGATCTGAGGGGGACAATCGGTAGCCTCCCCTTGTAAGCAGTACGTTTGGAGTCCATAACGCTAGTTTTCGCGTAAAGATGAGTGATAAGCAATTTGTTGAACAAAAAATTCGCCAAATGAAGATCGATTAATATCGGAGTAGGCGAACCACAGGAAGTAAAGCGGGGCCTCTATAATATATTTCCTCTGTTGTAGAAAAATTCGGCAACTGTTGCGGTGTAGAGGTCCGTTGATTCAGGGAAGCGGTGGCGCGTCGCATCGCGCACCGGTTCCGCAGATTGGCCGCGGCCCGGCCGCAGAACCTGGGCAAAGACGCAAGACCAGCTTTATGGCCATGGCCGTGGCGGCTCTAGTGGCGAGGTGTGAATGATCGATTATCGATATATCTCCATTTGAAGCTATGGTAAAGAATCGATTATTAAGGCGTTCGTTGTGAACATCCAGTATCGATCCTTTTCCATAGGTTTAAATGGCAGATCAATCGATATATCGCAAAGCACGCCATGCCACTGGCCAGCAGCAGCAGCAACACGTTCGTGAGTAATGGACCAGCCAACTGTGCTCCATTCAACTCATCATTCCGCGACCAACTCGCTGCAATTATTCCTCCTTCACCCCGTACAATCAGCATCGGCCAGCGGCCGCGGGAATCAGTGGCGCGGCGTGCTTTGCGATCTATCGATATTTCCCCATTTGAAGCAGTGGTAAATAATCGATTATTAAGGTGTTCGCTGCGAACACCCTGTTTATCGATACTTTTCTATAGGTTTAAATGGCCGATCAATCGATATATCGTAAAGCACGCCACGCCACTGGCGGGAATACTACCGCCCTGAGGAAAAACGCCGTATGCGCCTTCAGACATGGCCGAATACCCTAAATCTAAGACGAATAAAAGACGAATTTTTAGGGGAAATGTCGAATACTTCCTTCCGATTCTTCCGGGAATTTTCTTCGCGATATAATCTTACGTATCTGAAATTTTCAAGGGAAATATCCATAGTTGTTGTCGAAAATGAATTTTCTAGCGAGAGAGATTTTGCAACGTCCGAATTTTAATACGGCGCGGCGGTTTTCCGCAGAACATTCAACTGGATTCGGTCAGGCGTCTGTGCGCCATGAAATCACACCCGGATTTGTTCCTCCGTGATATTAAAGATGAATTTACAGCTATACCCTGGTAAAAATTGGCGATAAGAGCTGCGTTTCAAAATACCGTAGGAATTCCTATAGCCGGCTAAAGAAGGCTACAGAAAATCATATGGCTGGCTGTAGAATGGGGAGAAAATCATCCGGCCCGGCTATACGAAGCGATAAAAAAGTATGCAGCCGGACTATAGTTCCTATCGCCGGGCTTTACACTTTATCGCCTGGCTTTTGCTTTTCCGCCATCGATTGTAAAAGGCTATAAGAAATTGTGTAGAAATTCGTGTGCTTCGGAAATCATTAAGTTAGACACGGAACCACCTTAATATTTACCAAACACACATTATGTTTTCCTTTAATACATTTTTTTTTTTTTTCATCAATTAAAATGAGAATAATCCAAACAGGATGTGCCAACATTTCAAAATCATGAGTTTTCAAAATCAGTGACTCCGCCAGATTAAATATTAGAGCCTAACACAAAGCGGAGCGGCGACGCACTGGCGCCTACGAACCTAATAGGGATACTTCACGCATTGCGCAACGCGTGAAGTATCCCTGTTAGGTTTGTAGGCGCCAATGCGCGTCTCGTGCTGGCTGCCCGCCTGCCGCGCCGCAGTGTGCCACGGGCCACGGCGCTTGAAGCAACTATTTCACACCAGACCAGAGGTATTGCACAATATCATACGAGACTGAAGGCGGTCTAATATATTAGGAATGGCAGGCGTCCATCAAAAGTACGGAGCTTTCCTCGCAAAATACTTCAAGATACTACGGCCCAAGAAGAGAGCAGTAGTCCAAAAACTCACTAACTTTGGGGGGTGTTAACTTCAAATGAATTTGGTTTGCTGCATTGAGCCCATATATGTAATGTTTCCCTCTCTTTTATTCCAGATTGGGCAAAGACCAACGACAGTATGTTGATCGCAAGGGTATCCACGTGGTCGTTGGGCACTATCTGGGAGATGTCGCTGGAGATGGGCCCTCTCCAAATCTTACGGAAGGTAAGCTTTGGTTTTCTATTATTGTCGTACTAATTAGTTCGGTGTCATTTTACACTTGTGATGACTTGTAAGTCGTCTGGAGACCACTAGAGGCGGATCCAGCAATTTGACAACACCTGATTTCCTCCATTTATACCTATGCTAAATAATCAATTCCTGTCGGAGCACCTAGCCCCTTCAAGAATCGATATATTTCTATAGGTTTAAATGGGCGAAAAACAACGTCACAAATTCGATGGATACACTAATACCTAGACCATTCGCGCACTGTACATCCGTCAGGCTGAAATTCAGAATTTTAGATACCCCCTCCTCTCCCTTTGCTTAACGCACCTGTTTCTTTTTTCCTTCGTTATGTCGGTCACACGTATTAAATATGCCATTTTCTGATCTTTCTCAATAGTAATAATACCACTTCTCATACTTTTCGCATGAATCTATATAAATTCACTCGTATAAATGATTTCCAGCGATAATTTGTATTTAATTTGTCTCATATGTTCGAAAATAGTGAAAACTAAACTAGTGACACTTCCCGTCTTGCTACTGTGGAATCACCCGATAGTTTTGTTACATTTTCTTGTAGGTTTTTCGGGAAAATTCAGGAAATTTTGTTGTAAACGTGATTGGCTCCCATGCCCTTGTTATACTTCGCATGCGTCCTTGTGGAGGTGAATTTTTGTAACAAGGGGGAAAATGTTCGAAGCCAAATGGAGCTCTTGCATGTGTCAGGAATTTGCAATTTAAGTACTGATTTCTCAGTAAAATTTCACGAGAAACACGATGGTGCCGCTGGTATTCTTCAGAACAAGCTCCAAAACTCAAAAACGTTCTCAAAGTTGAGGCCGTAATGTAGGGGATAGCCCACGCAACCCTATGAGGGTCCACCCTTATGTCAAGTCAAACTCTTCATCCAAAGGTAAGGAGCAAATACATTGTCAGGGTTGCCACTTAGTTTGGGGACCCCATAACTGAAAACGCGGCAACCCGCAACCCTATTAATTTGCTCCGTATCCTTGCATGAGGAACTATTGACCTTATATAGAGATGGACCCTCAAGGTAGCTTGTGATATCCCCTCCATCGCGGCCTCAATTTTGAAATACTCTTTGAGTTTTGGAGTTTGTTCCAGAAAAGAGAGCCAGTGGCGCCGTCGTTTTCCCCGCGAAATTTTACGTAGAAATCAGTACTCAAGGCGCAAATCAACGACGTAAGTTCGCAATCACATAATTATCTCGTTTGCGGTGGCTGAAAATGTCCGCCTCTGTGTTATTTTTTTAAAGGAGAACAATTTGACATCATTCATTGAAGTTTTTACAGATTTTTTTTCGCACAGAGAGGAAAAATCAGGGTAGTTTTAAAGAATTTCCGTTCAACAGTTTTTCGTCTAAAAAATAAAGTATGACAGGAAGTCTGCGACGTCGCAAACCGAGTTATGTGAATTCCTGACACCTGCAAGAGTTCCATTCCTCTTGTTCGGGGGCTTCCTAAAGGCACTTATTGAGAGGCGTTCCTCTCGTGAAATTCTACGCAAATTCCCATCTAATGTTACAACTCTGATACTTCGTATCTTAACCTGAGGGCCTGAGGCGCGGGCCGTAGCCGATTCCGTGACTCCAAAATCCACCCACGCTACGGTCCGTTGCGGATTGCGCACCATCTATACAGGGTGTCCCAAGATTAAGTAAGAATATTGAACGAGTCGATTCTTTAGGTCAAAAGTAGACGTTTTTGTGGTACAACTTTTTTTCCAAAAACGCTTTCCCTGGAGGCCACCCCCCCCCCTTCCCCATTTAATTCCTATTATCTCAAAAACGATGAGTCATAGCGAAAATACGAAATATATTATCCAATATTTTTCAACGCTGAATCTATTGGTGTCGTCGAAAAACAATTTTTTTCGCTGGAAACATTAATTTTGGCTACTTTTAGGTTCGATACCCATACCCCCCTAAACCCCCCCTTAAAATGCGTTTTCTGTTTTTGGAGATCAAAAATGAAAAGAACGCTAAAAATTACCCTCATTTGCCAATTTTCATTATTATTGGTCAATAAACACTGCCACAGTGTCGAAAAGACGATTTTTTTCTCTAACTTCGGGGGGCCGTGGCCCCCAGGGGAAGCGTTTTTGGAAAAAAGTTATACCTCTAAAGCGTCTTTTTTTGACTCAAAGAATCGACTCCTTCAATATTCGTACTTAATCCTGGGACACCCTGTATAATCTACCATCCTATGATGAGGGAATCCTCGTTGCTCTCATCTCTCGCGCGGTCGCGCCCGGCGCACGGTGGATCGAGTCAATGGGAGAGGTCGGTCATGGAGCGTTGCGCTTCCAATGTTACGAGGATAACGAATATTCCTGGCCATTTGATCAATTTTGTACCAATAATCTCATGTAATTTTTCGCGTAGAATTCAATTTTGATGTTATTTTTGGTGAACAACGTACCTGAAGACCCGTATTTGTGCATTTTGTCGGGAAAACTATACAGGTGCAAAGTTTAGGCGTCTGTGTTTTACTTCGTAGGACGGAGTTTTTAATTTTTCATGATGGAAGAGGATAAATTATGAATAAAATTATGAAAACTTACTAATAAGTGACTCAAATACGCAAAAATACCTCCCCAGTTATGAGCTGCTGCATCAGATAAATCATTCCCTTCACTGCAAAGTTAATTTCGAAACTTTGTCATAAGATATCATTCTTATGCATAAAGATCGGTGAGAAAACAAATAAAATACATTTATGAATTCTTTGAAAATATTCAAGATCACTTTTACTTTAAATTCATATTTACATTCAGAGGACGGAACAGGGACTTGAAAACACGGGTGAGTAGGGAAAACACTAGATTCCTAAAAAAAAAAAAAAAAAAAAAAAAAATTTAAACATGTAACAGTCATCTGTCATCTGCTTCTCCTTATTCTTCTTCTTCATATTCAGTTCCCCATCACTCTCATCTTCGTCTTCCGCTCTCAAACCGCATTAACTTAAAAAACAAGCAACGCAAAAAACCGCAAAAATTCCAAAATTTCCCGGACTTGTTACGTTAAAACGTACTCGCAGTGTAATTAGTTTCGCACTAACTGCACTTTGTTTACATCGAAATAGGTGAAAAATTAAAAACTATGTACGTATTTGAAAGAAGCATCAGTTATCAGAGTTCACCAGTGACTGGTCGCGCGCGATCGCGGAGGCCAACAGATAAAATGGCATCATAGTCAGGGGCCAGGCAAGTAAAGGGGGGGGGGGTTACTTGCTAAAAGTTTCCTCAAGCTATCTACGCATACGTCCCAAAAAAGCTTTCTATAAGGGATATAAAGGGATGTCCGAGTGAAAATATGCCCGATTTTTTTTTTAGTTCTCCTATAGATATGTAGTTTAGGAAATAATGAAAATACGAAAAACGGGCCAAAGAGCACGTCTTGATGGTGAAACTTGTTTTTCAGTTTCCGATGAACAGGAATCATACCTACCTGGGTCATTTAGCAGTTACGAGAGTTCACTGGTCGCTTGATTTTCGAGATAAAGCTCGCGCGCAATCTCGGAATGCAACAGAAAAAGTGACGTCACGGCCAAAGTGGCGCAAAGTGGCACCCAAATTTTGCGGGATCGTATTCTCAGGACTCCTACGAACATGCCTATACAAATTTTTCTGGCGGATGGTGGCGGATGGGTAGTTAAAAGTTTACCTTAACTTTTTTTTTCTGCATTTTGATATAAGCACATTAGTGCAAACATAATCATTGAAAAAATGGGCCGAATACAAAAAATTATTAGCGGTATGTGTTCTCCAGACTCTGGAAAATAAGAATCAATTAATGAAACCAGCATTAATTTAAACAGAAGCAAGCTAAGTGCCGCGGCAGCTAACCGGTCGCTTGATTTTCGAGATAAGGCTCGCGCACAATCTCGGAACGCAACAGAAAAAGTGACGTCACGGCCAAAGTGGCGCAAAGTGGCACCCAAATTTTGCGGGATCGTATTCTCAGGACTCCTACGAACATGCCTATACAAATTTTTCTGGCGGATGGTGGCGGATGGGTAGTTAAAAGTTTACCTAAACTTTTTTTTTTCGCTTTTTGAGATGAGCACATTAGCGCAAACATAATCATTGAAAAAATGGGCCGAATACAAAAAATTACTAGTGCAATGTGTTCTCCAGACTCTGAAGAACAAGAATATGTCAATGAAATTAGCATTAATTTACACAGAAGCAAGTTAAATGGAAAAGAAAGACTCGGACGATTTTTCGCTAAAATAAAAAGTTACGCAAAGCCCCTCTTTGATGCCTTCTGTCACAAAAATGAACATGTTTCGTTCTAAATCAATGTCAGATCCTTAAAATATAACTCTTGAGGAACACTTTTGACCCTTAAAAAATGCGATTCGCCCGAATCGCCCATGACCGACCTGTACCATTGACTCGATCCACCGTGCGGCGCTACGCGGTAACCTCTACACCATCGCGGAGCCGAGTCGATTTGGAAACGAGTGTGGCAACGCGAGGCCGAGTAAAGGGGGATCTAAAGTATCTCATCACTAACGCTCTCTGTTGGTCAGGCGTTCAACGCTCATCATTGATCTTTCTTTCATTCCTTCAGTGCATTAAAACTCCCATTTAAACCTGTGTAAAAATACTGATAACTATTTTGATGGATCTGTCCAACCGTTTAAAGGATAGAAATCGCAGGCGATATATAATCCTATCGCTTGTTTTCATTTGTATTTGATTTTCCGCCGTGTAAGTTTATACGGCTTTCTCAAAGCGGCCGATCTCACAGACCAAGTTTTCCAATGGACTCGGTACAAAAGTTCGATGCGCGATCTCGCAGCCCGTGGGAGTCCGGTGGCTACGCGCGCCGTCTAGGCAGCGTCCAATCCTATTCAGTTCGTTGTATTACGTTTACACACACTAAGTAACTCGTTCTTCGTTTAATATACCCTGCGTGCAGTAGCCAGCCACGATTCCTTTTGATCTCTTATCTCCAACCATATCTTCGAGTCTTAATGAGGACTGGTAGGGATGGTTGATGTGTTAAGTATTTGCTAATATTGCGTGATGAAGGCACAGGGTGTCTACAAATCTGACTTAGCACTGATTTTTTAAGGGCGGTCCGGAAGTACTGAAAAAATTTCAAATTTTTGAAATATTTCGAATTTCGTCAAATGGAGGTACTGGAGAAGTACGGAATTTTTCTGTTGGAGGGAGTATTGAATTTTTTGATAAGGTACTGGAAAAGTACGTATTTTTGATCAACCTGTTTCAGTAGATACCCTGAGTTAATTTCGTCAGTGAGCACAAACTTTCCTAAGTAGATATTATTGTCGGCAAAAACTTAAAATTGGACCCTTCATTAATACCTAACAGATAAATAAGAAGTAAAATTGACGGAAGAAACAATGGACCTAATAACCAAGTAAAATGGATAAATAAATTGTAATAACAATAGTAATAACAAATTAAATGAACTGAAAGCCAGTAATAACGAGACCGCGATGGGCTCACTCGTTCCGTGGCCTCCGAACATTCCTTTTCGGAAAGGTAGGACATCCTCTCTTTTTTAATCTGAAGTTCCATCGAGGGCAAACTTTTCGTATCGTCAGAAATTTTTGATAAAGGAGTGAGTAAATGATTTATCTGAGTTTATTTGCATTATTTTAAAGTTGTTAAAACGGAAAGCCCTGAAGCCGAATTGAATTGGCCCTCTTGCTCTAAAATGCAACATCTGACGGCGAGCCGAAAATGCACCGCCGAACAATAAGGATTCTCAATATGTACTTATTTATTCTTAGAATATTTATACACGCCCATTTGTCTTACAAAATTCAGCCCGTGGCCTTCTCGGTAGACGGTATATATTTCTAACTATATTTCTTTTAAACTCCTCCACATTAAATATGTTCAAACGACTCCGCCGCATTCGCCGTTCTTAGGTCAGAAAGTGAGAAGCCGCAGCCCATATTTTAGGAGGTAAAGGTTATAATAAAACAAAAAATGTCGTAATACATTTAAACAATCAAAGTAGTTTTCGGAAAATTGACAGTGTTACGATAAAAATCAGTTATAGTTAACTTCAGTGGCACAATGAGTGGTGCTGGAAGTAAGTTGAGCTATGAAAGAAACTACCCTCAATTAATGTCGCGTGCGACAAACAATTTCATAATGACGCCTGGATGCAACTATTCGAGCCCCACGGATGTCCGTGTTGCATACGTATGAATTTTAAGGCGTTTTGATTCTCCAGGCGCTCACCACTTGGCACGACACCCGCTGCGTGGCGCGGCAGCAGCGGATTGTACAGCGAGAATCCCAAAATGAAAAAGAATCCAAAGAAATCCAAAATGATAGAACGCCTCAATCCTTCGTTAACATGCCAAAGACATCAACTACCCACGAATAGTTCCACCTATGCGTGGGATATGAGCAATTTGCCCTGGTAAAAATTGGCGATGAGAAATACCAACTCAAAATACCAAGAATTCTTATAGCCGGCTAAAGAAGGCAATAGAAAATCATATAGCTGGCTGTAGAAAGCGGAGCAAATCATATAGCCGGGCTCTACGAAGCTATAAAAAAGTATGCAGCCGGGCTATAGTTCCTATCGCCGGGCTTTACACTTTATCGTCATTGGCTATAAAAGGCTATAAGAAATTGTGTAGAAATTCGTGTGCTTTGGAAATCATTAAGTTTGATACAGAACCACCATAATATTCACAAAACACACATTATATTTTCCTTTAATACATATTTTTTTTCATCAATTAAAATGAAAATAATCCATACAGGATGTGCAAACATTTCAAAATCATGAGTTGAAAAACGCTGACTTCGCAAGATTATATTGGAGCCTAACACAGAGCGGAGCGGCGCACAGTGGTTTTTTAGCGGCAAAAACCCCATTTTCCCAAGAACATTTTTTATCACAAAAAATGTCATTTTCCTTTTGCTAAGGGTTCACACTAACAAAAGTCAGTAGTATTTTTTACTGTCATTCATTTTTAAGATTGCTGCAGGCTGCTAAAATCAGAATTTGTATCCTGTAGAAGATATTCGCGGCCGCGGCGTGCTGCCAGCGATAAGCGCGCACCAGCGCCTACAAACCTAACAGGGATACTTCACGCATAGCGCAATGCGTGAAGTATCCCTGTTAGGTTTGTAGGCGCTAAGGCGCTTTTCGCGCTGGCTGCCCGCCCGCCTCGCCGCAGCGTGCCACGGCGATTGAAGCAACTATTTCACACCAGAAGTATTGCACAGTATCATACGACATTAAAGGCGCTCCAACATATTAGGAATGGCAGGCATCCTTCAAAAGTACGGAGCTTTCCGTGCAAAATAAATCAAGATACTACGGCCCAAAAATAGAGCGGTAGCTCAAAAACTCACTAAGTCCTAGCATCCGTAATTAGTAACATTTTTAGCATACACTTTATCGCCTGGCTGTTGCTCAATCGCCATCGGCTATAAAAGGCTATAAGAAATTGTGCAGCCGGCTAGAAGCTATTGAAAATCTTACAGCCGGCTTTAGGTCTATCGTATTTTGGAACACAGACTCTACTGCCAATTTTTACCAGGGTGTTTCTGCCTCAGTTTTGATAGAGCGATGTGCTTCACATAATTTGTAGAGCAACTTTTTGTGTCTTCTCCGTAGTACGAATCTAGAATTATATGCTCTCTACCGTTTTGTATCCTCACATTACAGCTCGCAGTCGCGCCGCCGCGCTGCGCTGCGGGCGAAGCGGTGTGTGATGGAGAACCAAAACGCCTTCAACTTCGTGCGTATGCAACACGGACATCCGTGGAGTTCGAATAGTTGTATCCAGGCGTTATAATGAAATTCGTTTGATGTTCGTCGCATTCGACACTAACTGAGGGTGCTTGACTTGTTGTAACTTAATTCCAACGTCCGCCTATTGTGCCGATAAAGTAAACTATTGCTGATTTTTATCGAAACATTGTCAATTTTCCGGCAAATTAATTCATCGTTTAAATGCATTACCTACAACGCTACCGGTCCGAAAAAGTTCAAAACAAAACACACTTAGGTATCTGAGAAAGATTCACACAAAATCCTTGGTTTGGATATTCCCCATCTTGTGGAAGTGTACGTTTGATGTTCAAGTGCAAACCTCTCAAACAGTGTTCCCAGGTGCTCCTATCTTAAAATGTCCGTACGTTCTCCGGATGGGCTCGTGTATATCCGTGCCGCTCCGTGCTCCGTCCGTGTTCCGTGAATTCCGTTTCCGTTTCCGGTTCCGGCTCCGGCTGTTTTGTTGTTTTGTTGAGGGCGCACGGACATAAATGAAATGACTGAATTTTGATAAGAATACAATATAATTAATGCAAAAAGTATCTAATTTGTTCCCTAACGATACCCGGCTTTCATACTAAACATCATTGTATCAATAACTTACGCAAAAGTAATAAATATTGCAAAGAAAAGCGGATTAACAGATGCACGGACTGGGCCGGGCGGGCGCACGGACATAAATGAAATGACTGAATTTTGATAAGAATACAATATAATTAATGCAAAAAGTATCTAATTTGTTCCCAAACGATACCCGGCTTTCATACTAAACATCATTGTATCTATAACTTACGCAAAAGTAATAAATATTGCAAAGAAAAGCGGATAAACAGACGCACGGACAGGGCCGGGCGAGCGTACGGACAAAATAAGATAGGGAAAAATTTTCCCATAAGGTTTTTGTCCGTACGCTGTCCGCGCGGGTATAGGGAATGTCCGCGCGGCGCGGAAATATCCGTACGCCTGGGAACACTGCTCTCAAATAACAATCTTGGAAGCCGGCCTAAAGGTCCTCGGACAGAATATTAGTTGAGGCGTTAAAAAAAAGCATGTATATATTTCCTCTTAAGACTTCCCTTATTCAGGGATTTCTGCTTTTTTTGAGGTGAGTCTCGACACTCTCTCTTGCTGTCAGACGCACATTTTTTCACATTTGTCAGTCGAAAAAACTGTTCCAACAGTATGTTTTTTATCTATTTACACGTGTGGAAAGTAAGTTTTATCTTCAGTATGTATGACAGAATGTTAATTCTTTCTTTTTCATTATTTTTTACTTTTTTCTCTTGACACAGAGCTGATGAACACAAACATGTTTGAACCAAAACCGAGGGAGGGTTTAAACGGGCAACCAGTATTCATTCCTCCACACTTGTCTCAAAAAATGAAGCAACTGTACCATATCAACAGGTTTAACCTGATGGCCAGTGACCGTATACCTCTCAATAGGTCGTTACCAGATGTTAGGAAGAAGAAGTAAGTATTTTTCCTATCTTTTTTGACAGGTCAGATTTTTTCACAACGATCTTAGCCAATCATCTCCAGTGGCGATTCTAGAAAGTTGGCAACATTGTTTTTCCTCCATTTAAATGCACGTAAAATGATTGATTCGTGGTGATCGATATTTTTAATAGTTTTAAAAGAAGAAAAAACAGTTTTGCCAACTTGCAACATCCCCTTTGACCATCTTGGGGTGGATAATGAACAATTTCAGCAGTCTAGTCCTTGATAATTTTTCTGGCACAGTTCTCACCCCGCTCCTGTGACAGGAGTTGTCTGTCGGTCATTCTGCCAAGTGGACCCCGAGACCCCCACCCCCTCCCAATTTAAATGCATTTTTCTTGTGATCGCAAAAATTTCTCCCGACTTCCTTTTCAGTGATAATTACTGTATATATGTGAAAGTCATTAGTCCAGTAATGCATACTCCAGTTTTTACCGTCAGTAAAGACCGAAAAATATCAGGAAATTCGACGTCATCAGGAAAATCAGTCATGTGTCAGGAGATTCTGAGTACGCCAAGCATTTTTCAACTGCATGCAGTTTAGCACATACAAAAGTAAAACATTTGATTCAACTCACCAAAGATGTTGGTTTGGAAAATCAAACAAGTGTCAATTTATTCGTGCAAAAAGTCAGGGAATTTCATTTGAAATTTCAGAAAAAATCAGGAAGGTATCAGTAAAATCAGGAATGAAATTTTAGTAGGCACCCTGATAGTATTTCGATGGAAGTATCAATTATCGAAGTTACACTGTTCAATTTTACACGCGACTCGTGAAAATTATCTTTTTTTTTCGTGCCATGTCGAAGACCTCCTTCTCATTAGTCTTCCTTCGCATCACACAGGGTTAACTCCCACAGTCAGGGAATCCCGGGAAATGTCAGGGAATTTTTAAAAGTCAGAGGAACCCTGGAAATGTCAGGGAAAATGACGGAAGTGTCAGGGAAAAATTGTTGAACATCTTTTATTGTTTTCTAGAACGGGTTTGGCGTTTCGAACAACAAATTTTGCACAAATACTATTTTTAATTATGTCTTTTTGACCATCTGACGTATCTTTAATTGTCAGGGAATTCCACCATTTGTCAGGAAAATCAGGGAAATGTCAGAGAACTTCATTTTCTAGATTTGGTGGCAAACCTGAATTCACAAAGTGAATCTTGTGAGGCCCTCCACGGGAAAGAGGCTGTTCAGAAAACGACTAAGAATTCGCACATAACGTCGCCTCTTTGACGTAAGGGCGTATCTCGATTTTTGCGTGAGCCTTGTTCTCTGTGCAACTATATGCTATCCGCGGTTCTTGCAAAAATTGAGACACGCCCTTACGACAGAGGAGCGACGATAAGATGTATAATACTGCGAGACTCGTATGTTTTTGTAGGTGCTTAAGTAGAGCGGTGGACGTATCGAATCTGCCGAGCAGCTCGGTCATAATTGTCCTGCACAATGAAGCGTGGTCAACGCTCCTGAGGACAGTGCACAGTGTGATAAATCGGACGCCGGGACATCTCCTCAAAGAAATCATCCTCGTTGACGATGCCAGCACTAGAGGTGAGCACTGAGCAATGAGCATGGACATCAGCTCCAACTTATTATCCCCCACTAATGCCGCAATCACACGCTAAATGTGGGAGCTGAATGTGGCTTGAATGTGGAAGTCATCGGCCCGATGCCTGAATTTTGCGCGTCACGCGCCAAATTCAGCAACGATTCTCAGCGACCATCGGATAATGTCGGATGTATCTGAACTATTTGAATAGATTTGATACACATTTGGATGAATATAACTCGAATTAGTGAAATTTCAGCTGTTGAGCGCTGACTGTTGACTGCCACATTTAGCTGCCAAATTCAGCGTGTGATTGCGGCATGACTCTACCGCGCTGAGTAAGAACGTCGTATGAGCCATCGGGCATTGCCAAATTTCCTTCGAAAATGCACGAATTTTCAGGGAAGTTGGTGAATATTTCTCCTCCAATTTTTCACAGGATTGTCTTAATTTTACCCACTTAATTTTTGCTATGCTGAAGCCCAAAATGACCGTGTCTTTTTCTAGCGCCAATCAGTTTTTCAGAAAATAAAATTGACAACAACAAAAAAAAAAAGTCGCTCTTCTGGTTTGAAAGATCTCCCCCCCCCCTTTTTTGTAAAATAAGGTCATTTTGGCTTCGACGGCGATTATTAGGTGGAAATGATAATGAACTTCGAAAGAAATTTCTCACAACCTATAGCATAGGAAAAAGGTGGAATCGACTAAAAATTAATTCTTTCCACTCTTATATTAATGATGATGATGATGATGATGATGCCTTTCCTCGTCATAGTTTAATTTATAATTTTTTATTCTCACTGATTTCAGCTTTTTTAAAGCAGCCTCTAGACGAATATGTTGCGAAACTACCTAAGCCTACGCGAGTATTGCGGTCCAGTGAGAGAATTGGGCTAGTCAAAGCAAGAATGTTGGGAGCCAGACAAGCAGTTGGTGAAATCCTAGTATTTCTTGATGCTCATTGTGAATGCACCATAGGTAATTTCCTAATGTTTTTCAGTTGAATTGAAACTCTTCTAGCAAAGACTTAAGTCTGAAGGAGTCTGCGGAGTCTTATAGTCTGAGGATTTATGTATAATTTATAATTAACTCCTTTACTCTGATTTTTCTCCATTTCCTTCAATCATTCTAAACTCTTTTTTTTGTTTCTTGTTTTTTTTTTTTTTGTGTGTTTTAAGCTTGAAGGATTCTTTGACTTAGCAACGTGAATAGGTGCAAAAATTTGAAACAGCTAGCGTGCAAGAAAAGAGAAAAAATCACACCGTAAACATGCAAGGCCGGATTAAGGGAGTGGCCACATGGGCCGCGGCCCATGGCAGCAAATCTAGGGGGCAGCAAATTTTGCAATTTTTTTAAATGTAGGTATAAAAAAAATCGGATTTGGAAAAAAAAAATTACAAACGAGAAAAGGCTACAAAATCTCTCATTTCCTGAGAGTATAGTAATTTCTAATTTTGTCGTCTTTCAGTGATACAAGAGACAGCACCTTTAGATAGTCGAGTTAAGAGAGAAACCAAACACGCAATTAGTCCTGGACTTAGGGAGAAATGATGACGAGGACTTGAGATGAAAAGGAGAAGCCCTCGGCGCGGCGATCGGCATGTAACACTTATTAGCGCCTACAAGACTGCACGAATACTTCACGCATTGCATCAAACACAGTGCGGTTATTGCGGTCAGCGTGAAACGGATAGCGCCTACAAGGATGCATGAATACTTCACGCATTGCATCAAACACAGTGCGGTTATTGCGGTCAGCGTGAAACGGATAGCGCCTACAAGGATGCATGAATACTTCACGCAATGCGCCAAACACAGTGCGGTCAGCGTGAAACGCATAGCGCCTACAAGACTGCGTTTCGTGCATTTTCGTGCAACAGTGAACTACAAGTTGCGCGGAGCTTCCCCTCCCCTCCCGCACCTATCATCGAAGGCTCTGTCGCCACTCTGTCTGGTGGTACCTCACATCCTTTGTGCCGCGCCGCAATCGCTGAGAATTTGCGGAAGCGCCAGGGACTAGACTATTTGATTTCGTTTCCGAGAACTGATGTACCTACTTATTCTGTCTCCTTCACTCCTGACCCAGTGACCACCCACGTCGATGTTGAGGAACCAGTGCATACCCTTCCTTGAATGCGATTCTGACGCGGCATACATGGTTTCCCACTGATTTTCAACGAGGGATTCGAATCTGAGCTCAGATGTTGACTGTCATGCGTTATAATATTTCCAGGGTACGAAATACGCATTGAGGCCGCGCCATACACAAGTTTTACCGGCCTCTTGCGAAAACGTCCGTTCATTGTCCGTGGCAGTTATTTAGAATTACCTACCTACAGTATTGTCGCTGGAGTCGGAAAATGCATCACTAGCTCCGATTAAGACGTTGCAAGTCTCCGCTCGTGTAGGTATTATTTTTTAAACGTAAATTAAGGGGCCATTCATAAATTACGTAACGCTCTAAGGGGGAGGGGGGTCGAAGAGAGTGTTACGCGATTTTGTTTTTACGTGATAAAGGATATACTTGTGATAAAGGACCTGCATCACAAAAGCGTATTGGGGGGGATCAAAAATTCCGAAAAAAAGCGTTATACAAAGAAAACAGCAAACGAAACTAACTAAAACTGAGATTGAACGGCCGTTTTAAGCACACACAAAATGTGATTCAAAAGTTCGTCAGCTGGCGTATCTCTTTAATTTAGAATTGATCATGAGCATGACCATGCCTATAACATTCCATAACATGTTTTTTTTTTTTTTACATATTTTCAAACATCAACTTTGTGTGTTTACAGGGTGGTTAGAAAGTCTTGTAGAAAGAGTGCACGAAGATAGAACGCGAGTTGTTTGTCCTGTGATAGATATTATTAGTGATGAGTCTTTTGCGTACATACGCAGCTTTGAGCTTCATTGGGGTGCTTTCAACTGGGATCTTCATTTCCGGTGGTACACTCTTGGAGGATCTGAACTTTCTAAGAGGAGACAAGATCTCACGACACCCTTCAAGTAAGTCCTAAGTTTGATTTGAATATTTTCGAAATTACCTCAATATTTGCTCATAGAGAGCTAAGTCAATCCAAAATACGTTTAAGTCCACCTCAAAATATTATTTTTATTCTATTCTATTAAAAATATGTTCTTTGGTGTTCATTTTATCAGTGACTGTTTTGGAATGATACAGTCTCTGGTTACACATTCACAAATAGACTTAAATAAGTTCATTTTTAAAAACAAGATTAAAAAGAATTTTTCACATTTTTTAATGCAAAGAATTAGGGTAAAAAATTATTCCCTGCATTTTGATCCTTTTCAAAAATTTATCCGAACAGAATATTTCTGAGAAAATGTACAATTTGAGGATAATTTAGGAAATTTTTTGACAGTTTTTTTCTCTTTTTTCGTGCTTAACGCTTTTATGAGGGAAATCATTTACCAGGGAGACCAGGCCTGTAAACTTTCTCTTAGTTTCAAAAGAAAGATTTTTCAATTTTCTCTCTGCTGCTGAGAAAAAATGTATTAATTACCTCTGGTATCTCATTCGGTTGTCAACTAACCGAAATTCAAGTGACACTCTCGATTATTCTTCTTTAAGAGGTTGTACGGTTGTACCTACTAATCAGATTGCTGTAGTTATTGATTTTTTTTACATTCTATTATGCTTATCAAAATTGCCATTATGCCTGACATTATAGTTTTCTTTTTCTTTATTGCAGGACTCCGGCAATGGCTGGAGGCTTATTTGCAATGGATAAAAATTATTTTTTCGAAATGGGAGGCTACGACGAAGAGATGAAAATTTGGGGTGGTGAAAATCTAGAGATGTCTTTTAGAGTAAGTCAGTCAACATTTTTTGTAAAAAAAATTAAGTTTCAAAGAGCGAAAAATTATCATAATTTTCATTTATTTCACCTTATACTGTTAGACGTTTTGCGTCACTTCACTGCATGCACCGGCGAGGCGTCCTCAGTACGTTCACACGTTCGCCTTCGCTTTGCAAGTATAGGCAATTTCTCGACGTCTCTAAAGTTAAATAGGAGCTTATCAGTCCCTCTTGATTAAACATCCATTAAAACCTTACTGTCCTTGTACAACTCTTCTTTTTATCCGATTTTTTGGTCTCTCCTGCATTTCGGCTAACTGGCAGGTAACTTACAGCAAAAACTTTACCTACCTCGCGAAATCCTGATAACTGTGTCCCTGTACATACATACGTTTAGTGGCATTGAAACTTTCTGATCGATAGTCCACCATGTTAGCCAATTGTATTATCGATTATTATCTCTCTGTTCATGCTTTTTAGATATGGCAGTGTGGAGGGAGTATTGAAATAGTTCCTTGCTCACATGTTGGCCACTTGTTTCGAAAGTCATCTCCTTATTCTTTTCCTGGTGGTGTCACGTCCATTCTTTTTACAAACTTAGCCAGAGTTGCATTAATTTGGATGGATGAATGGAAAGAATTTTATTTTAAATTTAATCCCGGTAAGTGATCTTGTATATACTGTAGTTAAGATATGAAGTAATATTTTGCTCAATCACACTAATTGTCAGACAAATTGGAATATTTAAGATCTGTTGTTGATCGGATGTTCACCTTGTCCGCCTGATATAGAAAAAAAAAGGTTTAGTTCAGAATTTATTTATCAAAAAAATAATTTTACATTTAAAAAATGCTAATGAAATTCAAATTCAGGAAAGAAGAAAAAGGGTATAGGAAGAACAATGCAGTATAACAAATGGATAAAATTTTGAGTATTGAATTACGTGTAAGATATACATGATTTTGTTCATTTGTGGAGAATAAAAATTGAATCATCATGAGAAGAAGTGGTAAGCCTTTTTCGTAACCAATAACATCGCTTGTCATGACTTTGGCTCTATCATACTCTCTGACAGAACAAGTCCATGAGGACCAGGCTAATGGAAAAGCCGGCCCTACCCAAGAATATCTGTGTGTTTTACATTTCTAACAATAGTTTTTTGGTCTGTGTTTACATTTTTAGAAGCTGCCAGCTTGCGTGACAAACAAGCTATTAGACAAAGAATAGTCCTTAGAGAGAAACTGAAATGTAAAAGTTTCAGTTGGTATTTGGATAATGTTTGGCCCCAGCATTTTTTCCCCAAAGATAATCGGTTCTTTGGACAGGTATGGATTTCCTCTCTCTTGCCTTTTTTTACCTACATCCCTGAAAAATTGGAGACATTTTCCAGTAACTTTCTTTTTTGTGATACACCTAATAACATTCCTGAAGAATTTAGTCCCTTTTATGCTGTAGATCACTGATAACTTTCTTTTTATCTCATTGATAGGGGTAATTGTTCTTGTGAAACAGTTGCCAATTTACAATCGCAATCTTTACGCAACACTCCAAGTTGCAATAATGTGTAGCCTTGGAGAAATTTTGTTTCTGAGCCTCAGAGTTAGAAAATTTCAAAATAGTCAAGAGAGCCAATTTTGTGCAGAGCTGCTTCAAATCTTACATTTTCTCTACATTTTTTTTCATTAATTTAGACTTAAAACTTTCATTAATTCACCTATGGCTTTCACCTGAACTTTCAGATTCAGCATATTGCATCAAATAAATGCTTGAAGAAACCATCCGGGAAAGGAAGTCTAAACCAGCCAGTAGGTCCAGCCATTATTGAGCCTTGCATTAAAAGTGACACACCCTCTCTGACGCAAATCTTTGTGAAGGATCAAGGAGAGTCTTTTATTGGAACTGATGATTCTGTTTGTCTTGACGTGCCACCTCGTGAGAATGAGCAGACACAAATTGGGGTACGATTTGTGGCGTGTTCATTTTTACCCACTCAGCGTTGGAAATACAATGAGAAAGTAAGAATTTTCTCTTATGATTTTTTTCTGCATCTTACAATCTTTAAAAAATTTAACGTCATTGTTTTCAATTATATTAAAGTATCAAAGAGAAAAGTAAAACTTTCATCAAGGTTCGAGCACATGTAGACCCCAATAAAGAGGAGAACTCTCCTCTGTAATTTGCAGTTGAAAGTGAACACTAGTTCCATTTTCAACATGTCTAGATGAATACTAAACATAAACGGGATTGAATAGCATTTATGTACTGAGCGCTTTGTATCATTTATTTGATTTGGGCATGCACGGTGCCCCTGAACTCACTTTAAATGCGACTTTGTTGTACATCAAAAATTCAAGTTGGAGGTTGTAGTGGGGTACTCCCTGATGGGTTTTTGGGCAATTTCGAAATAGGTTATCGGAGCTCCTCGAAAAATAATCGCATTTTTGTGGTTTTTTAGGGGTAAAATAGCAAAATTGGCCTCCGGGCGACAAATTAAACCCCCTCTCCCTCATCCTTGCCTTGACCGATCTGAATTTTTAGTATGTTTTTACCTGGTATAAGATGGGACTTTTCTGAAATTTTCATGCCCATACAAATTTTTTTGCTCCCGCGGCAGCGTTGCCAAGTTGCGGACTCCAAAATATCGAATTTAATGATAAAATGAAGGTTTCGGAGTGTGATTTCCATTCAAAATCAAAAATTCAAATTGTAAGTTGTAGTAGGGTACTGCCTGATGGGGTTTTGGCTAATTTCGAAGTAGAGTGTTTGAGATTTTTGAAAAATAATCGAATTTTTGCGGTTTTTTAAGGGTAAAATAGCACACTGAGCACGGGGCGGCAAGTTGAACCTGCTCTCTCTCATCCTTGCCGTGACCGATCTGAACTTTTAGTATGTATTAACCTGGTATAAGATGTGACTTTTCTGAAATTTTCATGCCCATACAAAATTTTTTGCCCCCCGCGGCAGCGTTGCCAAATTGCGGACTCAAAAATATCGAATTTGATGATAAAATGAAGGTTTCGAGGTGTGATTTCCTCCAAAATTTCACGAAAAATGTGCAATCTGAGAGTTTTCGATAAGAAAAGGCATATTTGAACAATTTAGAGTTGCAGTGTTGCCAGCTTTTGATTTAAAATTCGTCAAAATGACCCAAATCGCGTTGCAACCTCGAGCGCTGGATTTTTATTTCGTTCAGAATTGGTTATTACGGTTCTTCTGTACTCTATGCATTTAGGTACCATGGAAATTATGCCATTACTTACTTGATGGGTGCAGCTAACTCAAAAAGAGAGGCCGGATAAAGCGATGAGTCGGGGGAAAACGAGCGGTTCGGGTTGACAGAAAGTTCTTAAATCTACTCCATCACCAGAAAGTAGAATTTGAGAACTTTCTCCCACCCCCCAAACCTTATCCCTGTTGCAGTCAATCCTTTGAACATCTGATCTGAAATTTTGCCCCCGAATTTTTACCAAAAACATGATGTGTTTTTGCACAAAAACGTGTTTTTATTTTTCACGTTTTTGGTAAAAATTCGGGGGCAAAATTTCAGATCAGATGTTCAAAGGATTGACTGCAACAGGGATAAGGTTTGGGGGGTGGGAGAAAGTTCTCAAATTCTACTTTCTGGTGATGGAGTAGATTTAAGAACTTTCTGTCAACCCGAACCGCTCGTTTTCCCCCGACTCATCGCTTTATCCGGCCTCTCTTTTTGAGTTAGCTGCACCCATCAAGTAAGTAATGGCATAATTTCCATGGTACCTAAATGCATAGAGTACAGAAGAACCGTAATAACCAATTCTGAACGAAATAAAAATCCAGCGCTCGAGGTTGCAACGCGATTTGGGTCATTTTGACGAATTTTAAATCAAAAGCTGGCAACACTGCAACTCTAAATTGTTCAAATATGCCTTTTCTTATCGAAAACTCTCAGATTGCACATTTTTCGTGAAATTTTGGAGGAAATCACACCTCGAAACCTTCATTTTATCATCAAATTCGATATTTTTGAGTCCGCAATTTGGCAACGCTGCCGCGGGGGGCAAAAAATTTTGTATGGGCATGAAAATTTCAGAAAAGTCACATCTTATACCAGGTTAATACATACTAAAAGTTCAGATCGGTCACGGCAAGGATGAGAGAGAGCAGGTTCAACTTGCCGCCCCGTGCTCAGTGTGCTATTTTACCCTTAAAAAACCGCAAAAATTCGATTATTTTTCAAAAATCTCAAACACTCTACTTCGAAATTAGCCAAAACCCCATCAGGCAGTACCCTACTACAACTTACAATTTGAATTTTTGATTTTGAATGGAAATCACACTCCGAAACCTTCATTTTATCATTAAATTCGATATTTTGGAGTCCGCAACTTGGCAACGCTGCCGCGGGAGCAAAAAAATTTGTATGGGCATGAAAATTTCAGAAAAGTCCCATCTTATACCAGGTAAAAACATACTAAAAATTCAGATCGGTCAAGGCAAGGATGAGGGAGAGGGGGTTTAATTTGTCGCCCGGAGGCCAATTTTGCTATTTTACCCCTAAAAAACCACAAAAATGCGATTATTTTTCGAGGAGCTCCGATAACCTATTTCGAAATTGCCCAAAAACCCATCAGGGAGTACCCCACTACAACCTCCAACTTGAATTTTTGATGTACAACAAAGTCGCATTTAAAGTGAGTTCAGGGGCACCGTGCATGATTTATTTATTTATTTATTTTTTTAAAGTACAGAAGACTCTGGATTATCCGGTCTAGTTGGTGCCGGGCCCGATCTGGATAATAAGGGAATCCGGATTTCAGCAGAGTCAACGGTGAAATTTTATCCCAGGCAAGTGCCACCCAGTTTATAACATCGACCATATCTACTTTTTTCAAGTTACATGGTTGCAAAATCAATCCGGATAATCCAGAGTCCGGATAATACAAAGCCGGATGATCCAGAGTCCGGATAATACAAAGCCGGATGATCCAGAGTCTACTGCAAACTAGAGAGTACACGGTTACATACTTTTTTCTTTTTCATTCCTGAAAATATTACTTGTTCATCACTTTGTTTTAATGGTATTTTACTATTTTATTGCCACCTTAACAGACGCAGCAGCTGGAACATGCTGATAGTGGAATGTGCTTAGATATTCCTGAAGTTGTATCTAGTCCTCAAGATGTATTTGTCACGGAGTGTCAAACAATCCACAGTCAACGTTGGGCCTTTTTACCTGTGCCTTGGAAATAATTCCTCTCGCCTAGCTGATTGATTTTCAAGTCCGTCCATTTCATTTGATTAATTGCTACAGTTTCTTTATTGTTATAAAAAATATTTACCCTTGTTGATACTTTAAATTATTGTAGATTATTGAAACCGAACAACCTCCAAAAGCTTATTTTGTAAAGACGTTTGTAAAATTGTTTATACACTCCATTGTTACTTTTATTTATCACCCCTCAAAGTAACTAGGACTTTGAGGAGGATTGCGTATTCTATGTCTTTAGTCATTCACACAAGAAAGAATGATTTGATAGTTCCTTCTTATGTTAAACATTGTTTCAGAGTGCACAGGCACCTAAATACATTACATTCAACAATTACACAATTATGTTTAAACTATCTACCATCAGTGCGCAGTAGGGTCTCAAAACCCGTCCACAAGAATGACTGACCTCTGTGAATTTGTCTTGGTAGGATTCATACTTTATCAATGAGATGAAGGAAGGAGCGATTTTTTCTTCCTTCTTATTTTTTCCTGTGATGAGAGTTTCCATGCCTGAAATTAATCCTGGATGATGGTTCATATTTCATCTTATCACTTTTTAAAATTTGGCCTCTTCTCCTGTTGTATATACTTATTTTTTCAACATCAATACTCATGCAATTATTTGCCATTATTTTATCTTATTTTCTGTGTGATTTTGTGCAAGAAATTTTTCTGTTGATCGCTCCAAACTTTACTTTCTCAGTCAATAGGACTTTTCAATTTTCATGGTGAAAGGAACATATCGAAAAGATTCTCTTGATTTCAGAATGCATGAAAGAATTTAAAAATACTTCAACTGATTATTTACGTTTGATCGAGTTTTTATACAATGTAAAGCAGACATATTGTTGCAATTAATGCTATTTAATTAGAAATTTGATCTGTTTGTTACTAAAAATAATGTTCATTACAATTCTGTTTGTTTTTATAAAACAGGATATCTCTAGAACATTTTGATGTCCATCCCAGAAGTGTTGAGTGTATGTCAGGAATAAATAAATACACATTTTTTGGGATAAGTAAATAATGGGCACACTCATTCAGTATTTACAATCAGGTTTTCCCAGAAAGTTTATGTTATTTGACTGTAAATAATTAGTTGATACTAGTTAACATGGTAAGATCTGACTTCAAGCAAAAGACTGTTATTTTCAAAATGTGACAATTTTTTTATTGTTTTTCTACTGCAATTTACATTATGTTACAAATTTTTTGAACAAAAGAAATACTCATTCATGATACTGCTCCAAAACTTGTTTAAAGCACAAGTAAGTACCTGGAAATCATTGAAAGTGTAGAATTATTTTTGTCTATGTTTCAATTTTGTCTATTTTTTAATAAATTATTTCCAGATTATATTTCTTTTTCAACAATATCATTATTGCAAACTTTTGTGATAAAACCAGTCAAGAAACGCAATCTACAACAGGTATCTTGGGGGCAATGCAAGTGTTGCATCGCGTCTGTGCCCTCTGCAAGAACAGCTCGGAGAATTTTTTTCAAGATCGCCTTCAAATATGCGTCATACCATTAACGATGCTTCTGATAGGGTGGCTTGAAATATGCTGGGCACCGTGAAGGCGCTTTACATCAGTACAATTTACGAAACTTGGTAAAGGGGTAGTGTTCGTTTCAGATTTTGTTGTTTTATCCCCTTCCCCTCCCTTTTTTCATAAACAAAATTATTCATTGAAAATTTTTCACATCTTTTATTGATAATCAAATTGATTCCATCTAAAGACGCACTGTTGAAGTCAGAATTGGAACCGCTGAGTTATCCCTGAGTCGCTGCATAGAGAAAATACAGAAGGTGGTAGCACTGCAGAGCGAATGCAGGTGTTGAGGACAGTTAAAGGTGAAATTTTAAAAAACTAGGCAACTTTAAATTTGGAAAAAAATCGTTTTCAGCTATGGATTTAAGCGACCTATTGTCAAATTTCCAGCTAAATCCATGCCCAAATATACTCAGGATTGTGAACACGGCGAATGCCCTCGTTTTGAGTCATCATCAACAGCCTCCATTCTTAAGCATATTATGAGAAAACTAAGCCCTAAATTGAAATTTGAAAAAAATAATTTCTTGCTATGGCTTTGGGCGACTTTTTGTCAAATTTCCGGCTGAATCAATGCCAAAATGAACTCTGAATCCTTAGATAGGTCCAGACTTAACTTTAAGTTTATACGAATTCTAGAATTTTTTTCTCTGCATTTATTATTTTTGCAATAACAGATCATTTTAATCCCTTGCAAGGTTTCATTGCTACTGTCATTTTCTTAAATTTTTCTTCCAATTAGAAAACGAGGTGGTAATTTGGCAGTACTGTACTGTCAAATAAAACGTCATTTGGCGGTACTGTATCCTTTCTTGAAAATTCTTTAAGTACCATTAAGGTGCCTTTACCAGATAACTTTTTGACCGCTAACTGGAAAACTTCTTTCCACCAAGGTGACATTGACGGGTTCAATCTTTGAAAACAAAACAACAACAATGGATCCATCTGATGAATAAAAATCGAGCAGTATAAGATAAAGTACTGATTTTTATTTCATAGAAACAAGAAGGAGAAAAGTCAGGCTGCGGTCAACCCTCAATCGTAATTAGACCTCTATTTTGCCGCCAATAAAATTTAGGAATATTACACATTTCGACTATAAACTGATTTGAAGTGACAAGCAATTGTTTATCCGTTAATACACAACAAAAAAAGACCTACCTAATTGGGTTCGTTAAGATTTTCTTCCGAATGCAAATTACAAATTATTTTGTCCCCTGCATGTTGCAGGTAACATCACAATGCTAGGTACTTCAGGCCAAATGCAAATGCACTTGAATATTACAGTGCTTTACTATCACGTAAACTCGAACTGTCCTGCATGTCCAAGATTTCCTTGTTTACCTAATTTCTCCGGGTGATACCAATAGAACACAGTAAGTGGCTTTTGCTTGCTCATCCGGTGAGGGCACCCTAGTGGTAGGAAGTTTTCCGGTTAGTGGTCAAAAATCCATCATGTCAAAACCCATGTCCCGGCGCTCCACGCCGCTTTTTTCAGACTTTGTCTGGTAGCCCATCATCCTTTTTATGATACTGTGTTGAGAGCCTCCTCAAACCTCCCAAAGTCAAGATAAAAACCATATGGGGCCTTCCAAAGGGAAGGAACTGATTCAGGAGCAACTACGAATATAGCCCTCAGAGGTGCTGCGAGTATTTTGACTCCACATTTATTGAGGCACCCTTCTTACATTTTACATTTTTGGAATCAGCTTGAACATTGCTGTCCACATGAAACTTCACCATTTTTTTTTTGCATAAAACACACAGTTGACAGTTCCCTTCTCTAAAAGTAATGTGCTCAGCAGTTTTGTTCTGCAATAATAACGCGTTTAAAAAATTCTTTTTCGGGGTCCTTCACACTTCTTCAGCGATCAACTGCAACCAAATTAGTCATTCAGTCACAGATGTTCTGCACTCCTGGCGACAATTAAAGGAAATTTACAAAGTTTCATGATGTTATGTTGCTTCGTTTTCTATAACAACAATAAAATCGAGAAGATATTGAGGGACACAAGCTGCAGTTAGGCAGATTCTGGTTGATGCTCACATATAGCAGCTTATTTATATCTGCTCGTTGTTTACAAATAAATTATCTGGAGCAGAAAAACACTTATCTGCTGCTATCCCCACAAGAATGCACGAATACTAAATTCAGATCTTTAGTTGAAACATGAGTCTGAAAACTAAACATTCACAGTTTTGAAAAAAGCAAAGAAGTATAAATTTGCGTATCCACACTGATCGGGTACGCTACAAAGAATTATTAATGATATCATTTTGGAGCTGTGTCACAAAAATTTGATTTGGGTTCGATTGACTTTAGTGCAAGGTACCTATTACCTGAATTGAATTTCAAGTAAACTTATAAATATTTTGGAAAGAAATAATATAACTTAATCAAAGGATACTAAATTTTTACAAATAAATTATTTTTTCATGAAAACATTGAGCTCTTTACAAGCAAAACAAGAGCAGGAGTTTCAAGTCTAGGTTTTAACCAGTGACACATAATCCTTTCAGATTAGTAACTCTTCATACTTTGCTGATTATCAAGTTCATCTCATTGACTACAAAACCACTTCTGAATCCAGTTAAACCAGTTAAGTAACCAATTAGACCTGTTTCTGCGGTTGAATCTTTGAAAAAACAGGTAAAAATTCCAAATTAGAGAACATACTCTATGATTTTTTTTCTTACTTTCAAATATTTGAAAACTTGAAACTATTTCAAGAGACAACAAATTTTTTGGATCCACCAAAATTAACTATGGAGTCGCATGCCTGGGACACTTGTTAATCCCATTATTGTGTATTGACCCTTGAGCTCCATTGTTTGAAAGAAAAGGAAGAATAGTGCACGCACTACATCAAGTAACTCTACACAGAAAACAAAGAACATTTCATCTTAGAAAAGGAAAGAAGTGTACACTAGGAGTTCATCTTAAGCTGAGGGCGTTCCTAAATGAGTCCGCGCTTTTTCTTATAGTCTTCTAAATTTAGTGATCTCCTTGGTCCATTGTCCTTCATCGACACTGAGTGCTTGGGAGTAATACTGACTGGATTTGCTGAGAAGGAAATAAACAAAAAATCATCAGGAATGACAATATTTATGGCAAATTCTATGACATTCGTTGGACTTTAGTTCCAAAAAACCGATATTGAGATATTTGTGCCATTGCTTGGAGGCAGGCTTAACGAAGATATTTGCAGCAAAACATAAACAAAAAGTAGTCATGAGAAATTGAAGTTGGAATAATATGTACAATTTTTGAGAAACAGCTCTCCAATGGTTTAATATGCTTTGACAGTAATTCAAAAGTGCAGAGTTGAAAATAAACTTAACATTCTTTATTGTTTTATAACAATACTCTACATCTACATGAAATGGAGGCTTCACATACAATATTATACAATATATTTCTGTTCTTAAATAGTAGTGAAGCAGTCAACTTAGATGCGTTTTAACAATGAGCTGCTTTAAATGAAAAACTTGGAAAATATTTCAGATCCAATTTTGTTACAATGATGTTGAGAATCAAAGGCAGTGCTGTTGTATATGGAAATAACGCTTCTCTGCTACATGCATAAGACACACAAGGAGATATGTGTGCCGTGCGGCTACGCCGCTCCGATGCTGCTACTAAAAAGGTTTTCTGCCAGGGACATCTCTAAAAGATCATATCCTTAAAGTCTCCAGCTTGCTTACTGTGCTCAACAAATCTTGGTGATGGTGATGATGCTTTTCCGCGATAAATTAAAGAGGGCAAAAGGCTTGAGCATCAACAGCCACAGAATACACACACTTTAAGCCATCCAAAGAATAGTGGTACGGTTGATTCAGAAGCCTCTAAAAGGATAACAAGATTCCCGGAGGTCTCGGTAGCATTCTGCTCAGTGTGCAAACTTATTTATGGTGCATGAATCTCAAAGAAGCGTGGGTGGCACAGTTTTAGTTATTTATATCCTCTGACAAGGACTTGCACGCAGTGGCGAATGAGAGCATATGGATATTTGAGCCTCGCTACTGAAACAAACCTTTGCCCAGCAAGCATACCAAAATGTCCGAGTTGTGCATGTTCTAAGGCAATGGATATAATTTCATGAAGTTTTAAAATGTTATTAGCAAAGTTTTTGGTAAACAGACTAATCACCTTTTTTTTATAACAAGAGACAAATGATATTTTGCAACTATAAGTTATGAAACGGCCGCACACACGGTTGGCAGGTTGCATAACCCCTCAAAAACTGCAGAATTTGACATCAAAAGACTTTGACTGTGTGCATTAGGATGTCCTACTTTGAGGGTCACCTACGAATTTCGATAGTGGTACCCCCTAAATCGTTGACCCCACTTACTAAAATAAGCATTTATTCAAGAAAAAAATCTGAAGGGTTGCAAAAGGCCAAAATCCTGCATTTTGCCCATTTTGACAATTTTTTTTTTTGCAATGATAAAACTAAGCTAGTTTGATTTTATCATTGCAAAAAAAAATTGAAAAAATGGGGAAAATGCAGGATTTTGGCCAAGGCCAAGGAATGGTTTTTGGCCTTGAACAACCCTTAAAAATATCTTTAGATTTTTTTTCTTGATTTAGTTTCTTTTATTAGAGGTACATGCACATATTAATAGAAAGCTATAGGGTGTGAGAGGAAATAAACTTGGAAATAACAAAAAGGTAACTTACAAGGTATGGGAACTTCCAGATCTATTTTGATATCAAAGTCATGTGCCGAAAAAAGATCATCAGTTTTCGTTGTTTTATTTTTACTAGACTTATCTTGACTACTATTGCTGTCTAGAGGCATGTTTTCATTTGCTTTGCTTTTTTCCTGGAAAAAGGGCATTACAGATTAAAAGAGATTTTATACAAAAGTGACTTATACAGTCATAATCAGCTAGGGTTACATGCAACTGTGATGATTCATGATTCATTCATTGATCCATCTCTTTTTGTTCACGTGGTACACAGTAGGGAACCTTACTTTCCAGATGACCCCTGTCTGTTTTACTTTTCCATGCTGAAACATAGACCCATATAGATGTAATAAGTTTGTGGTAGGGCCGCAGTTTGCCGCCACTATGTGAGTACTAGATGCTGTCTCTTGCACTCTTGCTTTGTAAGTTGATAACAGAGCGGGTAATAATTCAGCTGAGTGAAGCGTTGCCACACGCACTTGCCATTCTGGATCACAGGTGACAATTGAAGAAACAAAGTTTGGAAAAATGAGATTTAAACTGGTCAAATGGATTTTTTTTTTGTTTTTGTTTTTTTTTTTAAATAAACTGAAAAAATTGTATCAAGTTAAGAGGATACTGACAAAAAAAAGGTACCAATCCCGAATTTTTTAAGCATTGTGTCATATGGGTGATAAAACAGAACCGCGCAATTCTACCGACTGAGGCAGGGTACCGGCTTGTTCGGGTATCAAGTTAGCATGGTTTCACTGTAAGTGAGAAAGTTTTTCATGAACATTATAGACCTAAAGCACTTTTAAAATACACATTTTGTCACCGGTCACCGAAGAGGTGCACTTCGGTGTATGCGGGGTTACAGAAAACTATTTTTTGCAGGAACCCACTAGTACTCTAGGTAGGGGAGGAGACAGTAACTTACTTTAGCTTCTGCAGCTATGCGTGCTAACTCTTCAGCTTTTGCGGCCTCTGCAGCTGCTGCTTTTTCTTCCGCATCTCTTGCTTTAAATGACATTGTAGGTTTTGTGCTACGTCTGGTGAAAGGATCATCTATTTTCTTTCCTTTATTTGCTCTTACTTCTTCCTGTAAAGAATATAAAAATTCTTGAAACTATAAAACCTAAGAATCTAGAATAAAGCTAGCTTAGGAACCTCGAAGATTTTCTACTGTCATCTGTAAGTATAGAAATCACTTTGAACGTAAGGTAACTATTGAAATTCCTCTCCTAAATATCTGCAAAATTAGCTTAAAGTAGAGTGACAGGAACAGTTATAATATCACAACAAAATAACTGCATGTCAGTCCACATACAAAGCCCACCTATTTGCTAAAAACTTAACATGAGCCAAATCTCAACAGTCTTGCAGCTCCAAAGTGACATTATTCTATTATCAAACCAACCTGCAACCAGGAAAGAAAGAGGAAAGTTGAACGTGAAAATTGATAGGTTGTTGTAAATCACTCTCTAAAACTTTAAGGCATACTAAGTTTTGAGATCTTTTTTTTCAGAAAAAAAATTCTGGTCAAGGGAACATCGAGAAAATGCTCCAGGGAATTCCAAGCGATTAGAAGTTGGGGCCCTTCTTGCACCTCAAAACCATGTGACTCGTTTGATAGTATGAAAAGACATGATATTGAGTCAGGGTTGCCCTATGCCAAGAACATGTGAATAGAGTCTTTCTAAAAAATTCTGGAAAAATCAAATTTTTTGTCTGGGCTTAATTCCTTGGTCTGTATAGTAATTAAAAGATGAAAAGAACAGTTTTAAGACACTTTTGAAGGTTCAACATCGATATTCCTCGGTACTAAAGGAAATCTAGGTTCTTTATCAATATTTTTTGGTGCAAAAGGTGCTTCTTAGATTTCCTTTAGTACCGAGGAATATTGATGTTGAACCTTCAAAAGTGTTTTGAAAATGTTCTTTGCATCTTGCATTAGTCCATCAAAGTCTTAGGTCCTAAGTCTTTGGTGGGCCATTAAGACAAAGAAATTAAGCAGAGATGAAGAATTTGATTTTCCAGGTCTATGAAAAAGACCCTATGTACTTACACATTCATAACGTAGGCCGACTTCGCATTACATCATAGATTGTCACGAGTTACGTTGTTTTGAGGCACAAGAAGGGGACCCAATCTCAAATCGCTTTGGAGCAAATTTTGGAGCATTTTTTCCAAGTTTCTTCAACCAGATCTTTCTTTTTTCTTTTTTTCACTTAAAAAAAAATACCTCAATACTTAGTAGGTACCCTTTAATGTTTTAGAAAGTGAATTCAAACAACCGACCAATTTTGACAACCAACCTCCCCTTTTCTTTCCTGGTTGCAGGCTGGTTTGGTACTGGAATGATCTTCCTTTGGAGCTAAAAGACTGTTTAGATTTGTTTCATTTAAAGTTTTTAGCAGGAAGGTGGGATTTGCATACTTATGAATAATTATTTTTTTCTCCTAATTTGTTGTAAAGATATTTTGATCTTTAGTTATAAAGTTCCAATTTTAGAGCCATTTCTCTTGTATATTGGATTTTTAGCCAATTCGTTGTTTAATAAATAAATAAATTAGAAAATTTGTATGCTTCTATGCTGTCCTGCTGCTGGATTTTCTATTGAAGCGCAGCAAAAAATTATTTTGCAAGCACGTCCCTGAAGTCGAAAATGCTTGTCAACAAAGTCAAAAATGTGCAAAAGCCAGTCTGAGTAATCCTGGAAAAAAAATTTAGTCTTTTTCGTAATATTTTCCTAAATTCTCTGAACTGATTTAATTCCCTGGCGATTACTGATTTTGTACGTCTGTAAACACCCTGCATCTGCAATAAGGAGTAATTGAGCTGCTTACCAAAATTGCTTTTTCAGCTTCTTCAACATTCTTTTTCCTATTTCTATCGTTAATGTAACTTATACTGGAAATTGTGCTTGTTCTCAGTTTGTCTAGTTCCTTTGCTCGTTCTTCCAATTCATTAATTTTAACTTGAAGCCTGCCAGCTTCCTCTGTGTCATTCCTGTAAAATAAATGGTGAATGACTTCTAAACTTGATAGTAAGATGACTCATCTCAATTCAAAAAAGGCCACTTATAACAAAAACTCATACTAGATTATGACCAAAAAATCTTAAGCAAACACACAATTGAATCGGCCATTCTCAAAAATACTTCAGCACAAAAAAAACGAGAATGCGAGAAAAACAGTAAACCCCGTTTTGAGTGACCCGTTTGAAATCTCAAGAGTACGAGAACAGTTAATTAATTAATCACATTATTAACTATTCTACAGTTTAAAACGGATCATTTATGGAGCTTAAGTCTATTTGAGAAAGACTGATTCAAATTTTAGCTAATGTAAGAGTGAACATACTTCATTTTTTACACAGCTACTTACGTGGCAAAATTCAAAATAAATCATGCCTTCGATAAAATGAAAATCATATAAATTCGATTTTCATCATCCAATATTTCATGAAGTTATTTCAGTGAAAGCCTTTTAAACATCTTGGAGGAGTGACATTCACGTTCCAGGATGGCAAAACTGCTGATTTTGTTTACTATCTCTGGCACAGTATTTTAAGTTTTAAAAAGAAATTAAAGAGTGAAGCTCATCTAACTCTAGTATTTTGAATGAAATCTACAGAGAAAGGCGAGAATTAATTAACCTAGATGATTAAAGCATTGGTAGCTTTTTGACAGGCCTCCAAAAAATTCAAAGCAAGCCCGCCAGTCATTCTCCCACAAGGAACCAAGGGACTTGATACATTGTATTGAGGGGGGGGGGTGTCGAAACGATCACAAAGGCAATATACTGCGTAAATGCATCAAAAGAGAGAAAAAATAGTTATACCTTGCTTGAGCCATGTCTCTTTCTTTCATGAGCTGTGTCTTCTTCATTGCGTAGTTATAAGGATTCTGCTTAAACCGCTCTTTTTCCTTTACAATCTGTAATATAAAATTTAATAAGAGATATTTGAATAGATATTGTGAGGCAAAGGTCAAGGAGGTCTTAGAGGATCTTTTTTTCAACATCTTTTTCAAACATCTCAGAATTTACATGATATAAGAGCCGGAATGAAGATTGTGTATTGCAGAACTCATTCAAATCTAAGTGCATTTCGATTAGTTAACTCTTCTGAAATATTCAGAACGAATTTCATCATTTGCATTCCAATCGTCGGCTGTCACTGATCAGAGGGGCCCATTATAAAATTTTTAATTACGGTGATAATTTGTCTACGTTGAGCGCTGAGAAATTTGTATTATTTAGGAGGCAATATACATCACTATTTTTGAATTATTGAGGATTCCTCTAGGAGCCAACTCTTCACATAGTACTGGCAAGAGTTTCTTATTATTAAGAGTTGACTGTATGAGCCATTCCACTGATACCTTTAAGCCATATTTTAGTCAGTAAAATTATTGCAAGTTTCCATTTATACAAAGCCTTCGAATCATCTTTTTTTTTTTTTTTTTTTTTAAAAAAGCACTTTTACTGATATCTTATCTACCATAACTGCTATCATACTGGTAGTCTTGACAGTACAGTCTAACAGTTTGCGCATGTGCAGAGACTGTACAGTCGGCAGAGGGCCACCGTCGACTATCCATTTAGCTCCCAAAAGTCATTGAATGTACAATTGGACTACTAGTGTGATAGCAGCTTAAAGGTAATTTTAAACCCTGTCAACTTTTGTTAGACTGATAAAAAAATAGAGGTTTCCTGATATTTTGAGAATGTTGGAAACATTTGTTTGAGGTCCTCACAGAGACAAAGAGATACCCTCCACTAACCTCTTGGTTTTGGTGGGAACTTTTACTTTTGGAAATTAAACACTTCCTTATGGACAAGAAGCCTGTTGCAAACTTCAGCTAGAGCAAAAAGAAGAGATATTTCTTGCGGAAAATGGCTCAAAAATTACAATAAGCGCATCAGGAAAGTCTGAAATACGTTCCTAACTTCACAATCTGCATTTAAAAAATGCTCTTTTCTAAGCTTCCTGCTTCAAAAACGATTCTACCCTCGCAGGTGAATATTTTGTAACAGGAGTCACTTCATCCAGTCCACCAAAACGCATATTACAAGCCGGGATTTTATCAACCGGCGCTTTTACATTGACATTTCCTTTGCGTTCATATAGACCATGGTGCTTCTTCACAATTTGTGCGCGGAAACGTCAGTCATGTTAAATATTGTGGTACCTTACTGCGCAAGGGTTGGATGAAATGAATCCTCTTACAAAATGTTTACTTGTGCCGTAGTATCTTTTTTGAGGCAGGAAGCTTAAAAGAAGAATATTTCTCGGGCAGATTGTGACGTTAGGAGTGTATTTCAGATTTTCCTGATGGGTTCATTGTGATTTTTGAACCATTTTCCATGAGAACCATCTCTTCTTTGGGCTCTAGCTGAAGTTAACAACAGGCCCATTACTAGGCAGCAACAGTCAGCACCTTTTTTTTTCGGCTGTAAACCTATCTACTGGCTGGATGATGAGCTTTCAGTGACATAATAAATCATACAAGTTAGTCAAATTTTTGTTCATTCGCGAAACGAAATATCAAACTTGTCGTTCGCAATCCATCTTGTAAGTAAGTCAACAATTGTATGTTGAAGTCCTGAAAGTAAAAGCTTCCACCATTGCCGAGATAACAATGGAGGGTCCCTATTTGTCTCTGGGTCTTCATGGCTCTTCAGTTAACGTTACCAAACCAATGGGCTGCGCATGAAGTTGTTTCCTGACTTTTCCCACAAATCCCCTGACTTACTGCTGCCACTGCATATTCCTGGACACTCTCACTTCTCTAACCAGCAGGAAACCATACTCTACCGTAATTTTCTGGTTTGATTCTATTGATTCTCAGCACCAAAATTCCAGTGATAAATTGGGATAATCTACGATTCACTTCATGAAGGAGAAATAATTACTTTTTCAACATCTTCTTCTTTGTATTCATACATTAGAGCTTCTTTTATGTCTCTAAGTTTTGTGTCAATTTCATCAGTGGTTGGTAGAGAGATTCCTTGAAGTGCACAAGTTTCCCGCCACTTCATAAATTCACTGTCTGTAAATTCTTGATTACTGATGAACTCTAACCGGAACACTCTTTCCTGAGCTCCGTGCCTTTATCAGAAACAGAAATCAATAACTTTAAAACGACTGTCAGAAAGAGTGAGATAATAGTCTTTTGAGACATAATGTGATCAATTTACATGCAGGTTAAGTCAAACAATAGTCGAACAGTATCAACAAAATGTCACTATCAAATAGAATATTCAAATCCAGGTGATGAAAGCAGATCTGCCACAAAACATATCATTTTCGTAAATTTAAACAAGCTGGTGAGTTCGAGTGGAAATTGAAATTACTGAATGACTTCACTCTAGGGTGTTGAAAAACTGTATTGACCATGAGATTTGGTTTCTATGAACTTTCCTCCTTTTTTTTAAAAGGCTCAAATTTTCATGTAAGATTTGATTTGAACATTCACCTAGAAACATATTGTCCTTTTAGATTAACTAAAATGTATTTATGAAGCAATATTGATGGTGAAAATCTGCAACCACATACCTCGGAAAACCCAATTTTTCAGGAGATGGAAAAAAATTGCCTACATTCTTCATCTTTCAAGGTAAAGAGGAAATAATTCTTGAAGATAGCAAGGATAACATCCTTGGGTCTATCAAGATGCCAAGGGTAGATCTTTTTTTTTCTCTTTTTCGGTTTAATGAGCCCTTGTTTGTATATGGTTCACATGGCAAAAGTATGCGATTCGAGGTTGTGATGTCAGGTGACTTTGTTCAGAGAAGCCAATGAAACCCAAATTCAAATTCGTCTGAACTTTAAGAATATTTCTCAATTTTTTAGTCATCAGAAATATTCTAAAGAAATGGGTGCCTGATTGCTCATCACACCTTTGGCCCCAGATGCTAAATTAAAAAAATTCATGCAACAACCCCACTGTATCCAAAATTGGCTTTGCACCAAGAGTGACCTTATCGATGACTTATAAAACGTGACTCAGGGTGTACCAAGAGCCATTTTCCCATCACTTGGAGCATTTTAATTTTGGTGTTGCCTCCCCCCCTCCCCCCCGCCCTTTTGCAAGTTTCCACTTATTGATTCATTATTGTTTAAGTATTATTTGGGGGGAAGTATTATTTAAGGAAAATTTTGTTTTACTTTGAAAGGACAACTAATAAATTCAAGTACCTTAATCGCAATCCTTTGTTCGTTCTTGTACCTCCTAGTTGATAGATTTTGGCTGTTTCAACCACTCCGATTATTTCTGCAACCTGAAAATAGAAGCAAAAAATATTTAAAACAGAAAACGAGAGCAGTAAAAGGCACTGAGAGCTAATCATATGGATCTCTTCAGTATGCCATTTTTTGACCGAGATAGTTCATGGAAACATTGATTTCTCCTGTTGGAGGATCACAACTCCTTGTAAATTTGGATATGTACTTTTCTTGGTATAAGATTTGCCATTCTCTGAGAATGGCAAAGTTGGTAAATATTATTCCTTCATGCGACAGTGTTGCGAAGGCGTAAACTTCAAAACTCCAGTGCCGACCATTCAAGTGAAATGAAGTTGTGATTCAGATTTAATATCTTTAGAAAATTTACAATTCAACTGAACGTTTATTTGTTCCCCTTCAGAGTTAGATCTTTTCTTCTTTTCCTGCACTTGAAGATGAGAAAAGACCAGTTTGTTTGGGTCAGGAAGATCTTACAGAAAAAAAGAAAATGGGTGAACCACTTTGAACGAATAGTTGGTTTAATAAAATTACCATCAGTCTTCTGAAAAATTTTCCAACAGATTCGTACCTTTTAAGGTCTTTATTGTTTACATTCCAAAAAAAATATAGATTGGAAAATTTTGTACATGCAGTTTAATTTTTTTTTCCTTTCATTTCCTTTCAATTTTGGTCAAGGTTTGCCTGTAAATGCAGATACTTTTTTTTTTCTTGATTTTATTATGATCGGACCAAAATTTCCTAAAAACACAAGTTAACAAGTTCATTTAAAGTTAGTGGAGGTAAGCCCTCTAAAAACTTAATTTGTAATTTTAAATTTGGAAGGTGATTTGCAAAGAGTGAAAAAAGAAAAACTTACCCTGTACACTGGTTTGCCATTTAAATTATTACCGATTCCTATTCTGACAAAGCATCCTTGGGCAACACGATTGAAAAAAGGCAAGTGAACAAACCTGGAACAAAAAATATAACTTCAAATAACAGTTCAAACTGTATTCACAGGCCATAGCAACATGTCCTAATCACAGGCTATGTGCTGGCAACCACCGAGCACTACTACCCCTAAGTGCTCAGCCATAGATACACTCAAAGCTTATCCTTGACTAAGAAGATCAAGACTACTACCCACACACATCCTACACCCATTCTTGCACATCCTAGCAGAGTCCAATGCAAAGATGTGCCATGAAAAAAAAAATCCTCAACCTACCGTATGTTTACTTAGTCTGTTTACCATGACCCAGTATCAACCTGCAGCCTAATTGTTGAAATTTATAACGGCACGACAAGAATCGAAAATCGATATATTACACGGTGCAGATAGGGCTATGTCTTGTCTTATCGTGCCGAAATAGCCAGTTAAAGTTTCAACAATCTGGCTGCTGGTATAGAAAGTCGCCTAGAAGGGTCTCTAGGCGTGAAAATGGTGTTGGTCTTAGCTATAAATCTATACCCACTTATAATCTATTCCTTGGCTGTAGGTTACTCCTGGTGAATATAAGCCATTAAACCAACAAAAGAAGAAGAAGAAGAAGAAGATATGCCATGTTGTCCGTGAAAAATTCTTTAGGTGCAACACTTTCTTATTTCTTTCTTTATTTTCTTTTACTTTTCTTATTGATTTTTAAAAAGTGGTAGGTGTTTTCCAACAAAGTTCAGTCTCATCTGTGAGCCTCTTTGATTACAAAATGGAACGCCTCAAATTGGAACTGCCAGAGGAATTATAAAATCACAGTGCTCTTGGAGAAAATTGTAATCAGTGGAAGCCGTTGATTATGAAGAAAACCAAATTACTGAGGAGAAATTTATCACCATCCATGAGGCAGTCACCTGTGTTTCAATGTTTCATGGATCATGGACAAGTCCCGTTGTTAGGGCAGCAAGAAGCAGTGCAGCACTACGAAGAATCCCTGTTTTTTCCCCCAAAAACAGTACTTTGTTCCTCTAAAAAATGTATTTGAATCTTTGGAATAAGTAGTCGTGAAAGAGTGCAGGTTCTGATTTAAAGTCAAGAAAAATTAGGCACTTTAGGAGAAATCAACACGAAATCTAGAAAATCTTTTTAATAAATTAAGTTCTGGATGATTCTGTACAGCTTTAAATCACGGCTTTAAATTTCTTTTTGAACCTAACTGTGGATTTCAACAACAGAGTCTACTTATGCATCAGAAAACCTGAAACTTGTCCACCTAGAACAATGTTCCTATATCAGCTTCAATCCTATCTTCCTCTAATTCCGGCAAGTAATCTTAATTAAGAATTTGCTACTTGCTTGAATAATTGATTTTAACTTCGACGTAAATGGGTATGCATTTTCAAAGGTGCCTACACATTTTGCGAAAAGCCTAACCATAAGGCCAAACATGATATTCAATGAAAATTTCCTATTTGCCTGAACATTTTGCCTTTTGCCATTAGCCTTTGATGGACACATTGGGTGCATGTTCATTTAGACTAAACTTAAAAATGTAATTTGGTCAAATTTCCACAGCTTCAATCATTAAATTGATTAGTAATACACTGAAGAATAAAGTACATACTGTTCCATCTTGTGCCGGGAAAGCCTGATTTGGTTTAGTTCTTCTCTTTTAGATATGAACTCTATCTTCCTTTCTTTCTTGATGCTGGCCCTGAAAAATTAAAAGTGCTGCATTAAACTTAAAGTAGTTTTATTTCATTAGTGTAAAATAAATGAAAGGGAATAGCAACCCAAAATCAAATTTGAGATTATTACATAAATTGTTAACTGAAACAATGCTGAAGCACATGCAAAAATCCCAGAGTGAAAATGGTGACTGTGCGCAGAGATATGAGCCATTGGATGTCCGCCTGGTTGAATGTTTCAATTTCTTTTGCATATCAGGACAGCTGGTGGGTTGGAGACAATAGTTGTCTTACCTTAAGATTTTATCCTCACTATTAAAGCAAAAGAAGAAAAATAAAAGGTATGATGACTGTTAGCTCTATTACTTCAGACAAAGGGTTCTTAAAAACATGGTGTTTTAAGCACATTAAGCTTTTAGATAAATATTTGTTAAGGACAATTTTTTAAGTAGATCAGTCTAAAAAACTGAACTTCTGAGCATAGCATATGTAATTCACATGAGAGGTTAATAAAATGGTCACCTACATCTCTCCAATAATCAAAGAGAATTCAGAACAGCTTCATTGTAGGATGTTTCTTTTTTTGAGTATCTATTGCAGTGTTGACACAGATGCAGTGGCAATGATATACATGGAAAACGTTCATCAAAAAGAGATATTCTTAAAAACAATAAAAATTCATAACTCTCAAAGAGGTTCCAGAGTAAATTTTAGCAATGGAAACCGTCTGACTGAAAAAAACAAAATGAGATGAAAAATTCTCTTAGAAACTTGAAAACAAAAGGTCTGCCTCCATTGGCCTTGTTCAGGCCTCACGTTTCTATAAGTGGAGAGAAGATCTGCATGAATCTACTGCCTTGAATCTGTACTCTTTTTAACTACATAGGCAACAGCTTTTAGGCTTATCTGCCATGTTAGTTGTTACCGAAGAGAGCAGTAAAAGCAAAAGGGAGATTTATAGAAAATGGACAAAGTAGCGTCTGAACTGAAAATTTTATTGAAAAAATCCATTTGTGAATTTGTCTTTAATCATCCGAAAGACTCAAAAAAATTGTTCGTATTATAGATGAATTTTAGGTATGATTGTATAATGAGGGCTTTTTTAATTCCATGTTGCGCAAGAAAGTAGTGTATGCTACGTTCTGTACGCTTCCGTGACAATTTGTACTCACATCAAACAGATTTTAAGGAGGGCAGGAAGGGAGGCTGCGGAAGGGGAATTTATAGCTCACAAATTTTTGACATCAAGGATCAGCTTTAATAAAGAGAAATAGGACGAATTCCGATGTTATAATCGAATCAGTCAGTGCACTTGAACTAGGTTAGACCAATTTTACATGAAACCCGATGTCGGGAAAATGGGCCTTATACTGCTCTCTTTGATAACACAGCACTTGTTGTTAGATCTCATATCAGGGGAGGCTTCAAGTTATTTGCGTTCATAAAATACAGTGATTAGCGCTTGGCTCACCTGGAGGAGTCTGAATCACTGGAACTGCGTGATGATGATGAACTGCTTCTAGCTCTGATTTTTGAAGGTTGTTTGCTTGATGAAGACTTCGGCTTTTCATCAGAGTCTGATGCACTGTCATCTGAATAAATATCTGAGGCCTTGAGTTTGGTTTTGTTGGCTTTTTCATTTTCTCTTTTTTCTTTGTCATCATCCTCATCCTCTTCTTTTCCTTCTTCTTCTTCTTCCTTCCGCTTATCTTTTTCTGCCTTCTGCTGCTTTTCTTTCTCCTCTGATAAAAAATATACATGAAATGAGTAAATAAAAAAATTCAGAGGGGAATTCTGGTTCATAAATAACGAACTGACTACAATAACAAGGGGGCTAGTATACAGGAAGACACAAAAGTCTTAGGATACCCCTGTAACTTTTGAACGAATTAAGATAAAGACTTGAAAATTTGGCCGTGCTCCTGTGTCAAAGTAAACTACTTTTTATACCCCCCAAATTTTTGGACTCCCCCCTAGGGAGGCTATGTTACCCAAATGTACAACCCAAAATTATGAGTCAAATTCACTCTTCCCAAAAATTTGGGGAGAGTGATTTCTTGTCTGAGAGTCTTGGTGCGCACCCTCTGGTCTTAGTCTATCTTTCGCTTAAGTTCAACATCATTCTCTACCCATCAAGTTCACCCAGTGAGCGAGTCCATAGGCAGACTTTCAGCAGCCACAGTCTGGTCTCAACGACAACACTGACTCGCAAGAAAAGGTCCGCTTGGCCACCGAATTCTGCTGCGCACCCATGGGATGTTCATGGAAGTGAACATTGAAGGTGTTGCGGGGATGCCACAGGTCATGGGCATGCCATGCAACGATAAAAATTCATGTTGTTCACAGCAAGAGTGATTTTTGGAAAGACAGAAACCGGGAATCCCCGGTTTTGGTGGTAGAGTGCTGTAAGCGTATTGACCCCTGTCTGCTTACAGGCACCCTCCAGCTTGAGTTCCTTTATTCTTTCACAAAGGAACTCGACCTCGTTGTTTGATACCGGTGGTCGGTCAACGTCAGGTCTCAGGCTAAAGGTTCAAGACTGCCAAAAATCATTGTGGCTGACAAGCACCTCCAGTTTGAGTGTGCCTGTGGAATGATTGCCGATCTCGCTCCTCAAGTCTCGAGTCTGAGTCTCTAGTGACTCAACTCGCAAGGCCGTTAAAATCCCAGCTCCAGATCTCACTGCTACAGGAAATTGCTTCTCATTTTAAATATTTGGATACTTATTCCAGCAGATTGGGCTCACCAAACAAACTGTAATGGAGTGCAAAGTGAGAGACCAGGAAGCAAAGCTCCTGCACGGATGCAAGGCGAAAAACGGAAACATGAGGGGCCGCTTAGGATTCGATCTTAATATTTTAAATTACCTCTTTCTTTCTTTTCTTCTCTGCGAGCTTTGAGGAGATTCATTGCTTGCGCTTTTTTATCCTGCTTTCCTCTGTTTTCCTCTATGGTCTTCTTTCTATCTTTACTCCTTTCCTTTGCATCCAAGAGTTGGTGTTTGTCGTATTTTTTGAGCGATTCTTTCTTGTCACTATTCTTCATTTCTCGTTTTTTGGCAAGACGTAATTTTTTTTCGATCTCAAATCTGAAACGGAGACAAACATTGAAAATGTAATGATAGAAAATGAATGGCATGCATATTCGTAATCTACGATTCGAAATTAGGGCTCTTAACATGGTCCTAGGTCCAGGTCTTACTACGGTCTTGCTTACGAATGCAATGGTGTTATTTCCTCAGTAAACACACTAAAAGTAGTTCAGGAAATATTAAGAGTGCAGATTGCAGTAAGCAAATAGAGGACATACTGTACATGTAGGGGAATAACAATAAGCTCCACATTCTTTCATCCATGAGAGGAAGAACTGAGCCAAAGCAATGAAACTACTGAGCATATGCACTGAATTTAAGAGAAAGACTTTTCTTTCTTTGAACATGACATCCAAGTCATTGATTTCCTGGCATGGATTTATGGAGATGGATTCATGTAAATTTTTTCCAACAGGCAGCACCATATACGAGAGTAAATTTGAATTAACTTTGCCATGTTATCCAAAAGAACATATTAAAAGTCTTCCAAGCCCCAAAATACTTAGGCAAGGACAGGGGACAGTACCCCTCCCCAGTCAAGAACACTCCACCTTGAAACTTCTGTCTCAGTAACAGACAGTAAGAAGAAGTAGTAGTAGTAGTAGTAGTAGTAGTAGTAGTAGTATTAATAGTGTCTGCTGTGAATCCCCCCTCCCCCTTGTTACCGTGTTATGAGAATAGATAAATAAATCTAAATTATACCGTGTTTTCATGATTTCTCGAGCCTCAACTCGCTTGAAAATTTCTTGTTCACGCTCCTTTTCTGTCATCTGTGCCAATCTTTTCTGATCTTCTTCATCTCCCATCATTTGGTCATCATAACCATCATTAAATTCTTCTTGACTTAAGTCAGACGAGTCATACTCACTGCCATCAGAATCCGAAACTTCTCCTAAAAATTGTAAGAAAACAGGGTTATTTGTTGTTTGAATTAAAATCAAATTTCAAAAAACAAAAACTAGCTGCTCAAAGCGTAAGCCAGGGTGAAAACATCAACAGCTGTTCAGAATTTGGAGCATGGTTTTTGCAACTTGATGATGACAGTGTATCGCTCCTCGAGGAAAAACACTTTTTTATCTCCGAGCATCATCAAAATACGTTCTCTGCCAGTAAAGTTTTAATTCGGTAGCTAATCTACCGAAAAAGTGTAGTGTGGAACAGCTTAACAATCACCCGGTATAATGAAAAGAGGGAGGAAAAAAATAGTTGGCCTACAGCCAACTATATGAAGATCTACAGGCAGCTAACTACAATAATACAAAATTAACCAAAAATATACAGGAAAAGAAAAAAATTCTCACCCTCTTCTGGTTCCGAGTCTTTTCCTTTTGAATCTTTCTTTTCCTCCACTTCATCATCTTCCGAATCTGATGAAGACCTTGTGATGGTCCGTTTATTGGTTCTTTTGGCAGTTTTCTTCTTTTTCTTTTTCGTTTTTCCTCTGGCATCCCAATCACCATCAGAACCTGATGAGGTGTCGGAATCAGAATAGGCATCTACAGCTTGCTTCTTCGATTCTGCATTACCATTAGATTCACCTGCATCACTGTTAATGCCTTTTTTCTTCTTTGCTAATGACAAAAATTCCTGCAAAACAGCAAAGAGTTCAAAAGGAATTTTAGTAAACTTGAATTATAGTCTCTCAAGTCTCTCTGTAGAAAAATTTGCACAGGATCTATTTTGCTTCATGTGAATCTATGATTACGTATAGTACTTTTTTTATTACCTATTCATAGACTGTGCCGGTTAAGCAGCAGAGTCTTCCACCAAAAAAGATTTTCACTGTTGTATTTAGACGAATCCCTTGGATTGACATTTGTGCCGCACAAGTTTTTTTTCTTCTCAACACCGTTATGTAATGACAAATTATGTATGGGTGTAATAATAATCTGAATAAATAACTATCTACCTATTAGTCTATGGTACTCCATGAATGTTAAAATTTTACGATAATAGGAATAGTGGTGTCATTGTGGGTTATAAACGACGTAGGGCAGAACGATTGAAAACCAAGTTGATAAATCTAAAGAAATGATAACCCTGAACTTATCCATGCTAAAAAATATAATAAGTAAATTATGATTGTATTTAATGATATGAGACTATAAAGGCCGAAAAAGTCAGGTCGGTTGCTCACAGCCAACCCCAATTTTGAAGCAAAAGAGCAGTTTGCGGCGATAAATCAGTACTGATCACGGATTCTTTGGCAATATTTGCTCTGCAAGGTGACTTTAATGTTCAAGAAAATTGCCATTTTGAACTGAAATGTTTATTTTTAAGCAATTTAAGTCATTAGAGGTGTCGTCACGTAAGTTGACCATTGTTTAGTTTTGGTTTGCAGGCTCTGACAAGGAATTTAGGCCTCTGCACAAAGCAGCTTTCGCGACTATCCACCTTGAAAACATCCGTCTCATGATTGTATTGTAAAAAACTACTTATCAGTTATGATTCGCAACTTTTATTTAGTTGCAATTCCTGTGTGGCTAAAAATTAAAGTGTTACAAGATTTAAAAGTATTAAAAAACTTTTCTACCCTTGTGTTCATGCTTCTGCTAGAGTCGGATATTTTCATATGGATAGTAGTGACACAGAAACACTTTCAAACCGAAAGTAAACAACTGTCAACTTAGCTGACGAAACCTCCAGAGAGAAGTATCGCCACATTTAGCGACATATTTTAGCAGTTTATCTTGCCAGATGGAGCCAGGAGTTTCAAATTTATCAACAAATCGCTTGCTGAGGTCTTCACTACCAGACCATTACTGATAAGTTGGCTTAAGTTACCATGTAAACTATAATTTTGATGAAAACCGGTGATTTTTAGACACATATGTAGCAATAATTCCTCACAACACAAAATCCTCAATTTAATATTAAGTACCTATTAGACAAAAAGAGAGTCTCTGAAGATTAAAAAACTTGTAAGGCAGCATTAATTCCACCTCACATCTCAAGATTTACCAGGTTTCATCGATTTAATCGTCTTATATTTTACATTTTTCAGTGTCTAATACGTAAAAGACACAATTTGACAGTGCCGCCATGTTTGCGTGGACCTCCACCAGTCCCGCAGGAAGAGCTGATACCTATGATTCAATGGCTTGTTTGTCAATCACCATAAATTTGTATTGAATCAAAATAGTTCGTGCCAAAGCTGGAGAAAGGAAGTATACTACCTTAAAAATGAAGCAATGAATTTTGGTTTTGATGGGTGCACTTTCATTTACAAGGTGTTGCACATCTTTGATCTTAACTAATCCTGTTAGGTTAGGTCACCCTCTAATGTTTTGGTTGGAACAATTGCAGTTTCATAAGTAGCTACCCACTGCAAATAGAATGATTGAAAACTGCGAGAATAGCATAGCCCCTAAATCAGTCTAAGATTAGCTAGAATACGATGGCACTTAAATTTCCCTGCCTAACAGCCAAATCTGACCCCTAAAATCGGAGGTGGGAATAAGATGATCTAAATTCACCTGGAGCCGGTTCCTTTAAGCTGTGTGCACGGTAATGACGTGTTGAGTACACAGTCTCCTCATAGGTCTGTTTTAAGATATGTATCATAAACTTTCAAAGGCTCCGCAGGACAAATAGTTCTGTTGCCTAAAAACTGCTCAGCATCGGCAGGAGTTGAACGGTTGGATAAGTCTCCAAGAGGGTACCCAACATCGTCACCCAGGCCAGCAAATGCACTGGCTTGGGTTGCAAATATGTGGGGTGCAATGTACCTCAATGATACTGACCCTAACATTTTGACGTAAAGGTCAGGGTGAAGGGTCCGTAGGACCCTGCATGGTGAAGGATCCAAAAGAGGAAATATATGATGTGTTGCTTACTGAATCAGAGGCACTGTCGCTGTTGCTGCTGTCGGAGTCAATGACAGCTTGACTTTTCCTTTTCACCATGACTAAATATGTCGAGTATGTACTCTAAACACTGCAAATAAGCATGAACACCAAGAACAAAAAAATCTGCTGCTTATTTCCGCCGAGTCTATCCAAAGTCTCCCCGGGAACGGCGAAAGCGAGCTGGATGAGTTAGTAGTGACTTGAACTTGATTGATTATTTTACAACGTTCACGGAAGAAACTAGGGGAAACAGAAAAAAGAGAAGAAAATTAAATAGAGAATAGACAAATGTCACATCAGAAAATGGCACCGTTCAACATCAACATACATTTTGATTTTAACCACATTTTAATCATTGAGAAAAAGAAGGAGGTGTTTGCATCCTGAGGATTGTTTACCCTATGACGTACGTCGGTACAACCTGGCCTGCAAAATCCGGGATTCGAAGTATAAAAAACGGACCATAACGTCCAATTTTTTCGCTTAAATCAACTCATGCTATAATTTCAATCACTTTTTATAGAATGACTTTTTTCCATAAACTACATAAATTCCAAGAAAATCGATGATAAAAGTCGTCCGTACCGATCTACGTCATCAAAAAAATCCAAAATGTAACACCTCCTTTTCTTCCATAATTACGGTGATTCTATTGGTCATCTAGGGGCGAGATCTGCCACCACGCTGCGCTGCCTCACGATTTACATCGGACTCTAGGTTCAAACAGGGAGATGAACTGATTTTCAGCACTATCTGACAACAACAGTGATAACAGTATCAGTAAAGTCTGCAGAAGTAAACATTCCCTACACTGGCAGGCATTTAATAAGTTTTAGCTTCTGTTAAAATGTGATTCTGTCTTAAAAATTTGCTCCATCCGATCAAGCACACTCTGATTATCAATTATATATTTCATGCGTGGAACAAGTTTGCTTTCTCATGTTCTCAACAATTACGAATAGTGACTACGACCAGTGATTAGTAACCTCATGGTCCCTGGTATTGCCTGTCCTGTTCTGTCCCCAAGATGCCCCAAGCCCCATGTGTCATATCATCATGCAATCATTGCAATCATCGTAAGAGACCACTTTGAACCAACCGCGGTTATTAGCTCGAACTAGGAAATTTTACATGTTGTTTAATTCTCAACCAGAGGTGAAAGAATCGAAGACGGCGTCATAGGCAGCATGGCAGCTAGAGGGACAGCTATCCATTGGATTCGCAAGGGCATGAGGTTGCATGATAATCCAGCTCTCATTGCCGCAATCGAAAGCCAGAAAGTAATAATTTTTCTTGTTCTTCATGAAAGTATTCTTTCATTCTTTGCCTTGTCTATTTTTTTCTTCCAAGTGTTTTAACTGCTCAGCACAATCATTTGCCAACGCTTATCCATCACATGTTGAGATGGTAGCCAATCTTATTAGTTGAAATCATAGAATTGCACCACTACATTTGAGCCAGGATCTAGCAAACAAGTCGTCAGGTAAAGTTGTTTCAGTTGCTTCCCTTGATAATGCTGCAAATTAGCCCTATTTTCTGTGGGCTGTTAGTACTTCAAAATGCGCAACTTTCCCGCAGATCTAAAATACACTGCTTCCGTGCCGGACCGGATGATGCCATCTTCTACCAATCAGAAGCAAACACGGGTTTCTACGACTTCCGTCGAATATCTTTCTACTCCTTGTATATGGAAACAATAGGAAAGTCGAAACCATATCTTCAAAATCAAATCCCATTCATGTCATCTGTAGCTATTAACAAGCAACAGTTCCACATTGAAATACGTTTTATTTTAACAAACATGAGTGGGAAATCAGAGGATATAGTTTTTGTATTGCTGCAGTACTTCACTGCCTTCATTTACCCGCCCTCTGACGCGTTTGAAATTCTTAGGAGTCCCCGGACTTTTTAAAAGCCGACTGGTCTGGGATTTTGGCTCCCCAAACATGCAAAGAAATCACCACATTGTCTACTCACCTGGTATTTTCAGAATATTAAATTAAAAACAAAAGGTTTAGTGACCCATTGTGTATTGTAACAATTTTTGCTACCATGGTAAGGTTTATACTTGTCCAACCTACCTACGGATTACATTTCGGTTTATTTCAGAATGTTGGAGAGATTTGTATTCTTCGCCCTGTGTATATTCTTGACCCATATTTCCGAAAATACATGAGAGTTAGCCCCAACAGATGGCGATTTCTTCAGCAAGCCCTGGAAGACTTGGATAAAAGTTTTCGTGCGATTGGCACCAGGTAAGGTTTTCCGTCAATTTTCTACTGGTACATAAGAAGCAATGTCAGTTTTATGCCGAAGAGCAAGAGAGCATCATCAGAAGTTTCCGTACAATCAAATTTGCCTGTAGAAAGAGGATTTTCTAGGGATAACTCTGTTTTTTATAATTCTTGCCCAACATGCAATGGATGACTTTGTTGTGCTTGTTTGCACTGAGCCCAAAAATGATAACCAGTTTTCTCTATTTTGTCAGGATTATTCCCAAAATTAACTTTTCCCTGGCAACTTCTCTTTTTTTTAAGGAAAATTCATCTCTGCAAAAACCCTTACAAGACAGATAAAAGTAGTCATCGTTTTCAGACCCTGTGCACAATAATACATCAGAAACACCTATCAAATTTCGGCCTTTTTTTCAGATGCAGACTTACTTAGGTAAGTATGTGAGACTTATTACATGCAACAACCATATAAACCTTACGTGGATGTTTCACTGCTAAACTGAAGGGTACCGGAAGAAATGTTTTAAAAGTGTATCTAATAGGGCTTGTTTTACCTAGGGCTATTAGGTTATTTAGGGGTATTTTTTGCTGCTGAAACTGAATACGACCTCAGCTTTTCCCCGACTTGTACCTATCAATTTTCTGGAAAATCAATGTTTTTAGTAAAAAGTGTTCTTCAATTTAAAAAGATTCACCGGCACAGGCTTGAATTATCAAATTTAGTTGAAACAAGGCAGAGGGTTTTTGTCACTATGTGGATCTGTTTAAGGGTGTAGGACCAAAAAATATTTCGACATCGTCAAATTTGCACTCCATCCTAATTTGGACCACCTCAAGAAACACACCTATCTGGCCCTCGATGTGACACCTCAATTCTTATCGAAGTCGAGCCTCATTGTTCATTGTCACCTATTTTGTTTTTAGGCTGTACGTTCTCCACGGGAAACCAGAGGAAATTTTTCCTGAACTCTTGAAAGAGTGGAATGTGAAGTTACTAACCTTTGAATCTGACATAGAACCTTATGCATGTAAACGAGATTCATCAGTGATGTCTATTGCTAAAAAGTTTGGTGTCAAAGTTCTTCAATCAGTTTCACACACTTTATACAACCCAGAAATGTGAGTATTTTTTAGCTAAATTCTACCCTGTACTTAAATACAAAGATTATTAATATATTTTAATCACCAGACTTACAGCAGGAGAGACCTGAGTACAGGAATGGATAGCGCGAAATGAGTCAGAGAAGACTCCAATGAACTGGATGGGGTGAAACATAAGTTAAGTGGGGATCCGGGTGCTAGAGAAAAAAATGTCCAATTGAGAAGAAATTACATCCATGACATGCCTGGAGATATCTCCTGCTGTTTTTGATACTGAAGTTTAACTGGCCTTATGCCTTAATCCATCAAAATGGCATTGATCAAATGTCCTACTTGTCGTGAACAAAACAGTGTATAAGGCATAGACAAAATGCTCCATGAAATCGAAAGATATGAAGGCCATAGGAGGAACCGTTCAAGGCAATACATCATTGGGATGACTTCTTTTTCTTTGAAAAGAAATTAGTCCACAATAATTGGAAGTTGGACAGGTGGGAGACATCTACATCAATGAGAACGAAAAAAATTGCTCCAATCTGGGGTTTTCACCTTTCAAAACACTCCTTGAACTTCTGAAATTTATCAACGCAGCACTGGACAGTTAGAATCTTGAGTCAAAGAGAAGTTGCTAAAATGATCAGCTGCTCCGATGATTGGTTTAGTCCTAAACACCTGAGAACTTCATTTGGAATTTGAGTCCCCCAAATGCGGTCCTCTCCTTTCTAGGTGTTTTCATTCAAGAATCATGTGCTTTTGTGACCCCCCATGACAAAAAAGCTAGTAGTTATTTATCCTCCTCAGTGTTGCGATCTCTCTCACTTGAAATAATACGCAAAGATTGTATAACGGGTTTGTTTTATTCTTGTTCTTGTTTAGATTGTCTTAATTCCTATTTTTTTACTGTGTAATCATACATTTTTGGTTTTTACAGAATAATAAAAAAAAATTTGGGAAAAGCACCATTAACATATCAGAAATTTACTACCGTCGTCGACTCAATTGGACTCCCTCCAAAACCAGTGGATGCTCCGAATGCCTTACCAAAAGAAGCCCAACCTGAAGATTTAGCTGCAGCTAAATATAATGTCCCTACTCTTGCCGAGTTTGGGCTTGATGTTAAGTCTTTGCATCCGACAAAATTTCCGGGTGGCGAAACAGAGGGTCTCGCTAGATTGGCAGAAAAATTAAGTGATAAGGCAAGCTATAACTGAAATTCTTTAAGATACATTTTCTTCACTACAATATTTATATAGAGAGCTAGCCAGTAAGCCTAATTGACATGGAACTCTTTAGAAACTTAAGTTTTATACTGGATGGACATTGCAGTTGTTTAGAACACAAGCAGTCAATGATGAAGTATTGAATCCGTCATTGGTGCACTAGTTCAACTTGAAGGGACCTATATACCTATCTGGTCTTCATCAGATTTTTTCTGCCTTTTCCCCCAGATTTTTCTTATTCAGGCACAGAATAATTTTCAATATTCCCAGACAGTATGTAAATGGTCATATTGGGTCATTTGCAAGTTTCAACTTCATACATATAATAAATTGCGGTGCTTCGATGTTTGCATTGCTGTTTTCAAATTAACCTATCTTTCTTCTTCTTCTTCTTCTTCTTCTTCTTCTGTTGGTTTACTGGCTTATATTCCTATTGCGGAATCTACAGCCAACCTATTTTTATTTTATTTAAAATCAGTCTAGGAATTTTGGTGCCAGTTGTCAGGGAATTTTTCCAAAAAGTCAGGGAAGGGTCAGGGAATTGAGAAATTGCAATAAACTTGCAACTCTGCGAGTATCCCATCTTGATCGGCTGGATCACCCTACTCATGGCACAAATGTATTATTTCTAAAAGTATTGACTTTTATCTGCCTGTTTTTATCCTTTGCAGGCGTGGGTGTGCAAATTCGAAAAACCTAATACCTCTCCGAACAGCCTGGAGCCAAGTACAACTGTTCTTAGTCCATACCTCAAATTCGGTTGTGTTTCAGCCAGGCTTTTTTACTACAAAGTTAAAGATGTAAGTTTATAGCATTCCTAACGTTGAGTACCCTTTAAAGCTAACCGCAGGGTTTGCTTCTTGAACCTTATCACTCATCCAAGGAGTGACTGTGGCTCTTTTTTGTGAGCCATGTTCCTAAGTAAATTAGAAAGAGTTCCAGAAACTTACAGAAGCGACTAAAATGGGTTGCATGCAACAGATACCAGATTGACTTCCTGTAAAATTGCAGGAAAAGCACAATGTGTACATGAAAAAAGTCTGAAATGCAAATTGTTGTGCTACATAAGCTGAACAAGGCTTATTGGATAGGTAATACAGTTAGCTAAAAGCTCTCTAAACTGTATTCCAGAAATTTAATTGTTTTTATTTTTTCAAAATTCTAATTTATTTAAGCCAGCTTTGGAAGTAGGTTGATTTCAGTTATATTCATCCAATTATTGCCTTAATTTTAGTTCAGAATAATTTTAACTTTTATCCTCCATAGATTCATGCATTTTTCATCCCCGTAGGTTATTTCTAAAGCACCGCATTCAAAGCCACCAACCTCACTCATCGGCCAACTTTTTTGGAGGGAGTTTTACTACACCGTCGCATCAGTCACTCCAAATTTTCACAAAATGGAAGGCAATCCTGTTTGTTGTCAAGTGCCTTGGGACTCCAATTCCGAACATCTAGATGCATGGGCCTTTGTAAGTATTCCACAGTTCCTATGTGTTATGGTACATCTCTGAGGAATCCAGTTTCCTTCAAGGCAATTGAAAATTCTTAAAGATGTTGTTCCAAAAAATTATTAATCCCCCCCCCCACCCTCCCCCCTACCAGGGAGGGAATTATTTTTTTAAATAGACGGAATCAAATGTTGCAGGATCTTAAATGGTCCCATGTGATGAAAAAGCAAGGTAGCCAAGAGAGTTTTAAATAAAAGAATAATATATAACCCAACCCACTTGTGGAACAAGGTGTGCCTTTAAAATACCACTAATTTCAGTTTTCCTACGCCACCATGAATTTTCATACTTCTTCTGCCTTAACAAGCTGATTAAAAATTATTCAAGGAGAGAAAAAGGGAACATAATGATTTCAACGTCAATCATAGGTGTCAAGCAGCACCATGCACTGTGATACGATGAGCTTATATATATGTGTCCCGTAAAATTTGTCCAGAATTATTTTCCTTCATACGGATGTTATGAATTTACTTTTCACAAATTTTCAAGCATCCACTGTCATTTCAGGGAGTTTCACTTCAAGGAAGCGAAAAACACAGACAAATCAAGGTATTTAATGCCCATGATGCTAAGGCATCATTATCAATGAAAGTTTCATGTTATTGTGTTCATCGTGATTTTATGATCAATGCAGATTGTGTAACCCAGGAAAAATCCAAATCATCACCTCAAAAATGTGATAACAGAATACCTAGCTGCGATGGATGTGGATCCGTCAGGAGTGGCGCGCGCCTTGGTGCGTTCAAATGGCTTGCGTTAGGCTACACATGGTCGATTTTGTTGCGAATTGTTTTGTTGAATTTAATATATATATCCTAAGGAAGATTCTTGGCCCAAGTTTTCTGACATTGGTCCATTTTTAAAGATTTTGGAAGGTGGGGATACTTACTTATTGAACGCCCCTAGCATATATGTACTTTTTTCCAAATACATTTTACAAAAATCTTAACATTTTTGTATAGGGTCGCACTGGATATCCTTTTATTGATGCAATCATGCGGCAACTACGACAAGAAGGTTGGATTCATCATTTGGCTAGGCATGCTGTAGCTTGCTTTCTCACAAGAGGAGACTTGTGGATTTCATGGGAAGAAGGCCAAGGGGTAAGTCTCTATTGCTTTCACATATTTGTCCATCTTTTTTTGATAATGGCTTTAACAACCACATTTATGGCTTTTTGATTTGGACAACATTTATTTGTATTAGCAGCATCCTGTGAATGAAAGATGTGAGTGTGTTTTGATAAAATTTGCAAAAGATTTCATCTCAAAAGCTTCAGCCTCTTAACTTCTCCCGAAAGTGTTATATTTGCAAGATAGAGCAACGCCCATCAACACTTTTAACCCATTTTCTGAATTTGACGGGTATGCTTGTAATGGGTTCTCTGGAAGGAATCTGCATTGACAAGTATCCTTGTTATGAGGTCTGGCAAGAATGTTCTCTCTGGTGCTATCATTTATCGACTGAGGGAAATACTCATTAGCACTCTAGTTGAAAGTAAAGCACCTTCAAGGGGAGAGTTTGCACAACTTTGTAATCCTGGAAATCCACTAGGCCTTCACTGATATGCCTCCCTGAGTAGTCAACGTATGATTTCATATTACCCATTGTTCATACATGTAAATTCGCATGTTTATTACAATCAAGAATTGCATGAATGGGAATTAATGAGACATTTCCTCAGTATTTTATTAAGTTTGAATGCTCAGAAGAAAGATATCATCATCCGTCATCTCCCTTTTCAAATGTTAACAGCAATGGCCATCTTCATAATTTTCCGATCTGAATATGAAGGTTGGTAACGACTATGTTTTGAGTATTTGTAAGGGAAGTTCAATCAAAATCTTTTCCCATTTCACTTCACTTTTGCTGAACTCAAAGCTAGGAGTACAGAAAGTCCTATTTTGCAGCACCCTACTAAGCAGACTTAGGGAAGTGTTAATTGCAAGTTCAATTCCCTCTCTCAATTTTAGCATATGAAGTGTTCTAGTGCTACCATTGTAGCAATGATCTATCTGATCTGTAGGTTTTTGAAGAACTGCTGCTTGATGCAGACTGGGCATTAAACGCTGGAAATTGGATGTGGCTTTCGGCGTCAGCCTTCTTCCATCAGTTTTTTAGAGTGTACAGTCCAGTTGCATTTGGAAAGAAAACGGACAAATTCGGCGATTACATCAAGTAAGATTCTCTCTTTAACTTTGCCAATATTAATTACCTTAATTATAAATTAAAATAATCAGCCAAAATAAATTGATGGAATGACTACAATTCATATGTAAAAAACTGTGCTCAGCTTAGACTGATTGTTTAAATATTATTTGTTTTTATGGCACAACAACTTCATGAGAGATTCCTTTAGCATGTCTGAAATCATTTACGCACTTAGTTGCTCAGGTAGACCATGTCATCTCCTTCAATGGTGCCAAAATCCAATTTTGAGAATTTGGATTGAGTAGCTGTCTGTTTTTCCAAGAGTCATATAGAAGTAATGTGATCTCACTATTTTCAAGCACATAAGATTAATTTTCTCAGTTGGTTTGTTGTCATTTTTTGCTGGCCCACGGCATCCAAAAACAGACATATGCCCCCAACTACTAAATTTAACAGATTACTGCATTCAACTTTGAGCTCTTTTAGCATGACAATAAACTGAACAGATCGTTACTCATGCTTCAGGATACCAGCAAAAGTAATTTGTATACACTACAATTCCAATTTTTGGCCCTGTTAAGATAAAAATTGATTACCTAAATCACCATGAAGTATACATCAAATAGGACTGTTCGGAATAATTTTTTTCGTCATTCAATTTAAAGCACTGAGTTGCAATATTTGCCCTTAAATAAGACCCTGCATTTTATTTACCTTTATTTCTATGTGTTTTTTCCAGAAAATATGTCCCTGAACTCGGTAAATACCCTTCTGAATACATTTATGAGCCCTGGAACGCTCCAAAATCATTGCAGGAACGAGCAGGTTGTGTCATTGGAGTTGATTACCCTAAAAGAATAGTTATCCATGAAAATGTCTACAAGAACAATATTCAACGAATGTCCTTGGCTTACAAGAACAATAAACGTGAGTAGAGACCAACTTTCTTTAAAAGATTCTTCAACTTGGTACACATTTTAAATGACTTATCATTTTCATGAATAGAACCCATTGCCAGTTAGTGCGACTTGATTTTCCAACATAGACAAAATGAATGGAACTCTGAGGTGAATTTCTGTCCGTGGGCCACATGAGTTGAATGTTAAAGTACCAGGGTGACCGAAATTTGCTGTGGCATGACAAAGGTAACATCATCTCTGTTTGCGAACGCGCACAACTTCATCAGCAAGCTAGGTACAAGCTGCAGCACACTTCTGGGACCAGTTCAATCCAGGTCACTATGCTATGAATGAAACATGGATGGTACAGGTGGTTGCTGTCTTCATGGGGCTGGGGGAGGGTAATGAAACTAGGAGGAGGAATTAAGAGGGACTAAATAAGGAGATTTAAGTATTCCAATAATAATGAAGTGGCCATTCGAATTCGGGTCAGTAAATGTGTGGAATGCGAGATCGCAAAACAAGTTGAAATGAGCAAGAATTTTGCGCATGAATTACATCATTTTCAAATAGCTTTATGGCGATAGTTTCCCAAGTTTCTGAGAAACATTTATTCCGCTGATAGATCAAACAAATATTGTATCAATACTAACACAACATATGAAAATACGATGACAATAACAATATGGTAGGTTTTTTCCGATCCTGCGCAATTAATTTCCAAATATTACTAGACTACAATGGACCACTAGACAAGGTACGAATTCCAGCATTCTGATTCATGTTTCTCAGCCAAATTTTCATGTAGAACACGATTTGCACAACGAAAATTACCAATATCAACTCCTAACGAAGATATTTAATGATTCTTGATGCGTGAATTTAAACCATCCGCTTATGAAAACTCAGTGCTCTACGTGATTCACATCGCGAGCTAAACGTCATCATGACAGTCTCTGCAATACAAAAATCTAGCAGCCCCAATATCGACGCTTTGGCTCAGTTATAGCAAATTACTTATTGTTTGAACAACACATGGTGGGAAATGAATATTCCTCGATTGAGAAGCTTGCTAAAACCGTTGTAGTGCGTGATTTGACTCAAGTAGAGCTTTGAGTTTCCTATGAGTAGGCAGTTCAAAATCCTTGCAACCAATGTGAAATAAAAACGTTAATACATATCTTTGTTAGGAGTTGATTTCAGTACTTTTCACTGCGCGAATCGTGTTTTACGTGAAATTCTGGTTAAGAAACATGTATCAGAATGCTTAAATTCGTACTTTGTCTAGTGGTCCATTCAATGTGTAACAGGTATTGAGGAATAGTGGCTTGGACTCAAATTACAGATTTCCTTCCATGGATCAAAAGCTACTATTTTTTTGCAATTTTTTCACCATTTCCTTGAGCTTTTTATCATCAAAAGTTCTACAATTTAACAGGTTTTAACTTGTAAAATGCCAAAGTCGGTTCCCTGAAGTTTCTAAATTTTGCCAAGATAAATCTTACCCTTTCTGGGCGTCGAATGAAAATCACGTCTACAGTAGCGTACACAGCCAGCTTAAAAAATTTGGTACATTTTCCTCATTCTGCATTATGCCCAAAAATCACCAGCTTGCATAACCGTACTTAAGCGGTTAACATATCCTCTGTAAACAGTTTTTTTAAGAAAAATTGTCTCTGTTGGGTCAGAAAAACTCGCGGTGAAGAAAAGCACTATTGGAACGCTTCAAATCACCGTTTTCGCCGAACGCCATTCCTTTCGATTGCGTTCTTCACTAGTATTCCATAATTTATTCCTTGGAGGGCCTGTAAACAGCATCCTCATCGCACAGCTGCGTAATGAAGTGCGTCGCTCAAACTGCTGGCACTGCGACTGTTTTGGCCCAGCTCAACTAATACAAAAACGTTCACTATGACCAATTAGGCAGTGAATGTGTTAGTAATGATCACAATTTTTACCATTCTCTATACATTCATTAAGCAGCTTCTGGACTACCAGAACTTTAGATCAGTCAGTTTAAACTACTCGCAGCCTAAATGTCTTCAACCACCAACTTTGCAAAAATATTTTTGTCTCACCATCTATTTTTTGTTGCTTTCAGAAAATACAGAAACGACAAACTCCAACCCAGCAGGGTCTAGTAAGTCTAAGACAGGTAAAGGTGGATCCACCAAGAGGAAACCAGAGGCTGAAGTTGCTGCTAGCGGTATAAAAAAGTTCCTGAAAAAAAACTGAACAGTTTGGAAATAATTGTAAATGGTAATTGTAAGTGTTAATGCTCAATTCAACATTATCCGGTAAGCTGCTGCCGTTTTAAATGAATCAATTTCATACTCCAAGTTTCTTGTTCATGAGCTTCACCTGTTACACTACATATGTTCATTTCTGTTGTGAGGTTCACTTATTAATTATTATTTTTTCATTTCTCAACTATATGGAATTGCACTGTATACTTAGAATTGTAATAATTGTATACTTGTATTTTTCCTTTTCACAAGATATAAACCTGAGCTATAAGATACAACTGGAAAACGTTCACACCCGCACAACACACATACCCTCATCATACATGTAGAATCACAGGCCATAAACTGACTTGTACAAATGATTTGACATCCTGGGGGTTCTAAAGCATCCGTCCACTATCTTTTTCTCAAAAACGGTCGAGAATTGAACTTCAGTCATGTAATGAGTAATATTGTGCAAGTAGATGCATGGTGACCTCTAGTTAAGATGGCGTAAGTAAGTTGAAACCCTAAATTTTGGAGATCCACGGTGGTGTACTTTAGCCATCCATATGTTCATCACTAAAACTAAGCACAAAAATTAGTTTTCTTTCCATGAACTCTAAAATATTTTAGATTTCAAATGTAACTTGTACTTTTTTATAAAAACTGTGTGTATATGCTGTAAGATATACTGTAAAATATGTTCCTTATTGTTACACTTTATAAAATTTTCACAAGTGTTAATCAAGCAATAAACCATTTTTACTTTTTCATTCCTCTTCTTTTATTACCTAGGTAATCTTATAATTAAGGAATGCATAACAGTAAGATTCAAAACTAAAAATCTAATTATTTAAACAATCAATACACATGTCGCAATGAAAGAAGACAAAAAGATTTTAACTGGGTTGCTTTGCAATCACAAAATCAATATCTATTTTAATATTAGATAATACTTCTTGTTTCACGAAGAAAAAAATAACTGTCATTAGTCGAAAATTCAAATTTGAATGTGTTTTTCTCACATTTGACCGTACGAACATGTAAAATAATTGCAACTTGGACTGTTATGGCCTGCAAGACTTTGCTAGTGGAGTACACAAGACTCTTCATGAACTCTCTGAATTTAAAAATATGTAGGCCACTCGTCCTTCAACTGCAAAGCTCTCACGGGCTTCAACACAGACAATAATGATTCATTAGGAATGATTATACATCATGATTCTGGGGCTATTTGCCCACTGACTTATCAAGCACGGTATACTTCACCCAGACCTTTTCACCCACAACTCTTGACCCGTAGCATTTATTAGACCTCCGTGCACCTTAGTATGCATGATTTCTTGCAAAGAAGGAGTTTTCATGTACATGTATTTTATACTGCCCGTGGAAATCGTAGGGGAGGTAAAATTAAAGGCGAACTTGATTTCTAACTCCAGCTTCCAGTTATTCAGCGACCCACGCCGCGTGTCACGTTGCTTTTCATACGCACATTGCTGTCCAATTCCTATCGCATCTACATATTCTTCGATGTTATCAGCAATGATTCTCTTAAATTTTGGAATGTAAACCGTGCTTCTTTTAGTGCCTGAACGATAAGCAAGTAAATTTTATACTGAAATGAAAAATTGTACACAGCGAATGACTGAAGATCCCATCTCTAAGACGGAAATATTAGCTCTGTGATTTGATTTTATGCAAATTTTACGAAATCACGTTTACGAAACTGTGCGATCTGTTGACGAAAATTTAATTACGAGTGATGTGGCGGGAAAGGCTATGCGACGCCCATTTAATCACAACCGGAGAACGAAAATTTGTTTTTGATGACGTATTTCCCAAACCGTTTACAGATTTTGGTAACACTTAACTAACGAAAAGCTTATTGTATGTGTTCTAAAACTTAGGAACTATAGATTCTGGCTCATCTGAAAAGACAGTTATGTGCATAGGGAAACCAATGGCACATACGTTGTTTTTAAACCGGGCCAGAATCTATAGTTCTAAACAGGCCCGCCACATCCCATCTCGGGCCCTGGTACCAGTTTTAAGGTCCGGGCCCCAAGCACGGAGGGGAGTTCCAAGGGGCATCTTTCGAGAAATTTTAGAATTTAACCGACTAATTGGACGCATTTTGAAGCTTCCGTAAAGAATTTTTCCATCAATTTCTGCGGATTAATTATGTTTTTTTTTTCTATTTTCAGCACAAAATACTTGCGAATTGTTGCATTCAAAACATCTGGAAAATTTTTATTTTTTTTGGGGGGGGGGAGGCATATGATACTAATTTCAGTTCTATGAGGGCCAGGCCCCCCTGGACTCCCCCTTCGTTTGTCTATGGTTAGGGAGTTGAGCCATGAGCCATTGAAGTCGAGGATGCCCAGACTGGAGACCCTTAGCATCTGACGACGGAAGAAAATGAAACGCAGTCACTAAATATGTCCCTCTGTACTGAAAATCTTGAAAATTGATAGAAATTTTCCAAGAAGTATACTTCTTTTAAAATTTAAGAAGAATTCTACAGTGCCCCAGCGTGTTTTTGAAAATCTATTCACCTTTTGCGAAATTTTTAGGGTAAATTTTTCATTTTTTCTTACGAAACAAGGGTTGCATGTGAATTCGAAGTGGTTTGTAACGGGTAACACGGGCCCTCTCCCAGGCCATCCTGGGTACCAGGGACCCAGTATCCCCCCCCCTTACGGCGGGCCTGCCTTCATGCACGCTGGGCTTGTCGATTTCCTCTGAAATTTTTGCAGTGGTGAATGCATAGCTGAAGTGCGCTCCAGCTAGAATTGTATTTAGCAAATGGATGGTTTTTCTAAGAGGATTAAAAATAAACGAGTGGTACGGAATATAACAAAAGAATATGAACTATGCAAAACGATAAGCCGGGTATCGGAACTTGGCTGTTTTGAAAACGCCTTCAAATGCGGCGTGATACCTCACGCATTCCGGAGAGTTCAAATAGTTGTATCATTGCGCCTTAGAAATGCGACGGAAGATTACAATTGAAATAGCCTCCATGCACGCTGGGCGTGTCGCTTTCCTTTGACATTTTTGCAGTGGTGAATGCATAGGTGAAGTGCGTTCCAGCTAGAATTGTATTTAGCAAATGGGTGGTTTTTATAGGAGGATTAAAAATAAACAAGTGGCACGGAATATAACAAAAGAATATGAACCATGCTAAACGATAAGCCGAGTATCGGAACTTGGCTGTTTTGAAAACGCCTTCAAATGCGGCGTGATACCTCACGCATTCCAGAGAGTTCAAATAGTTGTATCATTGCGCCTTAGAAATGCGACGGAAGATTGTAATTGAAATAGCCTCCATGCACGCTGGCCTTTTCGATTTGCTTTGACATTTTTGCAGTGGTGAATGCATAGCTTCTTCGTTGCGACTGTCTATAAAGGTACTCTAGTTGCGACTGGTCCTTAATCCGAGACACTCATTGGCTGGCTGGGAGATTCTTTTGTTCTCTACCATAAGAAGGGGGATGCGAGTACCCACTTTGCTTCTAGATCCACTTTATTCTATGCAAAAAGTAAATATCTCAATGTTGTCACTGGTCACACCTTATAATAAACAATAAACATTTACGAGGGTGGAGGGTATCCTTTTCATGTACTAAAAAAAATAAAAAATACAGTAGTGTATGATAAATAGTAAAATAGTAAAACCTTATGTGAATTTCCGACGGAAAGACCGTAGTTTTCTTTCAGTTTTTCATGGTTTTTCAGCGCTTCTAGGGAGTGTCTCAACTCAAAATAAGTGTTATCTCTTGCCGATGGTGAAACTTTAGCGAATACGATGGATAAAGCTCAGAAAGTTTTACGTAGGTAAGTTGCTTTGATAAGATAATTTTCACTAGTGACGTGCATCATCTAGTTTATCTCAATATGCTGGAATCTAGTAAAGGCTCAGCTCTGATGTCTGAACATTGGTTGAACTTTTGCTTAACTTATTCGACGAACTGTGTTTTACTCAGATGAAACCAGTTCAATGAAGTTGCACAGTTAGTTGAACTTCATCAAAAATTTCAGCCATTTAGACAAATCATTTTAAAACACAGACAAAGTTGGAAGCATGCAGCACTGATGAAATACCTCAAAACTTTCGTCCGAGCACTTACTGTAACACCGCGCTTACTCAGGTGCAATGACTTCTGACAAGGCATTATCCAAACGAAGCATTTTTTAGGGCAATTAGCGTCTGCAGTAACTTCATAGATATAATACGGTCACAATCTTATTCGCTATTAAGGTAAAAGTTATGGGAATACATTTTTTGTGAAAATTGAATCTAAAGCGGTGTTGTAAAAGTAAACTCATTCAATTCTGTTTGGTTCTTCTGTTTACAAATGCAACCCAATGGCCACTATTGACTTACCAAGATTGATGAGCGTTTGGTAGGAACGCTAGGCATTCATTTACAAACGTTCAAGTCATTGGATGATTCAAACGGAATCCAGAAACGCCGACCATTTGGAATAGGGTAAAACATTTGCAAATCGTCCTGTGGGCCGATTATTGAAATTTTGTGTTTGTTGGGTGGACATAGATGTCATAGGTTAAATGGCAGAGCGTGATTGGTCGGCTATGTCTTATCGCTGCTTTATCGTGCCTTTGTCAGGTGGAATGGACGACAGACTGTCGGAAACTCTAGAGTCCCTTCATACTGAGAGTCAAGACAATTCGGCTCATGGATGTCACAAACGGGAATAAAGATTACAGAAATTGAACGTTTTTCGTAATCTTTGATCGGCCCATTCTCAAATGCCTTTCTCCGTTCCTCCTCTCATTCCGTTTGTTCCTTGCCGAACCCGTAATTCCCTGGTCCATTCCAGACTATAATCTTTGCAATTGGTAAAAATGTAATCTTTATTCCCGTTTGTGACACTGTGGAGGCCTAAAATACGGTAACCAATCAGAAATGGATTCAAATTGTCTTGACTCTCAGTATAAAGGGACTCTAGGAAACTCAAGAGGTGCCTTTAGCTTGCAGTGAGTTCCACCTGACAAAGGCCAGACAAAGCAGCAATAAGACATATTAGCCAACCAATCACGCTCCGCCATTTAACTTATGTCATCCATGTTCGCCGGACGAACACCAAATTTCAATAATCGGCCAGCTGAACTGTTTAAGTACTTTGACAGTGCAGCTTAAATCTGGCTGGCAAGTGGAATCATCACTGTCTGATGTTTCTTCAATGTGAAGTACCTGCTTCATCATTCAATCATTAGCACATATCATCAGCTCTTCTTCCAGATTTTGAAGGCTGTCCCCAGGTTTTTTTTTTTTTTTTTTTTTTTTTTTTTTTTTTTTATAAAAAAAGTACTGAATAAAATTAAAAAAATATTTTATATCCTATTAGGAGCAGCATTCGGTTAAAATCCATAAGTTCTGGCCACGCAGAACTGAATATGATAGTCTCAGATGTCGATCACATGAGAGGAACCGCAAAGGCTTTTCTTAGAGCACAGCAAACCTTGGTCGAAGACCTCATGGATTGGGCTAACAAGGAGAAAAATTTGGCCATTCAAGAAACACTTGCTCTCCTAGCTGAGCTTAGCCTTTTGTGGTCAGAAACTCAAAAAGACTTTATCGGTAAGAAAATACCTTCTTCATTTATTTTCAAACTCTTTTTGTTTTTATCGGGCCAGTCTTCCCATGTCTATCTAGGTCGACCTGCTTAGTAAACGCTTTACTTACCTTGGGCAATCTGTATCAACTGTAAGAATAGAATTAAACCTAAGTGTGACAGACATCCTCCTATGAGGTGTTTCGTTATTAAAGTTATGTACACACAAAGTTGTCCCAATAAGTTTCCCACATTCCCGGGTCATTTCCACATTTTATATAATTTTTCTGTCTTTCTATATCTTGGCTCAAATCTTAAGTTATAAACCAGATTTTAAGTCTTGGTTATATTCAATTTTTCTCAATTTCACTTGTGTCCTTAAGGTGTCCTGTATATTTCACTTGTAAAGTAAACCACTTAATTACTCATCATAATTTCAATTAAAGTTAGCAAAGAGAGTGAAGGCTTTCCGCGTTTTCAAATCTTAGTGGGACCAATATTTATACAAAAGCTGTCCCCAAGGAATGGACAGTCTGGAACAGCCGGTATAAAAAAAAAAAAAAAAAAAAAAAAAAAAAAACCCAGCAAACTTCTCATGATTCATTTGGCCTGATTGAACCAGTTGTGTGAATACCAGTTATTTGAATGCACTAAACCTTACAAATCAGTCAAACCACAAGCACAGTGAATCAACTCCCTGCACCAACTGCACCTATTTACTAATATTTTATTTTCAACATAGTTGAGACTTGCCAGTAGTTGTCTTTTACCGGCCTTTTCCCCAGTAGAAAATTCGCTCAGAAGAAACTGATTTTGTACCTATTCTTAAAATTTTGTAAAGGCTTCTTTAAAATTCCATCATTGAAAGTCATATAAATAAGGGCTTACAGCTTAAGTACCCCTTGTTAGTATGTGAAAATTGAGAAATAAGTAGAGGGCGACCAAAATGGGGTGGTTTCTTAACCATTTCTTAAGGCGGTCTCAATCCTTTTTCAGCTTTTAGTTGAAACCATGAGGAGAAAATACTAAAGGTTCAGTTCAAAGACAGGACCCACTCCTTAGGAAAAGTCCTTCATGATTCTTTTTTTTTTCAAATATTTACGAGCCTTTGTCGTATCTTCTCTGATTCTTTTTAGACCAGTTGAAGACTTTCAAACTTCAGTTTGATATGATTCTTGAAGGTGAAAGAAGTGTGGACAAGATTAGGGCCCAGTTGACAGCCTATGAACAAAAAGCAAGCAAACTCAAAAAGGACTTGCAGAAAAATTCGGTTTCCAGTGTCGATGAAACCAAACGGGTGGAATCAAAGTTGGATGAAGTCAAACTGTCGATTAGTCGAGCGCAAGTTGAAGGTTTGTTTTGTTGTTGAAGTATTTATGATATCCACTGCTCATACAGACCTGGTTTTATATATTAACCATGGTCTTGGACTAATATTACTGTAATCAGCAAATGTTCACCGGAAGAAATTTGCATTTGAACCAAGAACTTAACTTGATTGGATGAAAAAATATGATGGACGAATGGGTGAAGTGGACGAAGTGAGTCTAAAAAATACTGGATTTAATAAGGTTGCGAACAGAGTGGAAACACTTGCAAAACTAGTGTTTAGTAGAAGTTGGTTACTTGCTGTGGAAATTGCTTAAATTCCTCCTAGGTACGTTTACCACAATCAGCAAATTTTTGCTGGTGTTCTCTAGTACGATGAAGGCCTGCACATTTGACACATCGGGGTATGGGAGGAGGTTACGACAGTGAGTTTGGGAATGAGGATGCCCTTGACACCCTTTGCATTTGACTAATTGTCCACCTGTATCTTTACCATTTTATTATTTTCACAATTTGATCAATTGATTTATTTATATATTATAGATTCATTTTACATTTTAGAAGCCATCATGAATGGCCATCATACAATTAAAAGATTTGGAAATCTTCAAGGATTTCAACATTTAATAGATTTAAGTCTTCAAAATTACTAGATTTGTTGTGATCACAAAAAAGTTAAAATTGTAAAATGTCAGGGCAGAATTCACTTACAGTTAGTTCATTAAAGGGATATAGCAGAAGGTAGTTTTTTAGATTATTAAAAAATAATAATCCCATAAAGTAAGTGCGACATTACACATATTAGAGTGGTCGAGTGTAAGAGCTGATTCTACAGAATCAATTTGTAACCAAAAACAGACCTGAAAATGCTTATTGGCAACAAATTGATGAGAATTCATACAGATCAATCTTTCTGTATGAATTCTCATCAATTTCGACGCATTTTTTTCAACCCTTTTTATTATTTGTTTTTTTTTCAACAACATTTTGATGTTTGTCTTGGACTTTTTTTTTGGACTTACTCTCATATCCCTCTAACTATGCTCAGTTTCAGAACAAGTCAGTGAAAATGAGGTTGTGAAGTTAATTCGTCTGAAAGAAGGTCTCTCTAAATTATCAGACTATTACTTGGAGCTAGCATTCAAATGTAATGCAATCTTTGATGCTCATCGAGCTGTTGTCGCTGAAATTCCAGCTGGACAGGAGAAAAGCACAAACATTCAGAACATAATATACACAGGTGCTTTTGCAGTGTTTCTTTCTTTTCATTTGTGTACATAATTATTTGAATTGGCTTGTGCGAAAACATCTGATGCTTAAAAGAGAAAGTTGTAGCGAATTCAAAAAAACAGTTGAGGCCCCAGATTGGAAGCGCAAAGTAAGCTAAAGGTTGTCATATTATAGTGAAGGACGGGGGAAAATCCATTCAACTGTTACCCCTCCTACCCTTCACTAAATAAGTACCTTCTTTTAAAAAATTATGTTTGCCATAGATGTTTTCCAGTTAATGCCACAAATCCAAACGGGGAAAATTACGGTTCATTGTTGAAAGGATACCATCATAACACGCCTGGTTTATTTTAAGTCTGAATACCAAAATTTTGAAAGCACTAATAAGAACATTTCAATGAAATATGATTTATCGAAGTGCAGACTTTAATAACAGTACTATACACTACTATACAGTCATCCTTAAAAGAACCGTTTTAGGAGGACCGTTTCAACCTAGGGTAGGAGAAAGAAATTTAATATAGCAAATCTGTGAGCTGCCACAATAAGGAATCAATGTAGGATATGCAAATGCTCTCTTTCTAAATGAAGTAATTCTACCCAACGATCCTCCATACCTCTCGCATGACAATAAACCTTTTCATAAAATCCATGATCCGGTTCTGAGGAGGCATGTTGCAAGAGTGGAGATAAGCTATCAACCACAAGATCATAAGCATGCACTGATATAGAAGGGCAATAAGTGGACAACCATCAATTGGCTCTATCAATCTTACGATTGACATGATCTGGAACGAGAGAGATATGAGGGATTCCGTAAAAGACATTGAAGCAAATGTGTCTCACAGCATAAAAGATGAGAGCCTTCAAGGCCTTTTTATGGGACAGAACATTGATCTCTGCTTTTATTGGTTTCTGCCATGATAACGAGGATAGCCCTATAATTGTCGGTCTTCAAAAGAATCCCTAGAATGTGGGTTTTTAGGATAAATCGGAGCCAAAATAGTTGTTTTGAAGAGGAAGGGGTAAACCACAAGTACCTCTGACCGGCAAGAGCACAGAATTATTGGGTGGAAAGTTAGTGAGTGTTGGGACTCCCTCATTCTATCCATGATTTTACAGCTTTCACCTGAATCAAACAAATTGCGTCACAAGTTAATTACTTCCTTTTGTTTCATTTTTCCTGAAATATGACGGTATTCTTTGAAGTGTAGGGGAAACTCACTGAGTCCATGAGGCTTTGCTTAGTTTCCGTGTGAAAACGTTAAACCAGAGAGGGAATTAGGCCACAAGAAATGCAATTTGAACAATTCTGCTTAAAATTGTCCATTTCTTTAAGTTAAGTACTTTATCCATTTATTCTTTTCTTATCTCAAAGGTGTTACATTTTTAGGTTCAAAATTTTCCAAAGCTCATGTGCTGCAAGCCAAAGAGAAAGTGAAAAATTACAAACAAAGTTCAGCTGTAAGATCTACTGCCCCATACGATATTTCATCATCTGATAAACCTCCTCCATATTCGCCAAATATTGCTCAGGATGGTTCATTCACTTCAGTACGCAGTTCATTTGGCTCTCCAGCTGGCAGCTCGGTCACTTCCCCACTACCTGTGTCTGAAGTGAGCCAAGATATCTACACAAGTCATAGATACGATCACGTCAGTGAAACTGTACATAGTTTTAATCCTCATCTTGACGAAGTAAACCCCGACTCCATGAGATATGAAAATATTGCTGGACCATCTACTAATAATGAAAGGTATGTTGATATTTCCTGGATCTTTTTCTATTTGAAGTTGTAACTGTGTGCGGTTCTTCCTAAATGACTTAAATAAACAGAATTCAGACAAAGTACCTACGTAGACAGAGTGCAGCTACTCCTATTTTGCTTTTACGGGAAATTTGTGCCGCTTTTTTATTGTTCTAGAAGTTTTAGGCTATCATGATGCTCCTACGGCCGTACCTAAACGAACGCTCCCATTGGTCAATACGTTTCCAAAATTTATGCCAACCCTTTCACGAGAAATTTCTCCAGATGTAACGTTATCAACTCTCTCTTTCAGGATCAACAGCAACCCAACTTATAGCATTTTTTGAATAATCATGTTAGTATGACCTAAGATTAGTCCCACATTAGTTTTCTTTCATTAAATTCTTTATCAGATTTTTAATGAGTACTCCATTGATTCCCTCTAGACAGAATTCAACGTTCTTGTTTGCTTACCCATGGCCGTAAGTGCATTGTATCAGCCTTTTCTCGAGACCAATGAAACACCGGCATAAAAATTACCATTTTCTGTCCAAAGGTACTCAATGGGAAAAGGGGCTGTGCTGTAAAGCACCTGTCCCTTGTACGATCTAGGCTAGAGGCGTTAAAAAGGCTCAATCGATGGACGTGTTCATTGTTACCTTTCAAAGATTTTCGGGCCGACGATCTGTCAAGTTAATTGATGTGTTGGGGGCACATTATAGATAATATTTTAAGATTTTCAAAGAATTTCATAGAAAATGGGGTGATTGCATGCAACTGGGATTTTACATCTGATGAACGATTCTGGCAGAACTTGTCACGGAAAACCGTTCTCAGCGTTTGCAAGTTCCGAAATTGAGTTCGAAGCTCGGTAAAAAGTTACAAAATTGCTGTTAGAAATAAACGATTTTCATCGGATCTTGAGAGGGCTGACGTCAGTCAGTTGGTCTATGAGGCCCCGCCCACCGCCATTACCTTTATCTCAATTTTGTGTTTTCCATGCTCTCTCAAGTATCCAAATTTTCATCATTTATTTCTAACATGAATAATTTATGAAATTTCATTTCTTTGAAAATTTTTGGCACTGCTTTTTCAAGGAAATTAGTATGATCCTTAGGATCAAAGATGGTTGATTATTAGTTTTTTAAAAGATAACAAAACTGAGAAACAAGGAACAAGGCTGAAACAAACATCAAACCGTTTTGGGATTAGTTCCTTGTATTCCTGTGATTCAATCTTTTTACAGCATATTTTCTGCAATCCATCTCTAACTTTATTCCTCACCTGATAATTGTCTTTTAGATACCACAACATAGAGCCGCTACCCTATGGATTCAGAACTGGAACTCCAACGACAATCTATGAGCAAAATGTTGCTGGGGCAATGACTAACATGACTTTGAAGTAGGTCACGTCACCCAAATCATGTGTGACATTTCCAGTAAAAACCTACCTTTTCGTATTTTTCTACTTCTTTCCATTGTTTATTTGAATTACTTGTGAGTATATACATAATATATTTTCCTTTTTTATTTTCATGAAACGTGCATATTTCTTTCTTTCTTTAAAGTGATCCACCAGCTTACATGCGTTAATTCTATTTGCTCAGGTATTATGATACCAGATCAGTAACTAAATATCTACATATTTGAACTTTATTATTGAATACGGCGCTTTAGCCTGCAATTGGACATATTTTTAAGAAAAGGCAAAGGGAGCCAAATTTCGATTTTTTTTTCTTCATGAGCTAAGCCTCTCAGAGATAAAAATATGATCAAAAAAAAAACTCACTCCATTCTGTGGAAACAGCTCCTAAAAAATCACAAAACGGGGAATCAGCAGTAACGAATAAAATAAAGAAGAGTTATGTAGCACCTTGATTTCATTGACTTGTGTAGGTATATCACCTATTTTGATTCAATATTCTAACTAGGATTACGAATTAAATCAAAAGCAAGTATTGATGATTGTGATAGAACATCGTCATTATTTATAAATGGTTGTAATAGTAAACCAAGGTGTTGTAACCATCATGATAAATAATCATAAACTTAAGCTTTTTGGCTTAGTGGCCATCATCAGAGTTATCATGTACACATTTAGGATGAAATCCAACATAAAATAACAAATCAACAATGCAGTCCGTTAACCCTTTCTCCTAGATGTGTATGTGTATGAAAGCCATGTGATGAGTGCCTCATTTGGGCTTACAGGGTGACCTAGACCTACTATACCAGATTTTTCTCAATTCAGTTAAGCGAGACTGTGTAGAGGACTGAAGGAGCAAATACGGAATTGATCCCAAGAAATCCGATTTTCATCATTTCAAAACTCCATCTTCCTTGGGAACTAAAAGGGGTGCTGACTTTGAAAATCGGGGTTCCCAGCTCAATTTAGAGATTTTTTTTTTTAAATCAACCACAGATTAGTTCAGATTGCTAACATTCAATCAAGCTAACGAACTAAACCGCAACCGTGCAAAAATTCCTTGCTACCGCCTCATTCTCCCTTAATCATTGGTACGTCAATTTATTTTTCCATTTTTTATTCTAGATTACCTCCGTTATTTATTTCTTCTTTTTTTTTCTACAGATTTTGAGTTGAGTTGAAAATTTTGTCCGTCTTTTAAAAATCAAACATAAAATAGATCAAATGAGAAGAGGCCAAATAAAGATGTATTACTTTACAGCTTGATGCAGTTGGCATGTTTACATGTTTTAATACTGTTGAGATCAAGATAAAGTACTCAATAATTTTAAAATAAAACAAGATATTCAACTTTCATGTTAAAACTAACGAAATACATTACACTCATGCAGATCTTTATATAATAATTAACAAACACATCAGAAGAGTTTTAATTATATTATAATAATAGGATTACTGAATTCACTTTTTTTCTTACTTTTTACTGGTACTATGACAATTTAGTTGTCAAAAAATTTACGGTTCTTAGTCGATTATTTTTGCTTTGTAATTAGGCCAAGACCATTAAATACAGCCACTAGCCTGCACAGGTAGGTAATATGAAGAAAGTTTGCCCACTGTGATTCTCTGTCTTGACTGCTGAGTAACCTTTACATAATTGGTCGAAAAGAAAAGGTTGAGCATAAGAGGTGATTATGAGCTTCTAGAATCTATATCAGCACTTTTCATATCGAGACTATATTCAGAGTTACTTCCTGTTTCTGACGAGGCAGAGCTTGATTGGTCTGAGATGGTTTTCTTTGCCTTTGCTTTATACTCTGTTATCACAACAGTTACATTGTTGACAGTTACTTCTCTAGTTTGAGCAGAACTTCGATCGATGTTCTTTAGTCTTGGTCTGAAAAATTTAACAAAAAAAGTTGGTTAGAATTTCGCACTAAATATTAACAATTTAACATTGAAAAAAGTGCACTTAATTTTACTAAAGGTTCAACATTAAACATTTGGGAATGATCTAGGATGTAGTGATTTGTTGAGCGATTCACTCACAAGAGGATACAAGGGAGAACATGATAAGAAGTATTTGATTTGAAATGTTGCAAGTCTTCAATTTCACCAAAATTATTGTGTGTAAAAGAAGACTGTACTGACTGCAATCCTGGTCTTTGTCCCGTATGGACCTTGAGGCAGGGTGCGAAAGAAAGCATCACTATGTTTAATCACCACAACACTTAAAGAAACGTCCCGTGATTAGGAATTATTGTGTGTTTTTTCAGCCACATCCCCGCCTTTTACTGTCTATTTTCATTCTATGTTCTCGGGCTGCCATAAAGTACTTTTATCTATATCTGATTTAATGTCCCTTAAATCGGGCTATGGGATCATAGTGCTTCGCGTCGTGCAGTAGGAAAATTTTCGTTACGAATTTTGTGCGCGCTGAGAGTTGTTTCACTAATGGTTCTCAATTTTTCAATCTAGAGACCTCCCCTTGTACTTGCATCAAAAAAATCAAGGGTCGTCTTTAGAAACATTGAAAATTTTCAAAACGAACCACACAGGTAGCTCCAAGAAAATTGTTCTTTTTTCCCTGAGCAGGAGACAGAAGTAGAATTATGGCCGCTATCTTTATTGGTAAGGCCATTCGGCCCTTTCTCACCTTCTCATATCCCTTCCTACATTGGTTTCTTCTTTCTCCTCCTCTTTTCTATCACCTTCTTTTGGTGGGTGGTCCATTTTTGTTGCCACAAAAATATTTGTCAACCCAAAGATTAGGAGTTAAAGTTCTGATGCACCTTAACGTGCACTCAAATGGCAAAATTTGCCCTACAGTCCTACGAGTCAATACTCACCTGACATCACTACTGCATGCTATTATAGGAAAAATCAAGATTTAGCTAAGGTGGCAAAAAAGGACCTAAGTAAATGCCAGCCTCTGTTTCCCTTTAAATTGCAACTATGACAAGTCTTTTCAGATTGACCACTACAGAGATGCAAAAGATAACTTACGGACGCCAGGATCTTTTCTTTGATTTCCGATCATGACTCTTCCTATCTGATTTATCCCTGACACCATCTTTCTTCGGAACTGGTTTAGAGATGGCTGGGTGTAACTGTTGAGCAGTCACTTGCTGCGCGACTAATTGATGATTAATTCTAGGTTTCCTGTAGGAAAAAACATGACTTGGTAGAGTTTTAAACTGGAAACTACATGCCTGGAATTAAGTCTAAGTAAAACAAAGCCGTGTTTCAACTTTCTAGCAAAGCCTTCAGAACTCTGCCAAGTTCTGCCTCTTAAGAACTTTTTTCCATTCTCTGGAAGAATGAATCAGATCAATTGGCAGCAAAGGAGGTCATTTTTAAGAGACAGGATGCTCATGATTACTGAGGAAATGGGCTCCCCAAATCTGAAGAATTGCAAGCTGTTTGACAAGAACTATGGATTCAGTTGACTAGAACATCAGATTATCAGTAAGATGGACGGAAATGCAATGATGAATATTTGTGTCTGGTTGACGAAAATTTGTGCAGTGGAGAGTCATGACGTGTCTTCACATCTAAACGTGGGTCCTTAGGTTTTCTTTTACCTCATAAATTTTAATTTTTTCTTTTTTTTTCGTCTTATATAATTTGTTTAAATAGCCATAATTATTAAAAAAGTTCTTAACCTTTTTTTGACTTTTTCAAAAGGATCAGGCAAGAAAGAATCTAATTGAAAATTATGCATCCTGATAAAGATAAAGGTGACAAATCGATGGCTGAAAAGCGAAACGTTCAACCTCAGATTGTGACTATGCAGATTTCCCATCATACTTTATTTCACCTTCAGGATACTAGTCAAAGAAACTTCCTTGATTTTCTTCTGCGTTAACAGAATATTCTGTATAAATTTTAAGCGATAAAATTGGCTCATTTTTCTTTGAAAAAATACACCGGCAGAAATTCTGAAACACCGCAGTGGGGATGCATGGTTTCGCATTTCGGCTACCGAAATTCAACTTAGCTAGAAAGAGAGGTTTGAAGTTTTATTCCTATGCAAGACTCGATATATTAAAGACAAAGTTGAAGAACAACTTACACTTCAAAAAAAATTTCTTTCTTCTTTACTACTTTTACAATGCTTGTACTCGAAATGGGAGAGAACTTGCAACTTGTTGAATTCAAAACTACTGCCAACTCATATACTTGCAAAATGCCACACAGTATGCTTCTATGAAACTCCGTCTCATTCAAATTCTAAAATTCTACAGAATCCAAGGGGGAGTAAAAAATGGGGTATTTTGAATCAAGCTCTTCTTGTGGGAACTGATACTGCACTTGCAGAACTGAAATTAAAGAAACGAAGTATGTTGCCATTTTTAGGCCATAAATCAACGATGCAATTCCTGACTTTCCACTGGGGATTCATTCGTATTCTATGGAAGACATTCGCAACGTTTCAAGCAGATGGATTCATTTTATTCTAGGTCATAGATTTTCGTCTACATAAATATCTCATAAATATTTATGCAAATATAGGGCTTTTCCAGGGGTTTAAATAATTTGGTCAACTTACTGGAGACTTTAAGGAGGAATGCAGGAAAAAAGAATGAAGAGTGATTTGAATTGTGTCGTGGGAAAACCGCTCATGTCCATTTTTTCGGCTTTCAATTTTTTTATGTTGATAATACTTTACAAGAGTTGATATAATCATAAAAGTGGTGGCAATACTTGTTTTGGGAATAGGATAACTCTAAATCAAGTGGGTACCTAGTACAACCACTTTCATGGTTGTATTTAACTCTATAAGGTATTATCTACCCAAAAAAAACTTAAGACTGAAAAAAGGGACATTACCGGTTTTTGCACGACACGATCCAATTGTTTAGTTCACTTGAAAATATTGAAAAAATAATTGTCCTCTCTCAATGGAGTCAGTCAGCTTAAAATTTCAGAATTTTCAAGTGATAAGACCAAAAAATTAAGTTAGGTAACATGGTTCTTACCTAGTTGATGTACCCTTCCTTACGTCACACATGAGGCATTTAAATGCTTCAGCCGTGTTCCTGTATGTGCACACACTGCAATCCCAATAATTTTCTTCCTGTACTTTGGCCTGACGTTTCGTGCTTCTGAAAAGAAAACCAAGCAGGCCTATTTATCAAAAATATAATTGTTGTTAGCAAAATTGCAGTTTAGTCCCGACAGTGATGAAATTGGTTCTTTATTCTTTATTTAATTGTAACATTTATGATGTATGTTGTGTTGTTAAGAAAAAAAAACCCGAAGTCATTACTCCTCTGCCTAGCTCATTTGGGGATGTTCCAATATTAAAAACAAACCAGAAAAGTTACATTTTCAGTTATCATTTCAATTACAATGAGTATAAGCACGGTATCATAACCAATTTTTCATAATTTAAAAATAGCTTTTTGTAATATGAGAGGGTACGCTTTTTCATAAATATATTTTACTTGCGGGGCTTTTCTTAATTAATCGGCTACAAGAAACGAGGTAGGTGCAAACATAACAGACCAACTCTGATTAAGCTTCTAAATTATGAACAGTAGACGTAAGGAGACAGGTGGAGGAAATATTATCCCTAATAAAGTCACACAGAACGATATCTATCACAATGTGAGTTGGTTGGTTGATTCTCCTATATGATATTAGTGTATCTGTCTATCAGCATGGTGTCCTGCTGATATCACACTGGTTTTCTCCGCTAGCATGTTTCTACTGATATCATGTTGAGTCAGCATAGTATCATCCTGATTCCGCATTATATCATGCTGCTTGACTCTACCAGGGTGCTTATTCGAGGAGGGCCCAATATTTTCCAAAATTCAATCTCTAAAACTTTGTTCGATTACTGGAGAAAGATCTTCATACAATAATCACAACATAAGCAATAAGTAAATAAAAATTAGAACTAGTGGTGCTCAGTGACTAAATGAGAAGACAGTTCGACCGCGCCAGTGATCACGAGGAGTCACCTTAAATGCCACTTCCTATTTTGCCCATAGGAGGGAACTAAGCGATAGCCAGTCTGCAGTTGAGTAACGAACAATTCTTATTTTAGACATCATGCATATGGGCTTCCTGATCATCAAGATTATGGAAGAAAATCTTTAAAAAAAAGAATTTTAGTGCACACCCGCACTGGTCGGGAGGAAAAACTGGAAGGAGCGCATGATGTGTCGCAATGCAAGAGGAATGAATTAGAAATTACAGTCTAATTACTTAGAGGGGCTACATTGTGATCTGCCATTTGGCCAACCCCTTGCAAAACTGAGAAATATACTAATACAGGAATCACTGAATCTTACCTGTTAAAATTCTTCTTGTGATCCATTTCTTAAATACATACATAAACAAAGGGCTCGAGAGGCAGGCCCCTCGACCGGTAATTTATTAGTTTTAATCACTGTTTTAACTTCCGACTATCCATGATTACTGCCTCTCATCGGCTGAATGAGCAGTTTTAATTTATTCTCCGTTTGCTCTAAATACGCACTAACACAATTTTATGGCAAGGAATCTGTCAATTTCAAACTCAATCTATCACAGAGAGTACGGAAGGTTAGAAACACAGAGAAAATACAAAAATACAGAAGGTGGTGGCAAGCAAGCGGAGAAATGCACTGTACTACGTCACAGTTAAAAATGCAGCCGCCCTTCTCATTGGTTAAAATTTAAAAAGGAGCGGGAAAGGCTGTGAGGCTCCCACTTATTTTAGCTCTGAAAACTTGAAGAAAACTCGTAACTATTGACTTTTTATGTTTCAATATATTATTCTACCAATGTTTGACTGTAACTGATAAAAATTTCTAAATTAAAAATGTATAATTCATATAAAAACAACTTCTATTTTGACTCGTCCCTTTTTGAAGGTATAACCATGTGAAATTAGGTTCTTTACGTTAGAGTACAAAAGCAGAAATTATTGGAAGGCCATGTTAACTACAGGGTGATCCAAAAGTCCCTTCCACCCCCTCTAACTTTTTTCCTAATGGAGCTAAAGATTTGAAACTTAGGGGATGTTCCAAGGTCAAAGGGAGCTACTTTTTGGCCCCCTAAAATTTTCAGGGGGCCGCCCTTGGGGGGCCACGGACCCCAACTTTTAATTTTCAAATGGGAAGACCTCCTTTGTGAAAGCTCGTTTGAAAGAGAATTAAAAAATAAAACTTTTCGCGCAAACCCGAAGTCGATATCTCAAACCGTTTCAAAATGGCGGCCGGTTAAAGTTCAAAATGGCCAAAAATTCACACCGGTTATTTGTCGATAGATTTGAGCGAAAATCGGTAACTTTAGTCTGTTTCACGAAAACTGAGACTTTTTATTCGGCATTAAAATCCGTAAATGGCAACGCATCAGTCTTGGACTCGGGTGACCGTACCGCTCGCCGGACACCCTCTTGTTCAGCGACCACAGGCCGCGGCAACCAATCCATCTATTGTTAGGGTAGGAACCATAGGCACCCTTTACCCCTCCTTAATGGGCCCTAGTACTCGGACCAAAATTTTTTTCTGAAAAATTCATCTTTTGGCGTGAAAATTTAGTTCCAGCGTGAAATTATGTTAAAAACGCACTAAAATTCAGTCCAATTATCTTAATTTTGAGCTGGTATACTGCATTTGCGTGTGACCGCGATTTACCGCAAAATATTTTAGCGGTATTTTGACACGAGAAAAACGAGTTTGACGTTCGATTTTAAAAAAAAAAAAAAATATTTCCGGTTTTTTGCTGATTAATTTGCTGAAAACTTGGAATTTGAGGGTATTTTGATATAAGATTAACACATTTGAACTTAGATTTCCACAAAAAACCAATTTCTGATCATTTTGAACTTTAACCAGCGGCCATTTTGGAAATTTCGGTCTTTTTTTTTAAATCTAACGTCAAATTCGTTTTTCTCGTGTCAAAATACCTCCCAATACCGATTTTCGCGCAAATCCATCGACAAATAACCGGTGTGAATTTTCGGCAATTTTGAACTTTAACCGGCCGCCATTTTGAAACGATTTGAGATAGCGACTTCGAGTTTGCGCGAAAAGTTTTCTATTTTAATGCTCTTTCAAACGAGCTATCTCAAAAGGGGGTCTTCCCATTTGAAAATTAAAGTTGGGGTCCGTTGCCCCCCGAGGGGGGCCCCTGAAAATTTTAGGGGGGCCAAAAAGTAGCTCCCTTTGACCTTGGAACACCCCCTAAGTTTCAAATCTTTAGCTCAATCAGGTAAAAAGTTAGAGGGGGTGGAAGGGACTTTTGGATCACCCTGTATAATTCACAGGGTGATCCAAATGTCCCTTCCACCCCCTCTCAGTTTTTAACTAGTTGAGGCCAAGATATGAAACTTGGGGGATGTTCTTAGGTCAAAGGGAGCTACTTTTTAGCCCTCCTAAAATTTTAAGGGGGCCTCCTTGAAGAGGCAACGAACCGCAACTTTTTTTTTTCAAATGGGAAGATCCAGGGGCGTAGCTAGGAAATTTTTCTGGGGGGGGGGGGGGCCA